GCCACTCTGAAAAGTTTTGTCTACAAAGTAGTTTGGTTTTACGGAAATACATGAAATTACTCTTAAAATCGCTGAACATCCTAAGCAATGGGACCACAGTGTCAAAATTTGTCTACAGCCCGAATTCTACATACCAGGCATATAATTTTTCGAACGGAAGTAAAAGTCACCATTTTCTAATCAAATTTATGTTTTACTGATTTTGAAGAAAATTACGAAGGGGAGATTTTTAAAAATTTTCCACGGATTCCTCATTTTATGTTGACCGCAGTACAAGATACGTTTAAGATTTTTTTAAACATCGAAATATAAAAACTAAACAATTTAATACTTTGTACGTATAAATCTGTCAATCAAATGAATACCGATGTGCTAAAAGCAGGAGGCTACGCCAGTATTTAGTTAAAATTGCCGTAAGCCAAGGTGCTTTATTTGGTTTCCATGGTTACTGACGCTATTACGCTTGCATTTCGCGAGCAGAGAAGCTGAAAAGTTGAAACAGATTCAACTTTTCAGCTTGCAAATCGCGCCGGACTGATTTTGCTTGCGTTTCGCTCGCGATTCGCTCGCGTTTTCCGAGCAGGATCCGGCGTGATTTCGCGGCGTAAAAGCGAGACGGCCTGCGTGTTGGGAGCTGAAAATATGCCATGTATTGCAATGGGAAAAGCGAGACGCGATTTGCGAGCTTAAAAGCTGTGTTCCGGCCTTTAGAGGCTCTCTTATTTAAAGCCACGCTTAATTTATTTTGTAACTGAGCTTTTGGGGTTGCCATGGCAACTGTGAATGTGCTCCACGGTAACTAATTCGTCTAGACAAAATATTTTTTGCCAGAGAGTTCACTTCCTTTGGAGACGGCTAACGCCGCAACATAGAGGTCTCTGATACGGGAACGTCTCGGTATTTAGACCGCACTGGGCCATTCACGACGGTTGAGGGTGATTGAGGCCATCCAGTATGTAGCCAATGTCTGTCGCTAACTGGACGCCGGCACAGTCAACAAGTGACGCCGATGATTTGTCGGGAGTTAATCGCTGCAAGTTTATGCTCTCTTTTTGTCAGCTTTCACGAGTGAGCCATGTGGCCAAAACTGTGTGGCGCCAAAATGGCCGTCAAAAAGGTCTTAGCGTTAGAAAGTTGGTAAACAGGCTTTTCAGGATGTATTACCAGCTGTCTAAGAGTATCATTTCGGGGTACCTAACTCAAGGTGACTTAAGCTCTACTTACCGGAGGGCTCAAAACAGTCAAAAACGTCTGAAAATGGCCAAACATGTGTTTCGTTATGCCTGAGGCTAAAAAAAACTGAAGGGTCGATGACATCAATGTGGTCATCTGGACTAGTGATGTCAATTTCAGAAATTTTGGAAACCAATACCAAACCGATACCGATCAAAACCACTGAGAGTATACCGAAACCGAACCGATTTTCAGAAACAGGGGGAAATACCGTCTAGATACCGAAATCAGGGAATTATCAAACAAATGCTTCAAACTTTCTCAAGACATATGGTAAGCCTTGAAAGGTACCTAATACTTTGAAATAAGGTAACAAAAACAAATCAGGCAATCTCTTAATTATTTGCATTGCAAAAAAAAACATAACTTATTTTGTAACTATTAACACATATTCAGGTCAGTTATTTTACTGGAATGTGGATTCAAGTCAACTGCATGAGGTGTTAGGAAAATAACTTGAACCCTGAATCTTGTCCATGCCTGGACCATCAAACCTTCTTTCAATTCAAGTCATTCATTTCGAGTCCGGTCAAGACAGGGTTAAGTGTGTTATCATGATCCAAGAGTGGTGACCCAATTGACAATGATGGGCTACATACACCTTGGGCTGGCTACTTTATACTACTTTATCGTCCTAAACAAAGCCCATGCCTAAACCTAAACAAGCCTAAACCTAAACAAAGCCCATGATGGTGATTGGTGACGATACTGACGCAGCCAATTTTCCTTCATAAACAAATGTGTAACACAACAAAACTTGATAAATAATTACTTACGAGGCACACTGATAGATAGCAGACACCACTGTAATGATATCGCGATGAAATCTAAGTAAAATGTCCATAATTTTACGGAAGCATTGACACACGTCATGTGTCATCTCTTCCATAATGGCGGCCTTACAGGCGGCGGCCATTTGCATTAATGATTAAACTGTATAAAATAAAGTTTTTCTTTTCTTTTTTGCTTAAGTCCACTTAAATCAAAATTCCTTGTATAAATTTTGACATCTTAAAATTAATTCAAGAAAGTTGTAGGCCACTTTTGCTGAAAAATGAAGTACCAGAAAAACATAGTTGTTCAATTAATTTCAATTAGTTTTTGAGCTATATCGGTTCCTCAACCTGGCGCAGCTGCGACATTGAAATGTTTTTAGATGTGTTCAGTTTTGAAACTGCTGTGTGCGAGTCAAGCCAACAGCCAATTATATTTTATGATTGCTTATGACTAAATTGCTAGCGATCTGTATCTGTTGAGAGAGCAGGAAAGAGAACACTAATTGAAGAAAATAAATTATCCACAGGATCATGACAGCATCGCTCACTACAAGGCTTTTTGAAGTTGAGCGAAGTTGAAGATTTGTGGGGTGATGCGGGTGATGATGAAGTGACAAATGCTGCCTTAAATATTAGATGATAATGGTGAAGCTAGTGCTGTATTAAACAGGGTTTTGGATAATGTAATTGCATTGCAGTAAAATGGAGAGGCAGACAAGGTCAAGATCAATCACAGTCTCCTCAAAACAAAGTCAAATTTGTTGCTAATAAATGCTTTGGAAATTTTGAGAAAGGTAGTTTAAGGATGTTTTCCAGCATACAGTGAGTTAAACATTAATTCATGTTTATGTCTTGCACATTGGCTTTCTTTGTAGGATAATTATCCTCATGGTATTGGAATTTACTAACACTGATAAGTTGCCATTTAACATTGGTAGACTGATGTATTTGATATTACAGTTGATGTGTTTGCCCATTTGGTAGGACATCATGCATTTGGGAGAAATGTGTCATGATTGCCATTTTTCTTCATCCAGTGTCATTTAGCTGAATCAAATTTGAGTTCAGAAGGTTTATAAAAAATGTTTTCAATTTTTTATGACAGTAGTTGATTTTCATGATACCGACAAAATACCAAATGCTTGTGGTATATAATACCGAATACCGAATCGGTATTGGTTCGGTATCGGTATACCGAAATTTTGGTAACCGATTGACACCACTAATCTGGACTACCTAGTCCGTGCTCGAGATAAAACACCCGTCCAAACCCCAAAACGGTCCCATATGGGCGACGGAAAAGGCCTTTGTGTCATCCAGCTTTATTCCTATGCAAAAGGCCAGGGTCACGGTAATGTGGGGTAATATGCGTCCAGACACTGATCACGTTGCGAATGATGCTCCAGAAACAGTCTTGGGACGCAGAATGCTTCTCCAAGAAGATCTAGGAGGAGTTTCAGCTTTCTAGCTTAACTTGAACCGCAAGTATGACCACATTTTTTAAGTAGAAAATGGCATCCGGGAGGTCGTAGGCCCATCTTCAAGCAAGACAGTGCATCAGTGCAGAGGTCAAGCAAAGCATAAAAGCAGTGCCAGGAGACTGTGATAGGCGTGTGTGGCAAGATCACATCCCAGGCAACTCATCAGATCCAAATTTCATAAAAATGTGTTGGGAACCTATTGAAATCGAGGCTCGTCGAAGCGAAGCGGTGTTCCAGCATTGAGGAGCTCACGGCGCATGCCAAGTCAGTCTGGGCTAACTTCAAGCCTACTATGCTGCCAAACATGCCGGTTGGCATGTCGCAGCATGTATTCATGTGTTTGCTTATGAAATGGGGAGCACATTGAGGGGTTATAAACATATCAAAACGCAATGTACTATGTTTTACATGCAAACAAAAGGTGAGAACGAACTTATGGGACACCCTGTAGAACCACGGCCCGCAGCCGCAGTCGGCTCAAAGCAGCCGCCGCCGCCCCTGACCGAGCTCAGCCCGTCTTTCGTCTGTCGCCGGCGCTCTCCTGCGGAGAAATCGGCACAGATCTGGCGCTGCCAGCTGTGCCGCGGCCGTGGGATCAGCCCAGCAGCCGGCGCCCATCCGAGGCTGTATCGTTCCTTAGTCACGCACCCATCCTCGCTCAGTGGGCAGGCATCTCCTGGCGGACGCGTCTCGACGGTTGAAAGTGCCGCTTTCTCGCCAACAGTCGCCGTCACTTGTGAAGTTTTCAGATTCTGCTTAGTTGCGTGTTACCCCAACGTAGTGCCTTTGTTCAACAGGAAGATGGAATTTGAGTTGTTCCGATTGGAATGAAAACAATCGGATTTAATTCTGCTTTCCCCAAGACGCATTACTCCGGATTTCAGCGTGAGCGGAAAATCTCCGACTGAAATGCCGTCACCTGTTTCCTGCTCTATGTCTATGCCACGCTGGACGAACACAATAGCCAATTAGCCGTATGCATACGACTTCCTATCTCATGCGTGACCGGATCGAACTAGTGGCGCTCCAGTAATCCCATTTACACGCGGCACATGGGCGTCCGTTTCCACTTGATGGTCCCTTCCGCCGACCGTCTCAGTTCGTGAGTAGTTTAGTGCGACCTAGCGCCAGTGGCGAGGGCAATAAATCCCCTCCACCTCCATTCACCCGAATTTAGGCCAGAGTTCTGTGAGGGTACCGGAACCGGCTCCACTCTGGACGTCAGGGTAATTGTCGGTGCGCTAGGGACACAACAGGACGGTGCCGTGTGACACATCCAAGGCTGTTCCCACGTTACTTGAGCTGACCTCGGCGTGGTGCTGTCGAGATTTATAGTCAAAGGGCCGAGCTCTGCTGCATCCCCCAGCGCCCTTCCTGTGATGCCGTTCGCCTACCCATGTGAAGCTGACCAGCTCTTTTGTTTTTCAGTCCTCCTTCGACGGACCAGACCAAACCAGCTCCTGCTCGCCACACCAGCGAACCTAACCAGCCCCCCTTGTGTGTGTTTCAGTACCCCTGTGACGGACCAGATCAGACCATGGAGTCGCTCCTGCTCGCCACACCGGTGAAGATCCCGAGGCCAAAGTTCCACTCGTCGCGAAGATTCTACCCGAAAGAGCCGCCAAAGGACTACATGGACGAGCCAGCCGACTCCAAAGACGCCCCTGAGAGGAAAACCACACCAGAGTCGTACACCACCGCTCAGCTCAGTAAGGATCTCCAGGACAAGCTCTGACGTCATCAGTGTGATCCATGACGTCACAGAAGGGTACGTCTGTGACGTTACTGGGACATGTGCCGAACATTATGCAGTGGACTGAGGCGGTGATTATCCGTGCGAGTTTCCGCGGGTGTGTGAACTGTGAGTGTGCCTGTGTGTTGTTGGCCGAGTGGTTATGATGGACTTATAGCGATATGCTCCCGGAGACGAGAACCTCTGGTTACTGGCTATCAAGAAGAAATGTGTGTGAACGCGGGCCTGCGCTATATTATAGGTGGGTAGTGGTTCGCTTATAGTTCGCTGTGGTGGGCATCTCGAAGGAGGTGAATCGTAATGATGTAGAAACTGCGAGACCATCGTGAATCAATCAGTCCGATGATTTATGGTTCATTTTTCTTTATGAAAACATTTGTACCTACTGTATTTATGCCTCAAGTCAAACTCTTCCCTTTTAACTGCATTGCTTTTTGTACAAAACGTTTCGTTTTATGAAGCGTTATGCTTGTAGCTGGTACCGCTGCGGCCGAAAATGTGTGGCAGTGTTTTCATATATGTCGTCGAAACTCGTATACATACGTTACATTGAAACGACAATTACCACTAAATAAATAAGACGGATGCGGTATGTATCTACCTACCAAAATGTGGCCAACACAACAGTGTGACATACGGCGCTGTACGGGTACTGGGACAGAACGAAAGCAAGGGAACTTTCAAGAAGTGAGTTAAACACTTCCGCCAATGTGTTCTCAACTTTGACCTGAGGTCAGCAGTTTGACCCCCAGAGGGTAGATTCGTCAGAACTGACATTATATTTTGTGGAAGGATTTTTTTTTTTTTGCTATAACTTTCGACACAAAACATCATAACATTGATTGGAACAACAACGTGGTTTTATCGTCAAGACTATCGCTTTCCTCCGACATTAGCTGAAAATAGAAAACGTCACAAAATTGACCTAACCATATGTCAACGACATACAAAACTGAGATCTTTTCATACATCTAGCCGGCTGCCACTCGCCGAAACTTTTAATGAATCGTGTTGTCCGTGCAGCTATTGCTGTATTTTTATTAAAATGGGGTCATCTGAGTTCTGACGTGACAGGGTGACCTGACCTTCAATGACTTGAGTTTATACCTAATTTTGAATATAGTTTCGTCGTCGTCGGCCGCCTTTTTCGCGAGCTATTTGCCAAAAACCGAGGGCACAAATGCATAACACACATCTAGGTTGTGTATTTCATATGATTGACAAATGATGTTGGAGGAAAGTGGGTGAATACATTGATGACGTTCAGTGAGATAGCCAAAACACGCTGTTCATTTTGACGCCAGATTCAGCAACTTATTTACGTTTGTTCAGATTGCGCGCGTTCAAAGTTTCACGACCGAATGTGCCTCCAAAACGGAACTGCTGGTTGGGCACATGTCCACCGTAGGTGGGTAGCAGGCCCTCTTCAACTCGGTATATCGGGTGTGGATCCTTTCTCCGGAACATCTTCATTTTGCGCCGGGGTCCCTCGGCGCCCGAGCCGCCCGCCTGCGGCGCCCCAGCGAAGTCAGGTCCCGCGCCGGCGCCGCTGAAGTCTGCCTCTGGGCTGTAGAAGCTGCCGGCCACCGCGCCCGTGCTCGAGCGGCCCGAGCCGGAGGCGCAGTCGCGCAGGATGGTTGGGTCGTACTCGATGCCCACGTCGGCGATGTTGATGGTACGCAGTGGCTCCTTACTGCACTGCTGCAGCTGCTCCACGGGCGGATCAAAGTCGCGCTTCTTGGTGCTCACGATCACCGGCTTGCAGAAGTTTTGTTTCACATTACACTGTAGATCGGTGAATTTGCGCAGGCCCTTGTTGCAGGTCAGTGGAAACACATTGCCGATAACGGACTGGGTATGCGGAACGAAGCCGGTGTAGCCAGACATGAAGAATTTTCTCGGGTCGTCGTTATCCATGTAGTAGGGTGACTCGGCGTAGTGGTAGGGCGCCTCCTTGTCGTACGGTCCGGTGTAAGGCACGGCGCCCTTGAAGCCCTGTTTGTTGCGGCTCCACAGCGGCACGGCACACTCGGGGTTGTAGCCGGGACGCTGGGGATTGCACGAGTGGCCGCCACTGTACTGGTTCATAAGCTGCTGCTGTTTCGCCACCTTGTTCTGGTCACACACGAAGTGGTTGTTTGGCAGCAGGAGTCTTTCTGTGGCGCATCCAGGAGGACCAGGTGGCATCTGAAATGGAATATAAATGTTCATCGAAATTATTATTTTTTAATTACAATTCAATGCGTGGATGGCGATACAACATTTTGACACATTTACAATGAAGAGCATATCGTATATATGTTACAGGCCGTATGAAAACTCAGTCCGTTTGCAAACGGCCTGGCCCGATTCAGGCCGTTTGCAAACGGGCTGGACAGCCCAGTCAGTATGCAAACGGACTGAAAAGTCAGGCCGTTTGAATACGGGCTGAAATTCCAGGCTGTATGCAAACCGCCTGAAATTTCAGGCCGTTTGCAGACCGTCTAGGCCGTATGACAACTTTCCAGACACCAGGCCGTTTGCAAACGGTCTAGGCATTTTGAAAACAATCTGGTCTGCATAAAGTTACAGCTGGACAATGTTGAGTTTGTTGAAGCACGACCGTTTCATGACATTACATGGCACCATGAAATCCTGAGGTGCATTCGGCATCCGGAAAAATATTGTCACTCGGATATTCTCCGTCGGAAAATTATTGTTGAGCGCCTATATTCAGCATGTTTTGTTATCGCGATACCGTTCGTGATCCCCGATGATTCTCGCTAGTTCCGGAAAATTATCCATCATTTTCCCGATGACGAATGCAGGCCTGGTCAGGAAGAGATTAGCAGAACTGAGACCCGGCCCGTATAGCGCCCGGTCGACCCGGGCTTCCCCCAGACTTCAAAGTTTCGCCTTCCACCGCAATGGTCAAGTATTGCCGGCGTATACGCCACCGGCCAGCCGCCGGCGGTCGACCGGGCGCGGTGAGGACTCTAATGTGAACCAGTGGCGCGGGAACTTCTTCCAGACTGGGGGGGGGGGGGGCTGAACCATAATAGAGATCAACCTAGGGTACCCCCAAATATATTTTTCTAACCGGTTTTAGGCCACTTATTTTTCAGACCTTGGCCTTTTCAACAAAAAAAAAAACGAAAATATTTGCAAAAAAGTCCGCTATTCCTTCTCAGCTGAGTGAAGAAACTACCGTTTTGGCAGCCTGGAATAAAGGTTTTAATCTGCCAAATGAGTTGCCGAGCCAGTGAAAGAGGTGGATTTTTCACTAACATGTTTTCTTCCTTTGCGACCCACAACCCCTAATTAGGGGAGGACAAGCTGCCCCAACGGTTCCTGACCTCATGAAAAGTTGTGGGGCACCGCCCCCACGGCCCCAGAGCTGTAGGAGCAAGCTTCCCCCACTGCCCCCTCCCCGGTTCCCGCGCCTATGTATGAATCTATGAAATTATGTTGGTATATTTCCGATTTTGATTCCTCCAGCGGGGGGGGGGGGGCTCAAGCACATTACGAGCCCCCCCCCCAGCCGAAAAGTTGGAGGGGCTCAGCCCCCGCTAGCCCCCCCCCCCCGGTTCCCGCGCCACTTATGTGAACTCTGATGTCCATTGCGCGCTCCGGCGTTTTATGCCACAAAATAATCGGTGAGTCTTGTAGTGATACGTTTCACCAGACCTCACCAGAAGTGGCTTCACCAGGCTCCATCAACTGGATGGCCGTACACAGGCGGACCGTGAACTTGTATAATTAGTAATATTGTCGAAAAAACGGCCGGGTCGAGCATCAGCACAGTAAGAAACTGTTCGACGTATGTAGACGAATCATTCGGCATGGAATGCGCAAGCATTCACATGGATGCAACCTGATTATCGACCAACCTGGATCCATTAAGTTCAATCTTCAGAGGCTGTTGTAGTTCGCCAGACCGTTTGAAAACTGACTAGGCCGTTTTCAAACTGTCTAGGCCGTTTCAAACTGCCTAGGCCGTTTTCATACGGCCTGATATTTCAGGCGGTTTGCAAACGGCCGGCTTTTTCAGGCCGTTTTCAAACGGCCTGACTGGGCCAGGCCGTTTGCAAACGGACTGGGTTTTCATACGGTCTGTAACATATACATATCTATAATAAAGTTCGAGTGGAAGTCCCACAATGCCACCATACCTGCTTCGGCGCTCCCTAAAACCCTGAGTTTATTACCTGCTGTTGGTGTCCATCCCTGAAAAACAATCACCGTTCATGACCATTGAGCACTTTGCAAAACAGGTGACAAGTGATAACTCCTACATTAGATTAAGACACAAGATATGCATCACACATGCATTTGATCAGGTGCAGTGATTACTGTGATAATTAATAAGCACTGACTGTTATTATAATTGCAACTGCCCAATATATTCACAGTATGTATTCCTACAATGTAGTTGCAATCATATGAATATCCAAAAACATATAGAAAACCTTCTTTATACGTGTTTTAATAATGCATACAGATGAGAGTCTGGAATTAATTTTGATTGCCACCTCAAGGTTAAAAATGTACCTAAAAGTTCACTCCTTCTTATTCGCTGCGTGCATTCGACCTCACAACCTGTAATGTGCTTTTCATTAGACAGGGCCAAAGCAGTTTATGCTCTCTTACTCTAAGCAAATACCTAACTACTTAAATAATAATTTGAGTTGAAACAAATAAGCGGGTCACCTAATCAGTTAAAATAAAAAAAAGCTAGATGGTACTCACTCGGGTAAACAGACCGGCTGGTATTTGCAATCTCCATTTTGCGGCGGCATCGCTTTGTATTTGAGTTTAAACCCCAATAAAAATTAAAACAGAAAATTTAATATGCAACTATTATGACTTAAAATTTATCAAATATTTCCCAAAAGATTAACTTGAAATTTTAGAAATTCTAACGCGGCAACAACCAATTTGCAGTGAACATATTTCTCTCTTCAATTTATTGATCGCGTGCATGCATGCTCGAGACAAATTCTAAAATGCACTTTTACCTTTTCAGCATAAAATAGAGCAGCCATGGCAGCCATTGTGTTTGCTATTCGGGGAAGGAACCATGGACGAGAAAATTCTCATCCATCCATGCGATTATCTCATCCATTGAGAACTATATAATGTAGCCTTGGTTCATTTTCGATCACTTCCTTGATAACCATACAATTTAGGATTATTTTCACGTCCAATTGTCTACTGAGGTCACTAAGGAATTATTACGAAACAAGATAAAGATTCAGGCATCTGCCCCAATTTCAGTCCGCACCAAAGCTTTGCAGTGGTCCGATCGCAACCCTTTGAGGAAAAAACGAGCACTTTGATACCCCCTCCTTCCCCCTCCAGCCCCGATGCTAAGCTATGTAGCGTCAAGCGGTAAGAAACATTCAAAAGGTCGTTGAAATCACGAAGATAAAAAACAGAAAGTTGCTTCCAGCTCACGAAAGGTCGATTTAACCAGCCATGACTTGGCTTAAGGCTGTTAGTGTGTAATTTACATATAGCTCGATGATGAAAAGAAAAAATGGGCAGTGCAACGTAAAGTAGGGCATCCATCATTTTGAACAGTTCCCACTTATCACCATGAGGTGCAAATGCCGACTAAGATCAAATCACGCAGTGGTCGGGACGAGGATTGACGACGAGGAAAAGGGCACGTGAACGATGCTGTGCTGCATTACTGCTTTCGAGCTCCGTGGATCAGTCTGTTACAAATTGAGAACACCGTTTCCCAATCAACTATAGGCCTAATGTAACTCCAAAAAAAAAATGCGGCAGTCTCTACCGCTTGACCCAATCGGATTCCCGACTCCGACTTCGAGACATCACTGAATAGTGCACACTGCACAGCCTCGTCCACCACACACACCAAATCAATAATTCACAATAGTCTGTATTTATGACATTGACATGATGATGTATAACAGGCGACAACAATGACCCACACAAACACAGTTCGCGGACGCAGGGCGGCACTCACCAGGCGGCGCTAGAAGCCGTACTTTGTCCTATAGGCGTTCTTGGTCGCCCGGTTCTGCGCCCATTCGTTCTTCAGTTCCACCTCGCGTTCCTTGGCCTGTGGGTAGTGGAATGGAGGGGTCAGACGATAAGCGGACAGACGGGGACAGTAAGACTACGGACAGTGGGGACGAGTATGGGGGGGGGGTGAAACTACAGGCAGGGGACAGATAGGGAGTCAGTGAGACTATTGGCAGGGGACGGACGAGGATAGCAAGATTACGGGAAGGGGAGGGGGACGAGTGAGATGAGCCAATGGCAGGGAACGGACTGGGGTAGTGGGACGACGGGCATGGACAGTGAGACTATGGTAGGGGATGGATGGGGACAATGAGACTACGGGTACGGGAGGGAACGGGTGGGGGTGAGACTACGGGAAGGGGACAGACGGGGACAGTGAGACTACGGCAGGGGACGGACTGGGGTAGTGATGCCCACAGATAAGGAACAGGCGGTAGAACAGAGGGCAAGAAAAGTAGGGAGAGTGGAAGTGAGCCACCAGACAGAGACGAACAGAGGACCGACATTGGAACCGAGTGGCTCGAACGGCAGGTGGGAGCGAGACACCGAACAGACCGACACACTTTGTCAGTCTCTTTCCTTTCGGTGTCCGCTTTCAAAGCAGATACCGAAACCGAGGGCCTACAACGCGGCAGGGTGGAAAAACGATGATCGGACAGAGATTGTGGCGAGAGTTCTGGAAACGACCGGCTGGTGGTACCGAGGGTCTGCGGAAGCATTGCCTGTACCATACCAAGCACTGACCGTATATTTGGGCACGACCGTACTTCACGGGATGTGGGGAGATATGGGCGTGAAGGAGACCGCGACTAAGTTTTCTCCGGTTTATCGCATCGGCGGATGTAATGAGCTTACAATCGTAATCAAACTGGCGGTAAGTCTTTTGACAGTGGTGATATTATCGTCAACTGTTGCCATTTTACGTAGATAACACCGATCATAACAAACAATCCTGCAATGCCTTGAGTTTGAACCGTCCCATGTCCCCGATTCAAGCCAAAACCACCAGCTCTCCCTAGCCTGACCATTGATAAGCACACACAGCGCCACCTGTGTGGCAGCGGTCTGTTCCGCCCGGTGCCCCTGACTGTATTATCTGTCCGTCATTGACCCCCCCCCCCCCAGACCACGCCATCTGTTCGTGGCCACGATCGGGCGTTCCACCGCACACGGCGCATCCATGCTGTACTAGCTGTGTGCACACAACGCGCCCAGACTCCACTGACTATCCGTCCCTGACCCTACCACTACCAGGCCACCTATCCGCCCAGCGCGGCGGTCGGCTCTCCCACCTGGTGTGCCAGGTACGTGATCTGATGCTTGCGACGCTGCTGCGACGTCGGGTCGTCCGCCGACTTCTGCGGCCGACGGACCACCTTCTCCTCCGTCAGCTGCTTCGTCATCCACTCGTCGCGGTCCGGCAGGATGTCGTCCTGGTTGACGTCAATGAACTGGATGTCCTCGGGAGCCTCACGCCGGCCGCGCCGCCCGCGCAGGTGCTGCAGCTGCGAACGGCATGTAAGGAGAGTAAGTGTCAGCATGGGACGATCAAACAAGGAGGGTCGGATACACACGCTGGCTTCATATTCGGTGTCAAAACTGAATAACAAAAGACTGACCTACGCTTAAATTAGCTTTCACTTGGCTGACGTTTCGCAGGCGTAAAAAAATAACGTATTCAGGGTGCAAGACCCAATTTGCCTCTAAATGATGAAGCGACTCCTAAACAATCTCAAGCAATGGATGATTTTATCGATATCTGTGCATTATCGCGTGAAAATGTTGCAAAGCAACATACGTCATCATTTTCTCAGCACACCTGCAGTTGAAACGCTCTGAAAAACTCTGCACACTTACCGCTTCTGCGGGCATATCCAACTGGGCGGCAGCCGACTGGGGCCACTGTGACCCGGCGGCGGCCGGCGGAGGCGCCCCCTCCATCGGCTCCGGGCTGGGCGACCGGCGCCGCGCCGCCGCCGCCGCCTCCTGCTCGCGCTCGCTGAATGTGAGCGGTCCGGCGGCCGGTCCGGCAGGCAGCGCCGGCAGCGACGGGCCCTCCTCCGACAGGGAGAAGAAGTCGCCGCCACCGCCCTCCTCGTCGTCCGAGTCGGCGGCGGCCGGCGCCGGCGGCGGGACGCGCGGGGGTGCGGGTGCCGCGCGCCGCGGCGCCGCCGGTCGGGACACCGAGTGGGGCACCAGCGCGCGGCCCAACTCCTTGGTGGTGGCTGCCTTGGGTGGCGGCAGCAGTGAGAACAGCCCAGACCCTTTCTGAGGAGGAAACCATGAAGCAGTTAGCAGAGCTGATAATCGTACTACCGCTGAGATCAACTCTTATCTTTGGCATAAATCAATTATTATTAGCATAAATCAATTAGTTTAGCATCATAAATCATTAAGATATGCTATCTTATTCAAATGGAACATATCAAAGATGCATGTGATGGCAAAAACCTACTACCATCAAGCTGTTGCTATATGCCCAACCTCACCTGTGATGGCTTCATTTTCTTGGCAGCAGGCTCCTCCTCCTCCTCATCATCCTTAAACTGAAAATAAAATGAGGCATGGTTCTTGTGCATTCAATAAAATACTCATAGAACAAGTCATTACAAATATACACCTCATGGCTCATTCCGATGCTGAAAATGTATGCAAGCACAATGTAAAAAAGCAATGACAATGAGTATAACTATAAGGTCCAAAATATAGTGAAGAAGGCTCATGAAATATAATAGTTCAAGAAAAAAAATCATCACCACTTCTAAATCCAACTATGTTCTGATGTATATCTAACTGTAATTAAATTACATCAGCACATATTTATGTCAAGAAAACATACTGACATTGAGCAAAACCTAACCTGTGATAATGATGGTATGGATATTTTCACAGGTTGGTTCTTCTTTGGAGGTTTTTCAGCCTGTATTTTGCTAGCCAATGGGACATCATCCACGACATCATCTGCCTGGAATATACTTCCAGACACACTGTCTTCTCTGCCTTCCACCTGTGGCAGTGAAGATGTCACTGTTGCACGGGCCACTAAGTCATCCTCTTCATCTTCAATCAGATCCACACCAGACTTCAGTTGACCTTGTGAAGAGCTTGAAGATGGAGTGGGACCAGGAGCTGGCTGACTCAACTGATTGCTGTTCACATTGCCAGCCTCTTCTGGTTCAGACTCACTTTCATCACTGCTGGCATAGGCAGCAAGGCTAGCCAATGACATCTTGTATGCAGACAATTACCTATATTATTTTTTTAACATAAATTTCTGCTCCTCTTTGCAGCAGTATTCACTTCAGGATTAGATCTGTAAGCAAAGCAAAAAGTATAAGATGTAGGCAAATGTCTCCTGCTGAATGCTGTGAAAACACCACAAGCAAAACTAGGAAATGGTTAGGGATCTCAGAGCTGCCTGTTAATGTGATGCAGTAATATCATTCATTTAAATAAACTCAATATGAGGGAGCATTCCACCATTACACATTTATCTGACATTTTATCACTTCTTCCAGAAAGTACATAGGCATCAGCATACTATGCAGAATAAGTTACATACTGACAATGCATGTCGCATGCATTGTTTTTTGGCTATTGAAATATTGTCATTTGTCACTTTCTAGCACTTTCTAGCAGCCATTCATGGAGACACTTATGAATGGCTCAGGGTCATTGTATTGTATTGTATTGTAATGAACAATCATGAGCAATCCACATTCTCAAAGTGTGTTGCGATTACTGCTCAGAAAAAGCTGCGAAGAAGCTCATTGCAATTGTGCTCAGCAGCTCGCTCAGCCACTGCCCACTTGCGGCGCAAAAACATGCGACTAATGACTAATGAGTGGAAGTAAGAGACTGTGCACGGTCCCAGTCCCTGAACTTGCACACAAAGTAGACTGCGCATAGCACGGATCACAGACAAACTGAAACACAAAAAAAAATACAAGCCAGGGTCACCCCCAGGCCCCATTCAATATAGATACCTGATATTTGGGGATCAATGAAGCCACTAGGATTGCCCGGTGGTTCCGTCAGAGAGCTCGGGTCAGAGCAGCTGGGGTAGCGTCAACAGTCTTCTCTATTTCAATTTACAAGCCCCGAGCCCCTATGTTGATATATTTTGACATCTCCCGTTGTTTTTGTCACCGTGTGCTTAGATAATCATTATTCACGCGAGAGTTCAGCTCTGCGCGAGTGCTGAAACAGGCCCGAATGACTGTTTGTGTGACATTTGGTTGTCTTGCCACTGCACTGGCTGAAATCATCAGTAGAGTATGGACCAGGGGGGTACGCTCCGGCTGTTTAGCATTATGAAAAATGGTGACAGACGTTTGTGGAGGATTGTCGACGAACTCTTGTTCCGTGAGCAGTACTTACACGCTAACGGAAAATTCACCAATCAGCGCTCGGCGGTACTCGACGCTGATTGGTCCGACGCTCGTGACGAAATTGCGGGGGACCGCAGTTATTCTCTATGGACCCGAATAGGCTTTTGGATTTCGGAGGGGTTTCTTTAAGATTATATGCTGTTTCGAGCTGTTTTCGAGTTGAAATATATTTCTTATGACTGTTACCTATATAATGGCACCATAAAATCATGATTTTGATAAATATTACCGATGAAATATCGGCCGAAAAGACATGCTGTCATGGTACGGACTGCCCTGCGGCTGATGTGGGGTCCCTAATGCCAGCGTATGGTAATAATGGGGTGACGAAGGGTTATTGGAGACTCTTAGAGCCCCATCAGCATTCAGCATAGGGTCATCAGAGGCCGGGAACGTCCATCAGGGGTCTGAGTAGGCCTGTCATAGGGGCATACATGACACATCATGGCCCATGGGTCAATGTAGATCCATTCCATGGGGCCGTTGAAGGGCCATCATTGTTCAGCGTGGGCTCGCAATTACCTCTGATGGGCATATGCCGTGCCCCGATGGACTAACGCTGGCCCCTGATGAACCATCACCAGCCCCTGATAGGTCTACAAAGCCCACTGCTGGGTCTAAATTGGTCACTGATATGCCCAAATGGGCCACTGAGAAACCCGTACAACATCCCCTGACTGCACCTGCTGGACCAGTGCCGTCCTCTCATGGGCCCACCACAGCTCTTGAATGACCTTTTCAAGTCCCTTGAAGTGCCTTAATTGGCCTAAATGGCCCCTGATTGGCTTATGTGGTCCCTTTTGGTCCTATATGGCCCCCATGAGCCCTCAACGTCCCTAGACGGCCTTACATTATATGTCACTGGGCCCTGTTGGGTCAGCACCGGCCCCTGATAGGCTTGCACTGGACCCACCGGGCCTATACCGACCCATGAAGGGCCTATGTCGAGCCCTCATGGGCCTCCGATGACCACACGCCGGCATGTGTGGCCCCAATCCCATCAGCAGTGGTCCGTCTATCCCATGTACTTACGGTCTTTTTGGTCGATGTGACACCGGTAGTATATAGAAATGTTATGATTAAATGTCGTTATTACACAGTCAAAAGTCACAGAAAGAATATCCAAGCTCAAAAATGGCCTCAAACCCAACAAAAACTGGTATAAATCCCCTTCAAAAGCCGTAAGTCTATTAAACGCCATAGGGGAATAGCTGCAGTCCCCCGCAATTTCGTCACGAGCATCGGGCCAATCAGCGTTGAGTATTGCCGAACGCCGATTGGTCGATTTCCGCTAGCCTGTAAATGCTGCTTGCGGATATAGTTTTGAACAAAAGAGGGTCGCGGCTACTAATTATCGCTTGTCACCACTTTTTCGTCGGGAGCGTTCTACCTGGTTTATATAGCCTTGGTATGGACCCAGAGTCTGAAATAAAGCTTATCTATCTATCTATCTATCTATTCAAGGTTTAAGGAAAAACAGCTATGAAATGCCTATAGTGCTACCAAACAATATGTAAGATACTTGTGGATCTGTTACTTGATTGGTCAGTACTAGGTAAATGACGTCATTGGTAGATATGGTAGCAACATTTCTGAAACCACGCAGCTGCTACAGTTTCTGGCGCACTAAACAAACGTGTTCTCTCTGGGCAATATAACAAACAAACGTGTTGATGGCAGTGTGCGAAGCAGTGATTGCAAGGAAGTTGGAAGGAAGTTTGCGAGGAAATTTTTAGGTTGAGAAATTCAGATGTCAGGAGCAACTCATCTGCCAGATACTCAGGAAGTGTTATTGGACCATCTTTTAGTAAAACTGAGGTATGTTAAGTGTGCCGTGTGCACAGAACAAGAACTAGGTAAGAAAACGGTATTTATTTACTTTAGGTCCGCAAAACAGAGGGGTAAATAAAAGTCATTCACACGATACTCTAAGACCTCCTGATTTCATTTCTGATACTTATTCCTTCTAGAAACCAATTTAAAAGCACCAGTACACTAGTATCACCAGTATCACCACCGCCGGCCCCACCTCTGACCGGAACTGCACGTGTCAAAAGACCGTCTGCGCAGCGCACCCGCTACAAATGGTCCAACCAAGGTTGAGCGAAATTACGGATGATAATAAATTGTAAGGAAAGTGACGTCAAAATAATTGAGGCGGAGCGGTGCAGTGCCGAAGGCAATGCCTTAGGAGAGATTACAGGCAATGGTAAGTCAAATATTTTTAGGTTAAGTGGTTGTGTATCTGGCTTCAGGCTGAAGGCCTGAAGCCTGATGCATAACCACTTAACCTGAAAATATTTGACTTACCATTGCTTGCAATCTATTCATGCAAGTCACTTTTTCCTTTTCCCCCAGTAGGCAAACATCAGTAGGTCAGGTTAGGTAAGGTTTGGTTATGTTCTGATCATTTTCTCATGCTCTATTAGCTTTGCTAAATATATTCTCTTTTTTATTCACCGTTTTTCTTGTGCTTTGGTATTATGACGTCATTTTCATAACGTCGAAAACTAATGAATATCCGCATCATTTTTTCTTTTATAGGGCAGCGTTGTATGTTTTGTTTTTGTCGCGGAAGCGTGCTTTCTTCGGTGTATATTGTGCAGCAATTCGGTGTAATGTGCTGGGGTTTTAGTATCTTATTTTACATTTTTGATGTATTTAAGCATCATATCTGAATTCAGGACATCAAATAGTGTAAGAATGTGCATTTTGTCTTGTTAAAATAATATTGCGGACCTAAAGTAAATATTTACCAAGAAAACTACCTAACTCAATTCAAATTTGGAATGCCTGCCTTGACCTATTGATTTATGAATCTCATGTTGTAGTTACGTACATCAACCCTGATGATTTCATGCCTACCTTAGTGCACAACTTCTTGAACATGCTTTTTTCATTTCATTTTTCATTTCAGGCACCTTTCGCCGGGTCAAGAGGACAGCCTGGTTGAACTTCTTGGCGAAGGTCTGACAAATGAAGAATTATTGCAGCTTCTTCAGTCAGACCGGGAGCTTGGAAGTGCTGTCCAAACATTGCTTTCTTATCAGCAGACTGGGAGGTAGGAATTGTAGACTTTGCACAAGCTGCTCACCTGTTCACACACTCTTTCATGCACTTGGTCATCTGTTCATTGAAATCTTTTCTTTATGTCTTGGTGGTGGAAGCCAGGAGAGGCATTTTTGGCCACACTTCATTTTGTTTTGTGTGTTAACAAAACTGCATTACATTGACATAGCTTATGATGCATCCATTTTGCATCATGTGCAAAGTTTTCTGTCCCAGGTCATCTAAGGTCAGGTCACCACTCACCAGGTCAAGCTAAGTGCCTAGGTGTGATCCTGTCATTCATTACTATATATTTATATATTATCTCTTAAAAGTTTGAAACTTTGAAGTGCATGAGGCCTAAGTAAATCAGTGGCAACAATTTGGATAGGTAGGTCTCTCTGATTTTTCATATCTTGATCTGTGCTTTGGGGTCAGATCAGATTTGTGACCTCACCATTGTGAGGTAATTGGGGAAACAAACACAAATGGCTCCTGTTTTAAACAAGATGTCAGAACCATGACAAGATGTTTACAGAAACAAAACCATCTGACATGCCAGCTGTGCCCTTTTCATATGCCATGGACAGGATGCAACTGATGGACAGTTGCCTCTCAAAAGGCCATGCTAGGTCATAAAAGGCCACCAGAAATTTCTTTTTGACAATAGCTTTTATATGGATAGCTTTTATATGGAGCTTTTAATGGATATTTGGTAGAGTGATAAAATCATCTATAATGTGTTCAGGTCATCAATACAAATTGATTGATACCTATGCAACATGACCTTTTCCAGCCCGGTCATGACCTTGACCTGAGGTCAAATTCTAAAATTGGCTTTAGGTCAACTTATTGTTTACCTGACAAGTCTCGACGAGAGAAACACGATGGTGGCAAAATATTTGTCATGGATGCCAAAGTTATTGCGGGAAAATTGTTTCGACAAAATCTGTCTATTTTGGTGGTGTTTGCTTTCTCTGGGCCAAACCGATGACCTGAGGTCAAATCTGAGAGCATGTCAGGGAAAGACTGACATGCTCTCCTGTAGCTCAGTTGGTAGAGCATTGGAATCCCGGTGGTAAAAGCCCGGGTTCGGGTCGCTCCGGCGCTCGATAGTTGAGATTCCAGATGGGGATGGTCTTTTTTTTTAAATATTTTTGGTGCCCGACCCGGGCTTTTTGTGGTAAGTAGCACACACTCATACTGGGTTAGTTCACACACGGCAGTGGTACGAAGCGTTTTCGGCACCCGCTACACGGGACAGCCTTGACCGCACACTTCCTGTCACGCACCCCAGGTGGCACCGCATTGGTGCGCACGCTGGGGCTATCCCGATTTCTCGGGCCCGGCAGGTCAGAGGGCTGCTCCGGGACATGAAGCGTGGCCGTGCCCTCGGGACATGTCACCAGACCGAATGATCTGTTTAAAGGCAGATCAGGCCCGTGTACTTACCTGCGGCCGGGGGCGCTGGCTGGCACAGCGGTACCGTAAACCAGAGCAACTTTGTACCACTTTTTAGGTTTTTGTTGAATATCTTTTTTAATTGTTGTCCAATCTGGCTAGTTTTTTGCAAGGTGGAAGCTACAACCTTTGTCAACAGTTTGCTCTAGAGTAAAAGAATGCTAGCATCTTGAGTTATTTTATTTTTTTATTGAACAAGTGGTCAAAGTTGTAGAGGGGTTCTACAACTTTAAACCACTGATTATAATCCTATTTTATTCAATGCTAACGAATAAAATGGTATTTTACAGAGCATCTTTGGTCCACATAAGTTCTTTTAAAAAATATCCTGACACACCAGGACTTAAACTGGCTGAAAACAATCACAGAAACACTGGTTTACAATGGGGCAACAGATTCACAGTGAACGGCTGTTCCGGGCTTTGGATGGAGTAAAATCTGATAGGTGCGACCTCCCACTTTTTTCTAGACTTTCCTGCACTTTCTCCTCCCATAGCATTAACAGTGAAGCAGGATCAAAGGATCGTATGGCACAACTCGGACCTGAAACAGAAAAAATCATATTGGATAGGTATGGAATACAACAGGCTGGGAAATAATCTGGATTTGGAGGGCTAAAAATGAAATATAGACGCAGCAGCATAACCAATCGACTATCAACATCAATAACTTCCAGCATTGACTGTCATAAATGACGAAAAAAGTATGCTATAGTGATGAGAAGCTTCCTAAGAATGATTTCCAGGTGGACCAAAGTTGTAGCATTTTGACGGAAAAAGTGCTTGCAACTTTGACCACCACCCCTAAAAATTGACCATAAAAAGAAAATGGGGGTTTTCTTCCTCTAAGCCTTTGGAGAGCTCATGTACTTACTGTCTAGATAGCCAGTGTCGCTCCAGTTCTTACCAGTTCCGCTCCTTACATCATCCTAGCAACTTCTGTTTTTTGCGCCAAAATCAAGGCTTTTATTATAAAAATTCTGCTGCTGTCAAGGTCACATAACAAAAGCAGGTCTGTTCACACATAGTTAGGGCACATATTGGGCTAAATTGCCTGCATGAAAAAATGTCCCAAATATTACGATGGATTTTTTAAAAAATCAGCAAAGTATCTTTTCCATGGTGGACCAAAGTTGCACCGATGGACCAAAGTTGGTCTGGTTTACGGTACCTAATCTCCACGACCGAGCGAACACTCCCCAGTTACTGCCATCTCCTGGGTAGGAGCCGGCCGAGGAAACGAGACGGGGATGGTCTGCGGTTGGTGGGAGCAGCCGCAGCCAGTTGAAGTCAGTTGAATGGGACAGATTGTTTCCGACTTTGATGGGCACGTTAAACTTTGCCATCTAACTTCTCCCATTACCCGGAATTGTGCGATCGGGCGTTAGGGGTCGTTGTCCATGCAACAAACTCTGCTTGGCCCTGGCTGGGGCTCTGTCAATCCGTCCATTCAAACATTCGAGCTAAATTTATTAAAAAGAGTTTTGAAAGAGGTATCGAATGCGCTCTTCCGTGAATCTAGCCCTTTCACTCGCGAGTTATACGCCGATTTGTGAAAAATTAGAATACATTCGGACATATTTTCGTGATATTGTTTAATTGGTGATCTCCAGTGACCGCAGCTAAGGCCTAGTAAAAAATGACACAAATAGCTCTGAAAGATCTTATAGCGAGCTATATTTTGCTTTTCGCGTCCTTCTTAGTTTTCGAGATAATCATGTGCGGCCAAATACCTCCTCCCGAGTCCCTCCTCCCCCACGATGGTGAAACTGGTTGAAGCCCCTCCCCCATGGACGCGGTTTTTGACCCTCCCCCCCCCCACACACACACTATCGTAAGTTGTATGTATGCGTAGATGTAGTGAATATTCTAGAGCAAGGTATTCCAAGGTCAGGTCACCAGATCACGTCAAGTATGTACCTAACCTGAACTCAACAAAAGTTATAATACCTACTCGTCACAGCTCCGCCGACGGGATGAGCGCTTTGAAACTTTCAGCGATTTATAGGGCATAAGTATGTAAAAAGCATTTCTCAAAACTTTGATGTCAGTTACCTAAGGTTAAATCAAATTTGCGATCCATCCGTTCCAAACTGGTGACTGAAAATAAAACTGCTCTTCTTTTGGCTGGACGTCATTCTAGACACTCTCAAACATCGGGTAACAGACAAACAATGAATATTGAATCGGAAAATTGCATCCGTGACCTCTTGTTATGCCCCTGAGATGTCAGTTTTGAAAGTTTATTTTAGTTTTTTTTTTCGACAATAACATTTGATAGAGAGATACTAGGGCGATGAAAACACCGTGGATGTGTCCAGGCTTCAGCTCCACAATACGAATCGACTCATATGCAACATGACCTTTCCGGCCAGGTCATTACATTGACATCAAATGACCAATGATTGCCTGTGAATTGGAGTGCGGTTTCCTTTCGTGACTTGTTTATTTGTCATTTTACCCACATTTAATCATTCATTTATGATTGACACCTAATTAGTTAGCTGTAGGTGTTTAATGTGCTCGGTGTTCATTGCTCACCATTCACATGATATGTTTGATTGGTTCAAGCTTCACCTTCTCTTGGGTTGAACTGTGTACATTACACTCGCACACTCCCGCACCGCTCGTTCACTGTGTCTGTGTCTGTCCGCCAGCCTGACGCTGGGGGAGGCGGTGTTTGCGCGCGTCTCCCGGCTGGACTCAGAGCTGTGCGCCCAGCTGAGTGGCATGCTGCTGGAGATGCCGCCCCTCCGGCTGGCCAGGCTGCTGCAGGACGAGGGACGGCTGAGGGAGGCCGTCGCCGCCGCCCGCGCCGAGTACCTCCGCTACACAGGCGCCAGTCAGGTGCGGCTCGTATGTCAGGGCCATTTCAGCATGTGCCCAATAAATCGTACCCAGCATGTGGTACTTACCCTTTGTAGTTATACCAGGTTCTTTTATCTTCCTTGGCTCCGTGAGCAGTTTACAAATAGGAAAATTATCGGGTGTTTTTCAACTTTTTTTAGCAAATTTGTTTTCCCAAATATTGAATATATGTAGACCTCATCCACGAATGGCCTATTCTGGTCCATATTTAGTTGCGACATCTCCCTACCAAGACTGAATCAACCACTTTATAACCCGTTTGTAGCCCTGCCCTCGCGCTAAAATTTAAATACCTAGCTATGATGGATAGATTGCGATTTACTTAGCCTTCACCTCTCAGTCTGACGTCCTATGACATTATCGCTACTCGGCAGGTGGCGGCGGCGGCGGGAACCACGGCACCGGCCACCCGCGAGGAGCTGGCTGAGCGGCTGTTCGCGGCACTGCACGAGCAGCACCCACAGCTGGCCGGCCGTCTGACGGGCATGCTGCTGGAGCTGCCGGAGCCCGAGCTGACCGAGCTGCTGGACGACCGTGAGCTGCTGACGCTGCGAACGGAACAGGCGCTCCGGGCACTCGGACGGTGACCGTGAGCTGCTGACGATGCGAACTGAACAGGCGCTCCGGGCACTCGGCAGGTGACCGTGAGCTGCTGGCGCTGCCAACTGAACAGACGCTCCGGGCACTCGGACGGTGACCGTGTATGAGCTGCAGTGTCTGAGACGAAAAGGGAAGCTGGCACAGGCGCATTTATTTGCGCTCTGCAACAATTTAGAGAAGTAAGCGATGCGACGCAGTGGCAAGCTGCAAGCTGCAACTTCTTTCAAAGCTGTTTAAGGTACGACTTACATCTACGAATATCCAAAGAAGAAAACAACGACGAAGGTGCGTGGCTCCAACACATGGTGAGTCGGAATCCGTACGACGCTGAGAAGCTTTCGATATCATTCCAAGATGCGTAGCTCGCTTAGGAGCATGCGTAATGGGTATATTTACCAGAATCGATAAGATTTCGTAAATATTTGCATATAATATTATGAGGGTACGCTTCCTAAGCTCTGTGATAAAGAAGAGCCGTATCGTACCTTGGACAAAAGGCTTCTAATATGGCTTTACTGAATTATGTCTCTGTTGGGCTGTTGGCATTTTATCGTTATCACATAGATATTCCATACACATTCCATTGGTAATGCTCGTTTATGGCTATTTTAACGCGACTGATCGGTGATGATACTTTGATAAGATATGAGTAGCACGGTTCTCGCGCGTAAATCGTAAACCTGCTGTTTTTACGATACTAGATGAGATATCATGAAGCAGATTGCCAATAGCAGTCCACACCCTATCTTATATTTGCTTCTCTTTTATCACAAAATAAAGCCTGTGGAACATGAGTTTGCAAAAGTTTGTCAAAGTGCAGATAGCTATGTATAATAGATATATAGTAGATATATAGGGCAGGGCTAAAATATCTATATATCAGGGCATATATAGTAGATACAGGGCAAGATCGAACACATTACAAATAAAAAGCAGACAATTCCAATCAATCAACCAATCAAACAGCCTATGCGATCTCTGCAGACGAGAATCAGAAGATTTGGAACATTTTTTTCTTAAGATGCGAAGCGCTCAATGATGTGAGATCTGTAATTGAGCCGTTGCAACGACCACATGTGGAAGATAGCACCGAAATATTGGCAAACCTTTTATTTAGTAATGATGAAAAGCAAATGGAGAAAAATAAACATAGTGTTTACAAGATGTGGGAAGCAAGAAGAAAAAGGATGAGGCAGTGAAGTGTCAGCAAATCAGCGCCACTATGAAAAGTTAAAACTATGAAAATGATGACAAAGAATCAGAATGAAAAGAAAAAGATTACGAAAACAATATTTTCAATTAAAGCCAACTATATGGAAATAACATGAAACAAACCGAGAAAAACATCACTGAAAATGTCATATAGGTACCTACTTGATGCCTACTTTGTAGTATGTGTTCGTGTTCGTGTTGGTCGTGCCATGTAAAACTGTTGTGTTTGTGGGGGCCGTTGCAAAGGCATTACCCAAATAAACGTCATGTCATATAATTATTTATCATTTAAGTTTTAGATGCCCCGATTTCCTTCCTTATGTAGAGGGACTCCATACTATTTCCTGACTCGTAGCTGGGTGAGTAATGTAACTGCAGTGTTTCGATATTAACGCACGTTTTTCGGTCGGGTGCAGTGTAGCTATTCCTTTTTTATTTCAAAGTTAAATCTGTTTTCATTTTCATTTCATTTCATTTTCATTTATTCACAGTATCACCCACGGGAAAAGCCCATTTACGGGTAAAGTCACATAGGCATAGGCACACTGATCATACAAACACGTAATAAAGGTATACAGTAAATGATACAAAACAGACCGCAATCTTGCGACACACGGCAACATCATTGGTCTGTGGGAAAGGCGCGGGAGGATAGCTGAGCAGCGTAAGACTTAGCTGTTTTCCTCACTGTGGCTAAGGAGTCCGTAAACAGGTCTAGCTGGTTGTTTTCACGCAGAAATTCATTTGCGAGCCTCGGCACCCTACAATAGAGCCCATTCTTGATGGTTTCGACTCTGGCGAACGGCACGGCGAACTGATCGAGGCGGGACGGCGAGGCCAAAATGAGATCGCAGGGAACTGGAGTCAATTTTGTGCTTGAAAAGACGAGCTACATAAACCAAGTCATGTTGCACCCGTCGTGCTGCCAGAGAAGTGAAAGAATGTGCCGAAAGAAGATTTTCGTAAGAGAGAGAATCCGAGTTGGTGACAGAGTTAACTGTAAGCCAAATAAGGAATTTATGCTGGATTCGTTCTATGCGATCCGTATGTGTTCTCGCCGCTCGGCCCCACACAACACTGCAGTTCTCGAGAACCGAACGTACATTGGCGAAGTATGCTGAGGTGATAGCGCCAGTGTCATACCTAATTCTCGCTCCGGCTTGGAGTGACCGAATCAACAAGCCGAGTGCTCTATTGCCCGCCGCGACAATCGAATCAACATGCCGCTCGAAGGTGAGTTTCTGGTCCAGAGTAACTCCCAGATCGCGCATAGTGGTGACGCGATCTAACGTCACTCCACCTATTCTATAGGGACTGATGATGGGTGACCGTTTGAGAGTGATGGTAAATGACTTGCACTTTGACGCATTTAGTTTTAATCTCCAGGATGACGACCATTCTACTAGGCGGGTGAGATCGTCATATAACAGCACGGCATCTGCATCTGTGCGTACCTCCCGGTAAATCTTCACATCGTCAGCGTACATCAGGCATTCTGAGTGAACATACGATGGCAAATCATTAATAAATGCAATGAACAAGAGGGGAGAAATCAGGCTACCCTCCGGCGTGCCCGAAATCACCGGAGTCCAAGCAGACGTTTGACCGTCTAACACCACCCCCTGTTTACGGTTTTCTAAAAACGAGCCTAGTAGTGCAAGAGCAGGGCCGTTGATATCGTACGATTTGTGCAGCTTGTGTAACAATAGACGGTGGTCAACACTTTGGAAGGCGGCAGAGAAGTCGGTGTATATGCAATCAAGCTGGTTACCGTTTGAGATTGCCTGCCAGCCTGCACGGACAATGTGACATAGGTTACTTTCGCAACTACGATGTTCGATAAAACCGTGCTGTTTCTCAGACAGAACACCGCGAACGTGCGCATACAGTGACTCATACACTATCCTCTCCAAAACCTTACCAAACAACGGTAGAAGTGAAATCGAACGATAGTTTGCCGCCACTTTTGTTGATCCTTTTTTGGGAACAATATTCGCCTCCTTCCACTCCACCTGTCCGGAAAGACCCCAGATGACAGTGACTGCCTGTACAACATGAACAGCGGCACAGAAAGCTCGGCAGAACACTCACGGACTATTCGCGCGCTGATGCCGTCCGACCCGCACGCTTTATGCACTTCTACAGCATCAAGAATACGAGAGACAGACCCAACTGACACATCGAACTCCGAGAACTGAGGCAAATCGTACTGAGGTGCTTCGGGTAAAGGGTCTGTAGACGGTGGTGCGAACTTGCTCGCGAAGGCGAGATTCAGCAGCTCAGCACTGAATCTCGCCTTTTTTCTTTTATCTTTACTTCTTCTAATCTTTTATCTGTACTACTTCTAATCTTTTATGACTTAGAAGTAGATATAGCCGAAGACAGTCGATGGGTCGTACCATCGTGGATACAAGCTGTCTATTTGGGTTTTCTATTGCAGTGCTTGGCTATTTTTGTATGCATTGGTGTACTGAAAATGAAATAAATGGCAATGGCATGATATGATGCTATAATAATCATGTTTTAATATTTCTTATTTCTGTCCCTGACTGGGTTTCATTGCTCGCAGATCTCGCAGATAAAGTTTTGGGTGGACCGTATTGTGTAGACATCTGAAGTGTGAGCGAATGTGGTATAATTATACGCCGATCAATCGCGTTGTAGTTTTCCCAAAGCTAAATTTCAAACTCATACGAGTGATATTGTGATAAATGCACAGCCAATTCATAGTGGGTAGAACTAACGATTATGTAGACTTCATTCGATCTGCTGTGCTACCGCGAAGGTATGCTCATCGTCAATAAGGATTATAAAACAGACTGGTGCGAAATTGGGCTCCCATATTTGGTGCTGATATTTGTGTATTAGACAGGAGTGATTATGCGGACGTATCACGGGACACATAGCTACATGGTCACATGGTGCACACATTTACAGGTCATGCAGGTTTCGCTCCCCGACCGGGTTAGCTCCAGTCGGCGCGTTCGGTCCGGTCGGGATCACTGGCGACCCCGGTCCGTTCAGTCAGCCTCAGTTGCGGCTGGTGCTCCGCCCTTCCCTCCCCATGGTGACTGGTGCCGGCCCTCCCCTCCCGCTGGTGATCGATGCTGGCTCGCCGCGCACCAGTGCCGCGATGTGCCGGTGCAGGTGGTCGCTGACGGTAGGAGTTCGGACCGCCGGCACCACGATCGTCACTATACCCCTGACAGGAGCCGGCGGCGGTAGCGGTGCGGGTCGCTTCCTGGCCCTGCCGCGCCTGCTGCCTTTGGTAGGACTCGGCTTGATGCGCCCGTTGCCGTTGGTAGGCATCTGCTTTATACTGGCAGAGTCCCGTCCAATGTCACCGTCCTGGCTAGCTGCCGTCAGGACAGACAGCTCCCTGCAGGCTCCGGGTTCCCGCTTCTGATTAGACTCATCAGGTCCCTCTCCAAGGGCATCGGTTTCTCGGCTTGTCTTCGCCTTGCCTTTCTCTTCGGTGAATCGTGGTTCTCCGATGTAGGAATCACAAGACCTTGGAATATCTCGCACCTTCCTCTGTTTTGGTCGACTCCCGGTGGTCTCCTCTGAAGTACAGCATTCAGACATTGGTTTCATACCACCGTACATTTTCTCATCCCGCGCCAGTGTCCAGTTTGAATCGATATTTGATTGAATGGACTCCGTGCCTTTCCTACATCCAAGAGAACTCGAACCATCCTGTCGCCGGTGGGACGCTCGCTGCGCGCTGTGACTCTGCGGTGCTCTCTCGGTGGATTTAGCAGATATGTTAGACGACGCTGCAAACGTCGCTCCGACCGGACAGACGGCGCTACCATCGGTGCTGGTCGGGGTGGTGACGGGAGATCCTGTACCTCGGTCTGCCTGTGCCGGCTCCGCACCGGCCGTGGCTTTGGACGATGGATCTTCAGTCGTCTGGGTAGTTATGCAGTCAGACTCGGTGGTGGGAGGTGTCAGAGGAGCTTCTGCTGTGTTCGTAGACCAGGGAGCCGTCTGAAGTGGAGGGAGATGAGAGTGAATTTATCATTATGGCATGCTACAGCTCCCTACTTACAGATTATCCGCTTGTCTTTTCTCTCTAGTGACATATGAATTAGAGCACGAAAGTGGCCCGATCTTACATTGAGTTGGCTCGACATGCAGAAACAATAACAAAATTATTCCAATAAACAAATTAATATGCAGGCAAATTTTGAAGAAAAAAACTCCCGACTTTTGCCCCTACTTTGGTGTATACCTATTACCTATATTTAGTTTTCAGTTTCAATTCAAAGTCATTGTCTTGCTTGGTAGCTTTGTACCCGGGTTTGGCAGCTGGAGCTGAAGAGGAGACCGCTTTGCTATTGGGCGTAAATTTCCATGTGTGTGTCGAATGTCCCCCATACTGGTTTTAAATGGCTCCCTCAAAATAAAGTATCTAATCATATTTATTGACATAACGATGGTGATGTGGCGAGTACGAGCAATGAATAGTTGACAGGCCAGTTCACACTTCACAAGACCTCTGAGGTCACGACAACGCCGCGAAATTCGCTACCCTGGCCAACCTCCAGCGATTTTCACTCCGCTGCTGACTGGGTGAACACTTAGAAACGTGGACGGGAAGCACAAGAGCGCGGCGGTCCAGAGACCGTCGTCTGCTCCCGACCTCTGCCACCGTGGACATATAGACCCACCACTACACGCCGAGCTCTGCTCGGAGGGTGCCAGGCACCAGAGAGCTGTTAGTGCTGTTCGATACATTTGTGTCAGTGGAGGTAACACTTCTGTGAGCGCTGTGAACCAAGTGTCAGCCAGGTTGAACAGCGTACGTGGCTTGTGATTGCTTCTGTTTTAGCATACTCCAATTCCAAACGTACAGGAAACGTGTTCATGTGTGATATCAGCTGTTCACCGGGGTGTAATACCAGAATCTGACTCCAGATTTAACATGGTCATCTAACCATGGCTAACAGACCACCTGGGACCTGCCAAGCCACACCTCGTGCGCCGATACCCATCGAGCAGGCTCTAGAACCCTCGATCGGGAACTGTCTGACGTCCTTCCTTATCCAGCTACTGGTACTACCGCCTTCACCGATACCAACCATCATCGTGAGCATTCCTCGGGACTAGCCCGTATTGCACATAGTTACACTCAACAGTATCATGTGTTGTTTTTAGAGGTAAAGATGCTTTGAGCTTGCAAAGCTACGCGCGTCGCTAGGAGGCAAGTGACGTCAAACTGCGTCGGACACCCTCGCTTGCTACTGGTTAGCTATACGGGCTACAGATGGCACTGCCTATCTAGCAGTAGCGTCGTACTACGCCTCTACGCGTCGATCTGAGCGACACTACGGCGAAGCTATAGCGTCCAATGTCATCAGTCAGTGCCGTCCTCTATCGTTTCAAGCTGGAGGCGGGTTCACTGCGGATGTCTACCAGCCCGTGCTACCGCACCTTCTGCCGTAGGCAGGTCACTGGGACCGCTGCAGGCTCTTGGGTCACTGCAAGTCACTGGGTAAGTGCAGGTCACTGCCCACTAGGTCGCTACAGGGCGCCCGGTCTTGCAGGTCACTGCTCATTGGGTCACCGCAGGTTGTCTACAGGGCGCCGGACGGCAGTACCGCGATGCGACCTGCGGCGTGGCCCTCCGGCGCCGCCATCTGACTCACAGTAGCCATGGTGAATGGTCGCTGACGTGTGAGGATGGTGAGTTTCCCTGAAACGGAGCCGGTGTGGTCAGCGCCTCGTTTCGGTCAGGTGTGAGAGCTCGGTGGGTGAAGATGCTAGGAGGCAACATATCAATATGAAAACGGGCTGAGGATGATCTGCGGGATTTTCTTACGGTGACATCTTTTTAAGACAAGCAATGGTATATAAAAAATAACACGTAGGTAAGGGATATAGCCTCACGATACAATGTAGCCAGCTTACAGTACAAAGATGTTAGAAATTCATGGTGTTTTATGCGTTTGAGCTAGCTCCAGGGGCGTCGACGCGTAAGGAAAACTGGTCCGACTTTTTCTCGGGGGCCCCCACCGGTGGGGGCCCCCAGGTGTCGAACGGCTTCCCAACGTACATTTACATACATACATGAGTATACAAATGTATAGTGCAGGGGTGCCAATTTATGGAAACTGTTGCGGGGGGGGGGGGCGAAGGCCGGGGGTCAAGGTACCCCCTATCAAAAACCAAAGTCAGCGAATTGGGCCCACTATTTTTTCGAGAGGCCCAAATTCACATAAAAAAGCTAAATGTAAATAAAATTAATAACTTTCTGTTGGCGAGGCCCATGGGGCCCAGGCCCATGGCCAAAAAGAATAAAAGAAATAAATGTTTCAGTATTTTGACATTGGAAACATCATTCAAATTGTGGTTATCTGCTTCTATTAAAGCTCGGGGCGATTGCTTTTTATCGTTTTATAACAACACCCTGCATTGTGCGCTTTACACGTTTAAAATAGCAAAAAAAAGCTTAAAAGCGATTTACCACCAATATTTAGGGTAAATCGTTCCAATGTGGAAGACAACAAAATCACTCTTCTGTCATCAGAAAAATGGTCATCTAAAAAACACATCCTATGTAGATATATTGATACCAGTTACCAGATACATCTTGCAAGTAAAACAAACTACTGCAGCTACATACTCGATTAATCGACCATCTTCAACAGCCTTAACAGTGTTCCATTTTTCGGAAAGTTGGGTGGAAAGGCACACCTATTGGCAAACATATTTTCATCCTAAAATTTCAAAACAATAATAAAATTGTGTCATCTTTGATAGTTCCAGTCACCTTAACCTGCTCTCGTGACCGTCTGTTGAAAAAATTTGCAGACAAAGGTATTCCAAAAAGGAGAACTATTTTACCACTCCTGATTACTGACGATAAAATCGGAATTGTCATCTTTGAGCTTGAAAAGCCACCTTTTACTCTCACATTCGTCATCCGAGGAAAATTATATCATCATCCGCACACCTAACTTAACCCGCGCCCTGCTGGGGGGGGGGGGGGTGTTTGAACACCCTCCCCCTTGTGGTTTTTCGCGAATATCTCAATAACGGCGGGGAGCGCCGCCGTTTTTGGTACACCTTATCATACATCAATTCTACACATGTTGTGAAATTTTCAGACCAAGGTCATTCAAGGTCAGGTCACCAGGTCACTTGAAGTGACCTCACCTCATAAAAAGTTTCAATGTCTGTCATAGCTACACCGAGTGACCAATCACTTTGAAACTTTCAGCGATTGCGAAGAGCAATAGCATGTAGGGGAAGTTGGGGGAACGCCGAATACTTTTTTTCTGACGCCCGTAGCACGCAAGGTAGACAACATAAGCTATACTTGTTGGCGTCATTCGAGAGGCCAGTCTTTTGCCTTTCAAACATACCAGGCGCATTTGATGAATTCGCATACCGTTAAGCGCACAAACTAAAAATATCAAAGAAGTGACTTTTTCGGCGTTGCCCCGGACTGCGGGGAAAGCCGAAAATGGGAGAAATGATCTACGGGAATGCCGGAATTGATGTTTTGCTATTTTATCTCAAATTTTATCCAGAATTCGTCAAAGCTGACACGCGTTTTAAGAGCTTGAGGACGCTTGGTGCACACTGGAAGTTATAATTGTGTGATATAATAAGAAAAGGCCAGGTAAATCATTCCTTATGGTAACAGGCCGTTGTGTCGGTTAAAAGTGTAATTTGTGTGACTAAAAATACGCGTTGCTATTCTACGGTAAAGTTAAAGTTCGGTAAAGTTCACGTAGCATGCTTTAACGCGCGTAATTGCACGTTTTCGGCATTACCCCAGCCAGCCATACTTTCATTTGCAGGCCCATAACTTTTCAACGTGCTGTATATATTTCAAATAGGCAGCACACTTATGCAAAGACGTGCTGAAGATTACTTGACCGAATTGGCCAGACAAACGGTAGCATAATGAGTAGGAAATGCATCTTAGAAGACGCATGTAGTACAAAGGAAACGTACCTTGAAAACGCTCTTGGCGCCCTCACAGCCGAAGTATTCCGAATTACGACTGGTAACAAACATGCGATAATTGGTAGTCACTTAAGCTTCAGAGCATCACTGACAGGTGTCATCCATGTCGTACGGTTTTCGAAATATCTCGAATTTCGGCTTTGCCCCAACCCCGGCATTGCCCCAACTTCCCCTACAAAATGTATATCTCAAAATTTTGATATCGATGACCTAAGGTCAGGTCAATTTTTGCGACCTCCCCATTATAAGTCAATGGGAGAAAATTGAAATGCGCCTCTTTTGGACAAAAGACATTATAAACACTCCCAAACACCAAACTACAAGTGGTTTAGACACACTGAACATGAAAATGGTGTCCGTGACCCTTCTTTATGCCCTGAGGTCATCTTAGGTCACACCTATCTAGCAGTTTTTCGCAAATAACTTTTGATAGAGGCATGCTAGAGCGATGAAAACGCCCTAGATGTGTTCAGCTCGACGATACGGATCGACTGATATGCAACATGACCCTTTCCGGTCAGGTCATGACCTTGACCTGAGGTCAAATTTTCAAGTTTACCTTTCAAGGTCAACTTATAGTTCATTCGATGCGTCTTGACGAGAGGAACACAATGCCGGTAAAAGTAAGCTCATACAAGGCTTGAGTCAAAAGTTATTACAGAAAAACTGTTTCCGAAAAAAATCGGCTATTTTTGCAGTTTTTGCCCCCTGCAGGCAAAACCGTTGACGTTAGGTCAAATCTGAGAGAATTACTCAGAAAGGGCTTTAATAGGGCTATGGAATGCGCTTTTGCGCGGCGCTGTAGCTCTATTGGTTCTCGAGTTTTGCGTTGGCTTCTTGGAAATTTTCGATATTCGACCTGGAAATCGGCGAAATTTTGCCTTCAATGACCTCTGGTGACCTGACCTTTGACATGACCAAAAAATTGACCGAAGTGATTTCGTCATTATTTTTGACGCTCTTTCGAACGCCGTCTTCCGCGTATCGCTACGTGGTCCAGGAGCCGAGTTACAAGGGGGGGGGGGTGTTCAAACACCCCCCCCCCCAGCAGGGCGTGGAAATCCAGGACCCCCAGCCGGGCGCGGGTTAATATCAATTTTCGAACACTGTGGGCACAACTGTACTGTATTGTAGTGTTGCGTAAAGTGTTTAGGCATCACCAAATACTCTCCTCCGGACGTCATCTGCTGCCACGAACGCCCGTATGACCTGTTCCGGGTCCACCTCGTCCAGCAGGGTCTGACGCACGTGGCAGACGAGTAGATCAGAGAGGCGTCTCTCGCCCATCCTGTTTCTGAGCCAGGTCTTCAGCGTTCGCAGCAGTAGGGCCCCGCGGTCTGCAAGACTAGGGGCCCCACGGGCCGCAGAAGGGCCCTGGCGAACCATGGGCCCAAACGTGGCGAGGCAGGGCCTCACGTGCCGAAGCAGGGCACCCTCAAGCTACAGAAGGGCCCCAAGGTCTGTAGAAGGGCCCCCGCGATCCGCAGCAGGGGCCCCGTGGCCGCAGCTGGGCCCCCGAGAGCCCCAACAGGGGCCCTTGCGGCCACAGCAGGGGCTCCCGCGGTCGCAGCAGGGCCCTCGCGAGCCCCAGCAGGGCCCCCGAGCCACAGTAGGGCCCCGCATTCTACAGCAGGGGCCCCCGAGCCGTAGCAGGGCCCCGAGAGCCGCAGCAGGGCCCTCTCAAGCTACAGAAGGGCCCCGCGAGGCGCAGCAGAGCCCCCGCGAGCCGCAGCGGGGGGCCCCCGTTGCCGCAGCAGGGGCCCCCGTGGCCGCAGCAGGGCCCCTCCGAGAGCCCCAACAGGGGCCCCCCGCGGCCGCAGAAGGGGACCCCCGGGCCGCAGCAGGGCCCCGCGGTGTCTAGCAGGGCCCCAGAGGCGCAGCAGGGCCCCCGCGGTCTCTAGCAGGGCCCCCGAGCCGCAGTAGGGCCCCCGCGGTCTGCAGCAGGGGCCCCCGCGAGCCACAGCAGGGCACCGCCTAGTCGAAAAAGTGGTCCGACTAGTCGGAAAAGTCGGACCGGTGTCGACGCCCCTGGCTAGCTCACCTGATCTCGACACGTGAGAGCCGTGATGAGCAGAGTCGTGCGTGCTGATCGGCTCACTCTTACGGTCCCGGCGTGAGTGGTGCGACCAAAACTTAGGAAATCTGCAGCAAAGGTCAGGGGTCAGTTACCGCGATTGCAGGAAAGGATTGTGATGACCGCTTTTAGGTATTAAGTTCATAAGTATTGTGAACGATGAGGGTTTCTTCTTAGCAACCCGTACTTGTCATCACTTGCTTAGATTTATATTTACTATGATTGTTCTCTGCAAAGATAATACATAATTCTTTGAAGTTGGAACCCAGCCCATCATTCCAGCTAGTGACCGTCACTGGAATGTCATGCTCACCGTTTGGCTCGCGTTGGCGCCTGGTGTCCGTCGTGGGTGTCGCGGTGGTCCCCTTCCTGGCGACGTCTCTCCGTCACCGGACTCAGGTGGCGCAGCAGGCTGCGGATGCTGGCCACCAGACGAGGCGACTCGGCCGGACCGCTCTCCGCTCCGGCAGAACCGCCCTCAGTCGCGGCAGGCCCACAGTCGACCCCTCTAAGCCGCCCTTCGACACTGGCAGAACCTGCTTCGGTTTCTGTCAGCAGGTTATCGGCTTCGATATGGTCACCATCGGGTCCATGATGCTCGTCTTCAGTTTGGGGATGTTCGTTCTCGGTTTCAATCTCCGAGTCTGCTGGGAGTTCTTCATGGTAGTTGGAAGATTGGAAGCGCCTGTCAGCATCAGCAGGATCGTTGGGATTTTGAGGAGCGGAGTCAGCTGCCTTGGGACAATTCAGACTTCCTTGAACTGTTTCGGCGAAACTTGTTCTCGAAACCTCTTCAGGAAGGCTCGCATCTGCTTTGACATCTGCGACGTTTCTGGTGGCCGCATCAACTTCTTCATCCATGCTACCGTTCGTCTTTAGATAGACACCAGGGTCTTCTGATGGTTTGAGAGCGAACCCAACCTCGTCTATCGGCTGGCTGGATTCGTTCGACGGCAACTCGTCGTCATCTGTTGTCCTTGGCTCTTGTTCGTCATTATTGTGTCGTACCCGGTCGCCCCTCTCCTTCGTTTGCGGGCTGTTGTCGAGTAGAGCAACATTCTGCTCTTCCTTACTGTCCCTCTGGTTTTGTGTTTGGTGGACTTCATCGTCTGTTGGTATTTGTTCTGGCGCCGGATGTTCAAACTGAGTCGACAGGGGACTAGATCCCGGTAATGGTTGACTCATTTGATTGTCAACACTATCTGCCGATGATTTCGTTGGAAGCTCCATAAGTCGGGTATCCTCTGAACTCACATTGACCTCCTTGGTTGATGCAATCTCCAGCGATTGTGGGCCATCCGTTAAAGCGATTTCACCAGATTCTCTCGCTGTTTCTCTTCCCGCAATATTGTTGGCTTTTGACGAGTCGTTTGTCGCGACTTCTTTCGTGTTGAGCGTTTCAGCGTCCAATGCCTTTTCTCTGCTGACTTCAGCGTCAATCAAACCTCTGCCATCGTCCTTCAGACTATCGTTGGCGGTTGGCTGATGCTTAGTCGCGTCGAACGCTTCAGCATCCTGATTTCGCTGTGCTGGTTGTTGTGTCTCGCCCTCCGGTTCTCCGGTTTCGTGCCCGCTCTTCTCTGAAGAGCCGTTACCATTAGCGAATGGTTCATCACCATGTCTTGGTCCATCGCCAGCAAGGTCGTCCTGCGTGGAAGATGAGGTAGGATTTGTTTGGCTATGTTCCGTTGTCTCGGATTTCGCCACATGTGGAGTTATGGTAGTCACCTTTGTTGAATCCTGCAGAAAGAAAGAATGAAAGGGAAATGAACGATATGGTGCGACGCTATCAATACAAATCGCTCATGAAACGACGTGGTCATGATCGGACATATTTTATAGGAGCTTGAGGTATTGTGATTTGTGGGAGGCATCGGTAATTCACCAACGATGCAAATCTATGTACCTACCGGACAACAATGCGTCAATTTCGTTATGGCTGTTATGCTGAGATAGAACTGAGCACTAACACTCTGATGACTTTACCAAGCTACGAGACGAGCGCACCTAAACTTGCATCCGAAATTCTAAAAGAACCTAATGGTGACATGCAGCGACACGTTGGTATGTACTAGGTATGTAGCAGCACTTGTGGCAATTATCCCCTGTCTTCATTGTTTGCCCAGTGCAAGACAAATAACATTCATGCGCGCCCATAATATGGTTTCTATCATCTGGCCTCAACAAGTTGAGTCACGTTCCTGCCACTTACCTTATCAGTCCGATGTGAAGGTGCTTCCTCTCTCACGGGAGACTCATGGGTTTGGTCCTCCGGACTTTCTAAGTCGTCAGGAACCTGTATTTCAGCAGCATCAGCTTCCTCCTCGTCGGGCTGATCCTCCGATCCGATCCCGCGGAAGCTGTCCGTGATGACTTCCAACGCTCGCTCAACGCTGGGCTGGCCAGTGTTTGCCACCACTCCCTCAGTGGTTCGATAACAGCCGTCTTCACCATGTCGCCTGCTGGTCTTCGGTCCGGAGTAGGGGATCACGTCGATCCCGTTTGCCCACATTCGCACCTTATTCCGCATGTGCTCGGAGGCCTGGTGATCCTGCTGCTGATTAACATCGCATTTGATTTGCGTCTGCCTCTTGCGCGGGACCGGCCTTAGGAAGGAATCGCGCTCCGGCGGCGAGGGCTCCTGCGGTGCGCTCGAAGAAGACGCCTCCTCGCTGATGGGCGACAAGATGTCTGAGCCGGACACGAAGCCGTCCAGTTCCTCGGTGATCTCCTCGATGTCGGAGAGCGGCATAAGGCGGTCGGTTTGCGTTCGGTAACCGTCGGCCAGCTCCAGAGTCAGGTCGGGCGCCACTTCGTCTTCCAGATCTGGCAGGCCGCCAAACAGCGAGTTCTGGCTGTCACCGCTGGATGGCGCCAGTGTGGCGTCCTCACCGGTCGAGTCCAGGTCGCAGGCAGATGCCGAGGTGGCCGGGGAGCCGGAGGTCAGGTAGCTGCCGCGGCTGGACGGAGTCGCCGGAGAGAGGTCTGCACTGCCCCGTTCGGGCGGAACCTGCCAGAGCGCGCCCAGGCTGGTGGCGCGAGGCACGGGCGCGGCTGGCGCCGCCGCTCCCGCCTGCCGCTCGAACGCTGCCACCTGTCTTGCCACGAGCTGGCCGTAAGGCCGCTGGAGCGCCTTGGTCGCCCCACGTCGCGCGCAAGGCACGTAACCGTGGCTGACGTCTGTCACCAGATCACAGCTAGTGCCGTGGCGCGTCAGCAAGGCGCCTGTGACGCCAGTGGTGCTGGCCCCTTGCTCATCGACGTCATCACACCGAAAGGCCGGCAGCACCTCTTCACTCCGACAGGCCAGGGGCGGGTCAGCCGGGTCGGCTCGCACCTCCGAACGGTCCAGCGAGCTGGGGATCGAGCCGGCGCGGCGCGCCAAGCTGGAGAGGCTGCTGGACAGCGCAGTGGACAGCACCTTCTGTGAGTGGCGCTCCAGCAGCTCGTCACTGCGCGAGAGGTAGGCCGAGTCCTCTAGCTCGGTGAGGTCGTCCCGCAGGACCGTGGGCTCCAGGATCGTTGTCTCCGCAGTCCAGCGGTCGTCGTCGGCGCCGTCACGAGCCGTAGGCTTCCCGTGATCGCCCAGCGAAAGTGTCGCGGGGATGCGGGTAGGCGAGATAGACGCACGCAGTACCGCGAAGTCAGTGGAGACTTCGCCGCAACCTTCGCCTGCGTCTGGTGACTCGTCTACGAAACCGCTGCACTGGCTACGAGGACTACCGGACGTTCTACTCTCAGACATGCGCCTGTCGTCATGCTCTTCGGCGCTGCTGTTCCGTTCTAAGCGCTCCACTCTACGACTATCCTCATCGATGCTTTCCTTTACGTCTCTATCGGCCGCGTCGCGAGCGTATGAACTTGGTTGGCTATGGCAAGATGCATCTGATGAAACTAGTTCTCTCGGAGAAACCGCAGAGGACTCACCGGCAACAGGTGATGGTGGAGGTTTCGAATGTACAATAGCGGCAAGAGTTTTGTCGTTTCCGTCATTTTCAGGGTTTACGCATATTTCGTAGCAGAGTGGCGCTCCCAGTACTCCATTTGAAGCTGGTAGTGATAGCTCCAGTACGGGCGATTCACTTTCGTGCTCCCCAGACCTGTTTGTCTCTTCTTCGTTCACACTGGTTTTTCTTTCGCACTTGCCAGTCGTCACGGATGATTCTGATTCACCGTTGCACTTCTTTGCCGTTCTGGAAAGTTTCTCACACTCAAACGATTGCTGATCGCGGGACTCTTGTTCGTAGCTTCGATCTATCTGCCTTAGTTTAGAGCCCTGAACCACATGATCAGTGGCCTGCTCAGTTACCCTGTTACAAGTAGTTACCCTGTTTGTCATCTCTTCTTCATTCATCTCCTGCAGCCTGGCCTGTCCGTTCGTCTTGCTCCCTGTTGATTCAACTGTCCCTCTCAGGAGTGACAGCCCGCCTGGTCCGGTAGGAGACAAGTCATCATCGTCTGCGAACTTCATGGACGGACTGGGCAGCAGGCCGCGTTTGGATTGCGCCGCGCCGCCGTTCCCGCTGTCCTCTGCGACCCCTGAGTCCTCTGTTGACCCCTGAGTGAGGGAGGGTCGGCGGACCGGCGCGCCCACCAGCTCCGGGTAGTCCTGCTCGATCCTGTCGTCCAGGTAGGGGTTGTACTGGGGGCGGCAGCGGCGCGGCGGCGGTGGCGCGCCCCGGTAGCGCACCACGTTCACACACCCGTACGACACGTGCCGGGAGCCCGGCGGCGGCGGAGTGACGCTGTTGGAGCTCAGCTCGTCGTCCAGCAGGAACGTCTCGAACGCGCCGTCGGCGCTGTCGGCCGACTGCACGTCGAACAACACCTTCTGACGCTTCTTAACGAAGTCGGCGATCGTCATGTCGCCCTCGCGCTCGAACACGGGCGTGACGCGGCCGCGCTCGCCGGCCGGCACGTTCAGGCTACTCAGGTACTGGCAGCACTTGGCGGAGGCGCTCAGCTTCTTCACGTTGAGCGGCCGCGGCCGGGCCGGTGCGCCGAACAGCCGCGCGCGCAGCGTGTCCGGGCGCTGCCGCTTCACGGGCGCCGGCAGCACGTGCGAGCCGCTGCTGGTGGAGAGCCGCCGATCAGACGTCGGCGGAGAGCTGCTTCTCCGGCGGCCCCGCTCCGCGCCATGCGGCTCGGCGGGCTTCAGGTCCTCGAACTGAAACAGGCCAAACGGATAGGTCAATTATTATAATTATCTGTCGTCTGTGGACGATGGCTTTGTTATGTTAGAGTGTTACTGTGGATATTTTATGTCGTCTTTGGACAAATCGCTTATTATGCTTATTGTTATGAGCCATGATGTACCGTGATAAACGATGACTTGTCGGTCATCAGTGGAACGCTGCCGTCGGCGTTATGGACGTAAACTGACTGGGACAGTCAGTGCGCTCTTAGGTCCCAATAGATAAACAAAATGACTCATTCGTAGCATCGTCAGAGTTGGCGATCAATTGCTGGTAACAGCCGTCAGTCTCTAACGTCGTAACTGACCAATTGGCCTAAATTCTTGCATTCTTTGAAATTTGTTTCCTTTTAAATGGTTATTTTGGACGTCTTTTCTAAATGACAGTTGATACATTGCTCTCGCTAGTCGCTATAATATTTGCCGTTATTAGCTCACAAAGGATTGCATAATACAAAGACATTGTCCAAACTAAACACAAAAATAAAAAAGAAAATCCGGTATTTGAGCACACTCGGGAAGGAGGCTGCGCCTCCACTACGCCCCGGAGCACGGTCCCCGTCAGTCCGTCAGCCTTGGCCTTGTCTCGCCACCGGCGGCGTCCCGTCACTACCCAGCCGTACATCACTGGGCCGTCACTAATCACATTGGCGGTGTCAGCTGACGATTGATGCGCCGCCGCCGCGCCACATTGTGCGTCCTTTGACGGGCTCACTCGGTGGCGCAGTGTGGACGGTGCATAATGGACGCACCGTGTCGGTCGGACTGCGTGCTGGATGACGGATAACGGGAAGTGTCCCGTACCGTATACCGGGCGTCAGGTGTAGGAACTTAGTACGGGGAAATTATGTAGTCCTGTACACGGCGAATATGTAGACTAATGTTGACTAACCACTCTACATCATACCTAAATACTGGATAAGTACTTTGCAAGAAGTTTAGTGAACTGGAGAAATAATCTATTTTGTCTTATTTTTTTCGCATTTTGACATTCAAGGTCCATGTTCCCATGTAATAAAAGCTTAGTCACCTAGGATAAAGATGTTCGAAGCTGTATTTTATATACATACTAGATGGCATGTTTTGCGCTATAACTGTGCGTTTTGATAGATATGTTTAACGGGGGCATTAGTTTGGGTGTGGGAACTTCTTATTTTTATTTGTCTTATTTTGTCGGAGTTTGATATTTGTTTGAACGGCATGATATGCTGGTGCTGGTTGCGGGTTGTTAGAGCCTTTCTCATGGTTTGCCTTTATCGAACTGAAACCCACCCTACCCTACCCTAACCTACCCATACCCTACCTTACTAAAAACCTACAAATAGTTACCCTTCTCGATTAAAGTAACGTACCAAATTTGAGGGCAATCGGCCCAGCCGTTCTTGAGATATAAAACTGGCCCACTGCACGTGCGCACGCGCTAACTGAGATTCCAGATGACTTGCGCCAGCCACCTTTCTAAATTGTCCCCAACAGTGTACAAAATTTGAGCGAGATCGGCCCAGCCGTTCTTGAGATGTATAGGTGGACCCCTCACGTGCGCACGTGCAATCGATCCACCCTACCTGTCACAAATGACCATGCATCGCCAGGTGAGTGCCCTGCCCACCCGCTGTCCAAGTTTCAGCGCAATCGGACCAGTAGTAGCTGAGTTATTCCTAGTACAATAATGTGCTGTTTACTGGTAGGCGCTTATTTTCAGTGTTTGGAATTCCCCTTGGCGGGCGGTGCATTGCAGCCCATGCTTTGATAGCTATTGTCAAAAGTTGAATGGCCTGCCTGCCGAAGCCACCGATCCGATTTCGTCGGAAAATACGCGTAACGTTATCAAAACACGGTCGCATGCTTGAGTCATTTTCACAGAAGTTTATTGACTTTTCGATAATATTTTGGGTGGATATTGGTCAGAAAAGAATGCTCTTTCCGAATATGTAGGTTTCATAGCGATTGATCAGCGTTTTCAATAAGTTTTGATGTTGTAAAGGACATCGCGCTCCGCGCGAATCAAATTTTCAAATTAATTTTTGATTATTAAGGAAATGGTACGGATCATCAGTTTTTGTTTGCTATTCTCTGATAACACATACATTTGTCTGCAAAATGATACAACACCGATTTCATTCCGTCAAACCGTTTTCCAGCGGCATCGATTTTCCCGTCACAATGCACGAAATCGGTCATTTTTTCACAACCGGGGGTGCTGTCTTGCACGTGGCGCGTGCTATACTATGAAACCATATCAATACGCTAGGCCCATCTCTCCTCTATCCAGTGGTGGCAACCCCACCTCGCTACGGCAATCTGTCGCCGAGTTTTGGGCCCGGGAAGTGGGCGCCGCAGGCCGGTTTTCGCCCGATCTTCGATTTGACCGTTTCCCGTGTTAACCCTATGGCGCACGCGAGCGCGTGCTGACGGCGCACCCCTGGTCCGATCACGCCCAAATTTTAATACAAAGGCCGCCCACGCCCACAGATTCGGCATGCCAAATTTCACGCCGATACGCGGCGCCTTTCAGGCGCATTAAGACACATAAGACATGACACATGGATGGATGGATGGAGAACGCACGGACGACTTATAAATCATAATATAGATGTACGCTTCCTACCCATTCTTCTGTGTGACCCTATTCCTACATTTAAAGAACCAAATGTATTGGTGAATGGTTGCGTAGCAAATTTCCACCGCTGCGTGGCATGACTCGGTGGCTCCTGCATAATGAATACATTGCTGGGATGCGTCGAACAAAGGCCGTGAATCATCATATAACATTCATGCATCTCGCCTCAAAGGAGCGACATGACACGTGCTTTGTTCCTATGAGACGTTCAAAGGAATAATGCATGTTTCTGCGTTGCAGGTGAGCACAAAAGTTTGCGCCTTGGACTGCGGAACTGAAATATGCCACTGTTCCGCACAAGTTAGGTGCACTAGATTGGAAATGTTGCCAAACATGTCGGCACAAAATGTCACCCAGAATTCACATGAAGTTTCTGACAAATGAGCGTCACGTTGTTGTGTTAACATACCTTGTACGTTTCGATGAGGGCGTCACAGGAGACGCTGCGCTGTGACGCCAGGCTGCCGGAGCTTTGGCTGGCCCTCATCAGACTCCTGGGGACACGGGGGAGGGCGGGGGCACCTAGGTCAGAGGAGAGCCTCAGCGGCGTACCGGCACACCGGCCGCTCAGAACTGCAGGTCGCTAACTTTCCCGACTGTTTCTCGGCTGATTAGAAAGGTTACCAAGCTGTGCCAGGAACAAGAAAACATAGTTGAAGCCATAAAGCAGTGTGGCACGGCGCACATTACCCCAATGTCTTACAAACTTAGACATCCCGATGTGCGAATGACTTCTGGAAAGCTGATGAATCTAGTTTGTGATATGTTCATTATTGCGCTATCCGCGTCAGACGGTCATGGATCTGGGCCTGTACGGCCGCCTTACATCTGCTTGTGGACCTGGTCCTCCCATGCGAGCTTGGCCTCCAGGTTTGGCGCGCGGAAGGCAAGACAGCGCGGCTTGCGATGACCGCCGCCGGCCGCCGGCACCGTCAACTGGAACTCTGTCTCTGGGGGGCGGGGATGCGTCACATCAGCTAACCTGTGTCGACAAGGTGTGTCACACCGTCCCACCTGTGTCAACAGGGTGTGTCATACCGCTCCGCCTGTATCAACCAGGTGTAGCACAGCACGCAGCTGCGACTGATCGACAGGCAGACGCATACAGCGCCTGTATCAGCCAGATGTGGCAATAAGAATGCTACATAAATGTTTGAGTAGTAAATAACTAGCATGAATAAAAAATCAGCGACCCTCAACTTCACGAATAAAGTCAGTGGAATATACACTGATCTACATTGGCTCTATGTATCTACATTGGCTTCGGGTTGCCACTTTTCGAGACACCAGGACCGTCGATGTGCCAGTTGTCTCGTACCAGTCGTACCTTTCTTTTTGACGTTGAACGTGTGCTGGATGACATCGACGAGCATCAGCGGCGGCTCGGTGACGAACACCACCTGCCTGTTGCGCTGTGCGATCAGCACCAGGTCGGAGAGCAGCACCAGGTAGCAGGGCCGCCACTGACGGCCGCGGCGCATCGCCACCTCGTCCGCGTGCACCCAGCGCCGCTCCGACAGCGACACCGGCTGGTGGGGGTCAGAGGTCAGCATTACGACACTGACACTGGCTGGCAGAGGTCAGCGCTTCGACAGCGACACGGGCTGACAAGGGTCAGAGGTCAGCGACACCGGCTGGCAGGGGTCAGAGGTCAGCGACACCGGCTGGTAGGGGTCAGAGGTCAGCGACACCGGCTGGTATGGGTCAGTGGTCAGCGACACTGGCTGGCAGGGGTCAGAGGTCAGCGAAACCGGCTGACAGGGGCCAGAGGTCAGCGTTACGAGACCGATACTGGCTGGTAGGGGTCATAGGGCAGCGACACCGGCTGGAAGGGGTCAGAGGTCAGCGCTACGACAGCGACACCGGCTGGTAGGGGTCAGAGGTCACTGGTCAGCGACACCGGCTGGCAGGGGTCAGAACTCAGAGGTCAGCGCCCGGACAGCGACACCAGCTAGTACAGTGTCAGATGTAGAGTGTCAGATGTAGAGTGTCAGATGTAGAGTGTCAGATGTCACGACTCACAGTTCACAGGTCAGGTGCATTGGATCAGGGTCAGGGCGCCGCTTGGCTACAGCGAACTCGGCAGTCGGCAGGCAGGGGTTCACAGAGGGAGGTATAGGTAGGAGGTTCACGCTCCGACAGACACCGAATACCGAAGGTCACATGGTCAGAATGCAGGGCGCTCCCGGTGGTCAGAAGCAAGGACTCCTCTGTAGAGGCGTTAATCGACAGGCACTTGCTGACAGGAGTCGTAGGTCAGATATGAGGGATAAGGGCGTTAGGGGGTCATAAATCAGAGATGATGGTTTGGGGCAGTCTTATGTCAGAGGTCAGGGTGCGTTTGGATCTCAAGACTGGCCACCAGAGACTAGAGGTCGGGCGCTGCTCCGGTTCGAACAGCGGCTGTCGGGGGTCAGAGGTCAGCCAACCGCGTTGAACGCGGCTGCTAGGCGGAGTTCAGGTGCCGAGCTGATTGAACGGATGCACAGGAGCGCAGTGTCAAAGTTGATTTGAAAGTTGGACTTGAATTCGATGTCAGAGTTGAACTTCGCATTTCGAGACGCATAAATTATACGCTTGGGAGTCATACGTTCTTAGTGAATTGAGAGCCGAGGTTGAACACTGAAGACTGAACACTGAACACCATAAATTGAGGGACCAGGAAGTGCCAGGCTGAATGAGCGGACTGACAGACAAACAGTCGTCTGGGCTCCCTTTATGGCCAGAAACAACGATAACAAATCCTACCGCTGGCACGAACGCTACACACCACAAAGTTACGGCCATAAATAACTAAATCGATCCGGTTATGTGACGTACCGTTGTTTATTGCCGCACTCTTCTCGTTCATAATCCCACTAATTCATTTCCGGCGGATGGATGGTGGCGCCGAGAAAACTACACCTTCCCAGGCGAACCAACAGAACCCCGCAGCGCCCTGCCCAGCCAGCAAAAATGGTCTGGGCCGTAGCCCGGTTTTACTCTGGCCTGGCTAGCTCCGGCACTTTACTCCGGCCGAAGTACGGGTAAGGTCTGGAGCTCTACTGGAGCTGACACACGATCCCAGAGCTCGCCCGCACCGCAGCCGGACTTATGACGCATCAGCCGCATGCCGTACCTCAACCGTACTTCAGCCACAGTAAGCCAGAGCAGCTAAGAGACAGCCGGACCTGGCCGTAGCAACGTCATGGCAGGAAGCAGGACTTGAGCCGGACTTGGCGGTCCGAAACCATACCAACTCCGGAGCGCTACGGCAAAGACTGGCTGGCCGGAATAGAGCCATACCGACCCAACCCCCTTGTTCCGACGGCGATCCGTTTACACCGGCCCAAATCTGGCATGTCGAATTTGCGGGGGGCAAAACAGACTTGAGTCAAACCAAATTCCGGGCTGGGTGGCTTGCCCTGTGACCCGACTGACCTGACTGACCTGGCTGACCAGCTCGCCTATGCCCCGACTAACCTGGATGCCCTTCATGTAGGTGAGCTGTGGCTGAGAGACGAGCATGTCTGCTTCCTCTGGCTGACCCCCAGTTATAGACTCCGCCGGCTCCAGAACATTCTGTCGGCAGCACATACGTAGATCGTCACGGTGGTCACAGCGGTGGGATTTCTCGCAGATTGATGCAGCCACAGTGCTTGGTCGTGGAATATTTGAACTAGGCATTTAAGGTGAAGGAAGGCATCTTTATCTCATAGCTATGCACTATGCAGCGCTCAACTTTTGCTGTCATCGTCAATTTTGTGAAATGAGTACCTATAACACAGAATAGGCAAGGCTGTTTAAACCGGTACAGATAAGTATCAATTAAAAGCAAGATTAGGAGGTAGGTTGTGCATGACTTCCTATATCCTACAATATAGGGCAAAGTCGTCACTGAAAGTCGAAACAGCGAAAATTGCATCGTCAAGCTCGGTCTCGTTAACATCGATATTTTAATTTTGGAATGACAATGTTTCACAAATTGTAATCAAGGGATGTCAGCCAATCTTTATTTGAGCACCGTGCTGTGGAAATTGGCCGTAGGTTCATCCAATGTTCCAATCGCGCCGGCCGCAGCTGGCCACCAGCCCGCCAACTCAGTAACGTTCATCACCGGCGCTGAAAATGACGTCATTGGGGTGGCAGCGCTGATAAATACGTCTGCAAACTGTGCTACGGGTGGCAGCCAATGTTTATAGTTATTCCCGATGCGATTCATTCCCGCTTCGATACGAAAATATGAAATGTAACTTTCTGTCAAGCGCATGGTGTTTTAAAATGACACTAAGCTGCAGAAGCTTGCCTGCTTTTGTTACTTGTGTAGGTATTTCTATTCATTAGATATCTCGTGCTACAGACGATGTTTATCATTAACCATTGTACAGTGAACAAAAACTAATGATCCTTGCATAACTGTTTAAACGGAGACAAAGTTTATCCAGCTTGACCTAAGTTTGTTTCCTTTTACCGGGTAAAAGGAAACAATTTACCGGTCAGGCTTCATGGGCATTCAATCGTACCTTGCATGAAGTTACATTTTAATTTTAATTGCTCAGAAGTTTTATATATGTAGAAGCGGGGTGGACGGCAGGGACATTTAGCCATCCATCCATTCACCACTTTTTATATCGTGTTTGTATCCTTTCCTCTAACAGAGAATCCCGTATTCACCGGGTGATCGACCTTCTGACCGTGGTCTATCTGTCAGGTCCCCAGATGAACTCCCGGCCTCTGTCGGCGTGCTGTCGAGCCCGGGCCATGGCTCAGTCGGACTGGCGAGTTACGGCTGATGTCACTGTCACCGTGTGCCGAGCCGGGGCTGAACGGAGCCCAGTCTCACACCGAGACCGACAAATCCCGGTCGGAGCGAGTCAATCCGGGACGCTCCAGAAATATGGCCCAGTGACACGAAAAGGATTCAGACCTGGCACTCTTCCCGCCAGTAGAAGCGAAAAGGCCGTTCAAAGGCGAATGTAAAAGTTGCGCAGATTTGGAATAGGAAAAATTACTTTCAGCTGTTTTTGTACTTCCCTGAAAGTTGTCTGTTAATGAATGGCTTTGCAAATTTGACTGGAATGAAATACAGTGATTAATGATTATTAACCTATGTGTAGACCAGTAGAAAATTTCAATCAATTTAAGTCTTATGAGAAGTATAGTTTTTTGCTACTTTTATATTGCTTTGCTTCTCTTCCCCACACCGCACGAGTCGCAGAATCGCTGGAGCAATCGCAGAGCTGCCTCGCGCTCCTCTGTTCCAAAATAAACCCGGGCCTGATGAAGTGACCGCGCCCACGGGCGGCCACAGCCCTATCGCCTGTCCACCGGCCATCTGTTACTGGCGGTCAGAGCCGCCCGGACGGCACTGGCTGCAGGTCCGCCGAGCTGGCAATTCAGTGACGGGAGAGCTGGACAGTTCGATGACCGTCCGGTGACCGTCTAATGACTTTTAAATGACTGTGTGGTGACCGTCTAACGACCGTTCAGTAACCGGTAGTAGGGTAGCCTGGGGCAAGACGCCCCAGATAATTTATTTTGCTACATAGAATTTGTCTTACATCACCTGGAAGGCCAAATTTGTGCTCAATGCGTTCTTTGGACATTTTACTTTAAATTGCACCCCTCAAATTCATTCACTTATGATTGGACTCCAAGCTAGGAAGTGATTTGTGAAGCAACTGCAAATGGGGCATTTTGCCCCAACCCCAGGGCAAAACGCCCCACGGCCTGGGGCAAGTAGCCCCATACTTAAGATTAAAGATTTAACATGGTAGTTGGCTAAATCTTATGTGAGAGGTCCGTTAGACCTCTGGAGGCACGGCACTGAAGTTAGCACATTCCATCCTGTCAGGTGTTCAGCTAAGACACTATTGTATGAGCAGGTTTTTCACCTACCTCATAAGACCAAATAATAAATTATTGCAATGCAAATGTTAACAAAATACTTCCTTTGCCATCCAGTTGCTGAGAAAAATACACATAAAGGCATAGAAACTTACTGTTCGCCAGCTACCGAACATTAGAAAGTGGGTAGCCCAAACAACACATGAGGTAAAACGCCCCAGGGGCTTTTTGCCCCGCGACCTACTGGGGCGTTTTACCCCATCACGTAGTTCGGTCAGAGAACAACGCCTTGCACTCCAGCAAGACATAATTTAACCCTCGCCGGACCTATTGGTTTTCTACATACGCGCCGGCCGAGGGGGGGGGGCGGGTACGACCCCCCCTCGCCGTTTCGCCCCTGGTGGAGCTAGCGCGTCGCGGAAAAAACGAGCGTGTGCGCCGTTACGAGACGCAGAGATTGGTACCCGATTTTAAGGTCCTAGGTCAACCGGTGACCTCTGAGGTCAGGTCAAGTGCCCCAAGGTACGGTTCAGTTTTTGGTGAATAACTTCGCAAAAAACGGCCGCAGAGCGCCGATTTTGGCAGCATCGTGTTCGTCTCGCTCAGGCGCGTCGAATGATATACTTTTTGTCCGGGTCAGGTCAACTTGGGGTGTTGACCTAAGGTCAAGGTCAGGTCAGCACCCCCAGGTCACGAAGTTGGTCGAAAGGGGTCATGTCGCATATCATTCGATTCGGCAGGTCTTCCTGAGTCCATTGGTGGCTTTCCCGACTCGCTAGCTCAATTTGATCAAGAGTTATTGACGAAAAACTAATATGACCTTGATGACGTCATAAATGACGTCACGCAAGGTCAACATTGCAAAAGTGACGCATCTAACCTTGCAAGGAGTGCATAAAATCACGATTCTGTGTGCTTGAGATAGTTGGAGATCGTTCCCGGCGCCAGAATAGCAGTTTTCATTTTTCCCCATTGACTTATAATGGTGAGGTCACGAAAATGACCTGACCTCATATGACCTTTAGGAAAAATCCGAGATATACAAGTTGTGGGACTCATAATGGATACTAGATCCTGCAAGTTTCATTTCCCTGTGACATCTCCTCTGGCAGTGAGGGCGTTGCGAAGTTGCGACATCTGAAGACCGTGCAGAGGTTCACTTATGACGTCATAGGTCAGTGACCTGACCTGACCCAAAAATGCGGTTGGTGTCAAAAGATGCGGCTTGGATCAAAGGTCAGGTATGCCAAGTTTCAGCTCTCTATCGCCAGCGTGTTCGGAGCTATCGCGAAAAAACCCTATGGGGGGGGGGCGGCACCCGCCCCCCCCCCTCGGCCGGCGAGGGTTAACACGAACCAACCCGGCATGATAAGCGTTAGACAATAGTTGTTCAAAATACATAAAAGTCGTTAACCTGATGTGGACCATAAAAGAACGCCATGATACATAATCTGACAACAAAACATAAAAATCACTCAAAAAACACATTTTTGGCTATATCTCCCGAAAGAGTCATCACAATTTCTTTCCAGTCTGCTCATATAATCATCATATAGTGCACGTTTTATAGAAGAGATGATGTTTCCCCAGAACTCTGCCAGTTCCGAGAAACATCGGTGAGGCGTTTTACCTCGGCGGGGCGACTTGCCCCGGTCTACCCTAACCGATTGGTGACCGGTAGTGATCGATTGGTAACCGGCAGTGACCAATTGGAAACCGGTAGTAATCGATTAGTGACCGGTAGTAACCGATTGAAGGCCGACAGTGACCAATTGCCAATAGGTGATCGTAAGTGGTCATTCGGTTACCGGTTGTGACATGCGATGATCTGCGGTAACTAGCTGACCATCTGTGGCCGTTAGTGACCACTCGTGCCCCCTGCGGTTCGTAAATCAGACATCGTGACGTTTATTCGGGAGAGTTGTTACATCAGCCAATTATGATGGTAGATTATCCAGGAATCGATGTGGTATGATGAAACAGGACCCGGGGTCCCGTACCCTGCCAGCATTGACTGCTGACTGCTGTTGACAGCCCAATAACAAATGGGTGATAAAGGGAACTGAGAACCGCCCGAGACGTGGTTCTCTATGATCGCTGCCAGCTAAATATAGGGCAGGAGCAGCTTGCAGGAGCTGTTAAAGGGCCTCATGCATCAACTGCACGGTGTACTTACTGCGCCAGAATAACAATCGAAGAAGAAGAATAGCAATCGTGTTCTGACCTCTTGTTGTGCGTAACTACGATAAAGGTGAATGATCTTCCATGGTCTTCCAAACACTGCGTTAGTTTGGACGCGTGAATACAAAACGTGGCATTTCATGACTCTTTGCAAATTGCAGGGCAATAATTTTCACTACAAGATCCAGAAGGAATTATAAATCATATCTTACAGGGTGTCCCAGAATTACCCGGACATTTATTTTCTGGCTAAAAGTACGACTGCGCTCGCTTCTAATGATATACAAGCATCATACTTTTATAAGATATCCCTAAACTATCGAGATTGGAGACTGTGTGCTTTTGGTGGCCGGTAACGACTCGAATCAATTATTATCCAGAGTCAAGTAAGAGGAGTCCTTTTCCGTTTTCAGCTTAAGCCACTAATAGGCAACCATGGTGAATCAACTCCCGTTTTCAACTTTGTAAACGGACTTTCGGCATGGTCTTTGCTGGAGAGCTTCAGCAGCTCATCTGCAAGCAGTTAAGATTGAGCAAAGCGCAATTATATCAGCTAACGAAGCCAGAGAGAGCAAGAGATAAACCTGATTGACAAGCTTGGGCTCGGCCAAAAAGGGCCATGCACCAGTTGTCAAACAAGGGGTTGCTTGTCATAGACAACAAACGTCACCGATCTAGCTAAAAACTAGCTAAACAATAGATCAGGATTATCTACAAAACATCAGTCTACTTTGCACCACTATCTTCGACAAAATTTTGGAATTAGGGGTCCTTCGCCAGAAAAAATATGCGAAAACTACGGGGAAAGCAGCGCAAATCACTACAACTCATCCCAAAAACATAACATATACAACTAAACAGTATATTGAGGCACACTTTGTGGTCTAACGAAGTTATTATGTCATTTGAACCGCCCCAAAAAAGGCTTGTGTGAACGTCAGATGGCTAAAACGCCCCAACAGCAGAGACGGCCAGGCACCCGTCGAAAATCAAATTGTGAGACATCTTGAGCCACCGTGCACTCATTGGGCTTGATATGATGGCCCAAAGACAACCGTTAGCACAGGGTACTACTGCGGTAATATTCTACCAGTGCGTAAACTGGATGCCGTGAACCAAATGGCCATGAACGGGTTTGTTTTGGAAACCAAATCTGTTGGAAGCCAAAGGTTGCGCAATGTTCAGACATGGAGCTTCTCCACTCCAGATGTAAAAAAACGCAGCAAAAGTGGCGTAGGCAGAAATTTTTGTTTTGGGGGATAATACCTTATGGCCTGGGAACACTTTGATGTCAAGTTTATCTTATATGATCGTATTATCCTCCGGCAAGAGGTCAATGAAAACAGGCCTACACCCAGTTTCGGGAGACCCGTAAAACAACTGAGACCAGCAATGGCTGGCATTTTCCATCATTGTCGGCTGAACTTGTAACAAGCGTATCTATTGCATGTGCTATTTCACAGCCACCCTAGTTGACTATATAAGACGGTAAAAAGAAAAAAAGCGCAATCATGTTTGCCTTATTTTATATGCTAATTAACAATGTCCGGGTAATTATGGGACACCCTGTACGTATTCGTTATAAAATCAGCGTTGAACGATGAAGAAGCAGGCATAAGATGACTTCTCACCATCTCCCAATGAGCCCGCACCCTACGGCCGTCACACGGTGTGTTTGCAGTATCTCCTGGTCGGACGGTATATGACGCCGGCGCCGCGCCGTTTTCCCATTTACCCCGTCTCCCGCCACTCTGGTGCCACGCCTCCGGCGGCGCACATACCCGTAATGGGTCAATATTTACCCACGGTCCGGCCGAGGGCCCTCCAGCGAACGGCGTCACACCATGAACGGCGCGCTGCCGCGGGCTCGATACCGCGAGTCGATACCGGCAATTTGGGGACCGAACGTGACAGCTGCGGGTGGTGCGTGACCGCTCCAAACAGTTCAGGGGCCATGAACGTCAGGTGACCATTCGACGATGGTTGTATGTGAATCGATGCTATTAATTAACCCTCGCCCGCACATGCCATTTTCCCATCCTAGAACGCACATGGGGGGGGGGGGTGGTTACCACCCCCCCGCGCCATTTCGTTCCTGTTGGAGATAGAGCTTAGCAGTAAAGACCAAAAGATTCTTTGGGAAGAGACGAATCCAATGATACCCAGTTTTACCTTCTCAGGTCAGTCATTGACCTTCCAGGTCAGGTCAAACTAAAAAATGTTGCTGTTTTGGGTCACCGTGGGATATCAAGTGCGCTGCTTATCAAATACCGATGACGATGCTGTTTTCTGGTGCCAAGCCAGCTAGAACCTCTTTGTCACACTATCCGACCAGAATTTTGCTGCTGAGGTCATTTCAGGTCAAGTTAGGTCAAGGTCAATTATATGTGTTTGTATGTCTGTGTGTGTCTGTATGTATACTGATGTTCGCACCGATTGTTTTTGGGTCCATATCACATGAAATCATGATCTGAGAAGCTTTTACCAAAAATGCAGTCAAAAAACTTCACAAAAAGTAAATTCAGCTTGCCTAAAATGCAATTATCTTAGATGACCTAGGTTGACCTTGACCCTGACCTTGACCCCTGTACATCGTCGAACAACATGTTCCATGATAGGTGGGAGGTAAGACTGGCAAAAAAGGCCGAAATCAGGGTGTCAAAAGCTCACAAGGCCCATGGCAAACGCAAGATGTTGAGAATTGGCCATTTGGGTCATGACATGACCTGAAAAACAAGGTCATATCTCCGAAACAAAAAATCACAGAAACTTGAAATTTTCAGTGGACATCAAGAAAGGATAGACGAGCAGCTATACGAAAAATCAGCCCTCTAGCTCTAAAAATGTGGAGTGCAGAGCAGAAAGACTGCCTGGGGGGGGGGGGTGGCAACCACCCCCCCCATGTGCGGGCGAGGGTTAAATGTTAGTGCTTGTATCTTTTTATTGTGAAATGGATGTGCGCTTAAAATTAATGTCATGGAAATATTCATGACAAAAATAGCCACCCTCATCATATTCAAAGAATCCGTTCGAGAGCTGCCCCTGCCTCTTCCATTGACCATTCTCTGCTGAGACGACAGGAATTTCAGCACGGTCCACTCGGCGTCCACTCGGCCGAACCCCCTGAGCCGGACCGGCGGCGGTCCGTGCCGCCTCTCAGACCGACCGGTGGCACGGACCGAGTGTGTCTAATCAGGCGACCACGGCTCCCGTGGGGCCGCTAATTGCGGCTTTGGCCGCCGGCCGTGCCGTGGCGAGCTGATGTGGTAATTCCTTCCGACGAGACTACCGGCTAAGAGGGAATTATCACCTTGGGGCCATCAGCGCACCATCGGCGAGCCGGGAGAGAATCCTCACCAGAGGAATTCGTGGGGCTTTGAGTTGACATGGCTAATGTGGTGGATTTCACGCCGAGATGGATGCAAATGTAAGTAATTTTCTCCAGGGGTCTGGACAAATTGTGTAATCTGGTGGCACGGCCACGGATTCGCTTACTAATCATAACAGACGCAAAAGCGTCACCCCCTCCCCAGCCAGCACTTACCGTGATTTCTCTGATGAGCGCTTGTAAAATCGGTGCCTCCGTTGATGAGCTGAGGCCACGGAGCCGCCGCAGGATTTTCAGTCGCTTCCTCAGATACTGAAAATGAACGAAACATCATCAACTGGCTTATACAGAGGAGTGGTATCAAACTGAGAGAAGAAACGGCGCTGGGAATCTCAGAGGCCACCACTATCATGCGGCCGGCTATTTAGTTTGTCTCGTACTCCCCGAACCGTGGTCATTGGCCACTATCTCAGCTGGTCGCCAGACCGATAACACCAGTAAAATTTGACCGCGCCCGGCTGGGCTGCATCCAAGCAGTCAAGGTCGGTCTGGCGGCCCAGGCTCGATACCGGAGAGGGAGGATGTCGCAGTCGCCAGGGAGCGGCTCAATACGGCGCCGAGCAGGACAGGATCGTCCCGATCGCCGCCGCTGCGCCGAATCACGTAACCTGCGCCGCTGTTCGCCGCATTATCGTGGAATGGTGGCACAATTACTGGCGGCGGGCATCCCGGTCACGGCACAGTCATCGAATTTCGCCTGGTCTGAGTCTCCGCGGCGCGTACGGGCCCCGGCGCTCGAGCGGGCCGGGTCGGTTTTCATTTTGTTTCGACTGGGCCAACCTCTGTGGACGTTTACGGCGTCCCGAAGCGGCGCGGAGCTGGCGGACAGAGGCTGTAACAGGGCGGCAGGCCAGTGCTCGACTTGGCACAGACACTCGCTCCGGGACCGGTTAGGCCCGCCGGCCACGGACGACTGAGTCCCTGGCCCAGCTTCAAAGCCGCCCAGTTGTGGACAGACGCTGCAGGAAGCTGTATATTAGCAGGAAATAGCTCACCCTCCAGAAACATAAACTGAGTAAATGGGTAATGAAACTTGCGATCGAAACGAGACTGAGCTATGCTGCGGCATTGAAAATGATTGTGCTATATGAAAATAGATTTTAACAGTTTTCTCAATTTCTAGACTGTGAAAAAAATGCATAACTCCAACCATTTAAACTATGGAAAGACTTTCAAACGGTCTGCTAAAAATATTTTATACCTTAGAGTGAGTGGAAATTTTGAGCATGTAAGACTTCACATTGTACAAGCTTTGCTTGAACGAACTTCAGGTACCTATACCGTGGCACAAAGACAGAAAGTAATCACAAATAATCGGTACCTACGTGCACTAAACAATTTGACTAGATATTCTCAAAGCTTTGCAATGTTTTTATCTTAGATTGAAATCATGCAAGGAACGTTTTGTTTTATCACTTGTCAAGTAGGTAGGTAGGGGAGAGTGGGGCACATTCGTGCATGGGGAACATTCGTTTTCAGCAATTTATGGGAACACGAGTGACTGCACGAGCTAAAGGTAAATATGAAAATATGTCTATCATTGCCGCCCTTCGTTCACTGTAGGAGACAACACTGTACCTGATGTCATGCTTGATAAAAACGCAAATTTGTCATATTCGTGGGCTTTCCAAACTTTTCTCATATCATCCATTTTCGTGATCCTGACTCGGAAATGTGGTTTAACTTTTCAAAATTGGGCCCGAAGAAGCTCATTTCACGGAACTGCTTTCTATTCACGGAACTGCTGCAAACTTGTTTGTTGAAAAACTGTCATTTTTTCAATAAGAAATTTTGAATTATATTACAAATAGTGTTGTGGGGCAGGTTCGTGCACGCACTGCCTAGGGGCACATTCTTGCATATTTTTTTCGTTTTTGCGATTTATGACTTTATCTGTAGTAGCGACGCTCGCCTGACTCAGTCTCGGCTGCTTGCGACGTCGTGACAAGTAATTCACGTGACCCTTGGAGAGGTCACGGAGGCGGGTCGATGGCCGGCGGTTGGCACATTCTTGTTGGTCAGCCAATTCTTTCTACATACGTTGTGCAATGCATTCCTGTGGAAAGGAATCAAGTAAAATGACCCCCTGCCCATTTCTTTTGGTAAATTTCTGGCAATGCCCGGTAATTCATTTAATTTTGCAGGGTGCACGGAAGTGCCCCACCCCATGCACGAATGTGCCCCATACCTGGGGCAGTTTCGTGCAAACGTTAAGAGTTATTAAAAGTCATTTTTTCTAATAGAAGCGGTAACTTAAGAGGATAAATTTTAAGAGGAAAAATATGTGCAATAGTTCCATTCCATACTACAATAAACAATTTTGCCGTTGCACTAACCAAAGAACATATATATGGATTTATCCATTTTTGCACGAATGTGCCCCACTCTCCCCTACTTACTTACTTACTTGATAAGTACATACAAAGTAGCCATCCGTCTACGATGTCACAGATTTACAGCTAAATGACGTTATAATTACAGCGCAGCAGTTGTTCATTACTGGCGGCGAATCACATGAAACATTTACATCGCCACGTCCATCATTATCTTTCTCGCGTGAGAGGTCCAGAATTACCCTGGCAAGGCCCTGTCCAACGTTCGCCATTTCGTGGCGTGACAAAGGCTGACACGTTCATGGCAGAACGACGTCATGAATAATCACTCACGACCACGCCAAAATCTGCTGCCGGCCTGTTAGAACCATCGATCGTCGGCTGATCTTTATTGCAAACTGCACAGTCGCTTCTAATAATTGAGGATAAGCTTCAGTCAGAGTGTTCAATGTTCTTGTGGCGTTTCTTGTCTGGTGGCTGGTGAGATGATGAAAGCAACGCGTGCTGCGCACTCGTATATGGTTATAATGTAAAGACGTCCGCTGAGAGTTTATACCACCACGCACGGCAGCAAGATAGATTTCTGCTCCCACAGCAGAGGACGGGAAATGGTCAGTGCACGGCCAGCGATTGTTCGCTAAACGTTATCGCAGCGCCGGGGTAAGGGGAGACGGCACCACAATCATCCAGCGCTCGGACCGCCCCTCGCACTGACGCTGAAAGGGCAGCACAAGAAAGAGATGGCGGGCGGAGACACAGAGATGGGGGAAAGCGAGGAGTGACGGACACAAAGAAAGAACATAAGTGAAAAGCAGATACAAGGCGGAACCGAAATGAAATGCATGATGCTACGAAAAAAACTAGGGTCTCATTGAGTTGTCACGATGTTAAACCGCTTGCAGCATACGTTGTCTGGAGCGTCGTTTCTAACCTAGCTGCGATACGCGGCGAATTTTATGTGGCAGAGCCAGCCAGCTCCAGCTAGCGATACCTTCGATGCATACCGATGAGTCCTTTATTAGCGGAACGTCAGAACATCACAAATTTAACAGGCTTGGGCGTCATTTCTTTCATTCATCAAAGTGCTACCACCCTGATTAAAAGAAAAAGACGGGCAAAATGCAAAATATGCGGGACGGAATAGACGGAGAAGACGAATAAAATCCTGACCGTTTTACCGCTCGATTAAGAAGCATTGTCTATGTGACCGCATTTGCGACTTATTGAGATCTAATGGCTGTAGCTAATCCCAGGAAAATTTGGGATTCGTGTTTGGTGTCGTATTCACATTGATTTTATCAGTCGGTTGTATAAATACTTGTTGGGACCCATCCTTATAAATACGAGACCTCAAGACTCCGTGATTTCCTGAGTCCTTATGCGATAGCAGAATTATCTTTTTTTTTGGTTGGGCCCTTTCGGTCTGACGAGACCATTTCAGGGCCGGAAGGATGATAGGAATTAGGGGGAGATATTGGTCTGGGCAGACACCCTAGAGAGTCGCCGGGGCTGAGCCCGTCCAAAAGGACCGGCCGATCAGCCCCCCAAGCACTCTCTGCACCCGGCTACGGGTTGCGCTCCCTCGGAAGCAGCGGTGCCGCTCCAAGGGAGCAGCCCGCATGAGATAAAGGTGCCTGTCCAGCCCGGAGTGGGGGTTGCGGTGTGGAGGAGAAGGATTTCTGTGTCCTGAGGATGGAAGCGATGGAACGGAGCAGAATTATCTGTTTTATTCTTTATCGTATATAGAACTGGAAAGTCGCATGAAAGCAACTTACAATATAAGACGATATACAGTGTATGTTTTACATAAGTTGGTAATCATGAGCACTCATTTTAATCTGCAAGGGAATCAGTGGCGGTCGAAAGGGGAAAAGAGATAAATGAAAATGAGGTGTTGCTGAAGCTTGCAATGTGTGGCGGGGGATGCCAAATGTCGTCACCGACTGCAGGGGTGCCGAATTCAGCGCGGACCTCAAATATCATACGAGATAGCCCGCAAAATTTGGGTTTCCGCCTTCTTTTCGCCTTCGGTGCATCATGTGATCAGTTTTTACTTACGTAAATGTGTTGGATAAACGTTCCTGTTCGAGTGATTGAGTGCTTTGCGTATAGGTTACCTTTTTGAGATCATATTTCATCTTTTCAGGCGTCGCATTTTTTGCCATTTTTAATATGGGGAAACCCATAGACTTATTAGCGACCCTCCCCGGTCGCTTATCGGGAAGAGTTCCCTATTAGCGTTTTTTGCGATGGTTTGCCAAAATGCTCACTACAAATAAGTTAGTGAATATTGGGGCAGAAAATGACTATACCTTAATAGAAAAATGAACGATCCCTCCGAAAATCAAGCCAGTAATACAGTGGCACCCACAGAGCGTGAGTAATGACGGTTCAAATTAAGGGGGTCGCTAATTAGGCACCTTACCCTACCCGTAGAAACGTGATAGGTCCATGGGTATCACAGCCCTTAAACGCTGTCTTGCCTTCGCGATATTACCATTTCGGAGTAATGACCTTTTTGCCACTGATAGCAATCGACCGAGCGAATAGCACGTCCAGCACTTTCTGACAATAACCCACTCAGGAGGAAAGTAATAATGTAAAATGTAAGGTAGAAATGAGTGCTGTTTCAAAGGTCAGGCGCCTTCGCATTGCATCGCACATAAAGTCTGCAGCGGAAATGTAGCACGATGTTGGCTTTCGTTTGCCTGCTTTTATGATTTTGAGTTCTGAAACCACGCTGTTGATTCAATATGGAATGTTCAAGATATATGGATTAGTCCAGAGTGCAGACAAGTCAAGTTGGTAGTCCAATTATTGACAATGTGAGACATGTAGCACAAAAACATTTGTTTGTAAGTTCTTTGATACTGTCCTGATAAGTTAATTTAAAATAGCTAGGTAGTTGATTTTTTTTTGCATTTGTTCACGCCAATCGAATTTTGCTCGATTAGTGGTGCTGTCTCTCTCTCTCTCTCTCTCTCTCTCTCTCTCTCTCTCTCTCTCTCTCTCTCTCTCTCCTCTCTCTCTCTCTCCTCTCTCTCTCTCTCTCTCTCTCTCTCTCTCTCTCTCTCTCTCTCTCTCTCTCTCTCTCTCTCTCTCTCTCTCTCTCTCTCCTCTCTCTCTCTCTCTCTCTCTCTCTCTCCTCTCTCTCTCTCTCTCTCTCCTCTCTCTCTCTCTCTCTCTCTCTCTCTCTCTCTCTCTCTCTCTCTCTCTCTCTCTCTCTCTCTCTCTCTCTCTCTCTCTCTCCTCTCTCTCTCTCTCTCTCTCTCTCTCTCTCTCTCTCTCTCTCTCTCTCTCTCTCTCTCTCTCTCTCTCTCTCTCTCTCTCTCTCTCTCTCTCTCTCTCTCTCTCTCTCTCTCTCTCTCTCTCTCTCTCTCTCTCCTCTCTCTCTCTCTCTCTCTCTCTCTCTCTCTCTCTCTCTCTCTCTCTCTCTCTCTCTCTCTCTCTCTCTCTGTCTCTCTCTCTCTCTCTCTCTCTCTCTCTCTCTCTCTCTCTCTCTCTCTCTCTCTCTCTCTCTCTCTCTCTCTCTCTCTCTCTCTCTCTCTCTCTCTCTCTCTCTCTCTTAGTATCAATGCTGGGACCGTGTTCACTGAACTCGTCTGCCAAATTGCATTACACCTTGTCTCACCTTGGCTGGGATCTGAAGAAATTCCAGCAGTTCCTCGCGTATCGAGTTTCCGGCCGCCTCATCAGCTACCCTCTCCAGGACCGTGAAGTAGGCCCGAAACAATTCACAGCTCGAGTCCAACTGGAAATTCAGCAACACGGTTAACAACGGTTCATATACGGTGCAGATGTTAACGGTTTAGCATCTCGCGGCACCATGAACAATTGAAGCTAAAAAATATGTCTTATAGGCCGTTAGAGCTTGTTCAGTGCGAGCATGAAACTGATAGATCAGTCAGCTTATACATGCACCGTATTACAAGAAAATTACTTGGCTCCAGAAAAGATCAAACTGGACGTCGATGGAGAGTCTCAGCGAAGACGAGCAGATACAAGTGCTTTTAGGTTCCGCATGATATGTTGAGACGTTGTGATAGGACATGTGGTGTTGATGAATGACATTCCGTTTGCAGGGTTTGATTTGAAATTTGCAGCCTTTCCATTGAATCGCCAGTCGTCACCTTAGATTTAGCTGTTGGGGCACTTAACTCATGTATGCATCAAATAAAGACTTAGTAGAATTTTATAAGAACTGCACGATGTCTAATGAAACGCACAATGCCAATTGCGCATTTGGCGGTAAATTTGGGAACTTTGTTGGGTTGATACGCATTACGCATGTCCCATGACCTCATCGTCAAGTCCGCCATAAGTGGCTCCCGAACTCTTCAAGCTTCACATTAGATTGACTAGCCAAAATTCATCATGTTTTACTTGAAAAACTGCAACAGAGAGGGTAATGTGGCGCTGCATCTTCTGTATTAGTCTCCCACTGCCCTCAATTATGCGCACTGACCTGTTCAGTCCCGGGAAGGGTCGCCGAGGCTCACCACTGCGCCGCTCGCGCCCACCAGACCCTCGTGGTCGGCCACAACAAAGCGTCGACGGCTCACGCTGCCGGTATCGACCGCGCGTCCGGCGGGTCGCCGCCACCCGTGCCTGCGCCCGGGCCAACGGCGGCGCTCGAATTCAGCCGCGTCGCCGCCGGCCGACCGACCCGTGCCGCGCGCGCCAAAATTGATCGTCGGCCGGTCGGCCAATCAAAGTCGCCGGCGGGTTACACCGACGGGCGCGCCGCGCGGCCCGGGCGATTTCGCGCAGCCCGGAACTGCGTTTGAACGAGACGTTCTGAAGTGGCGAATCCCACCCTTGGTGTTAGACTGTGTGATAAGTTACCCCCGGCCCGCATCGTGCGTCGAAAGAGTTGAATGTAAATGGCGTGCTAGAGCCCCATTGAGCTCACATTTCTGTAGAAGATTCTCAGGGCTAAGAAGCCGTTATCTTCAGACACCATGGATCTCATAACCTCGTCAGCAACGCCATCCACGTGCGAGATAATCTGAAAAGAACAATGGACAAGTTACACAGGCAATAAATATTACTATTACAACAACCTATCAATTATAAGAGTATGTATAGATTTTTAGCTATTTTAGTTCAATATTAGAATGGAGTAAGAAAAAGAATAACCTGCTCGATGCTATGTAGAATATCTTGCCGCAGCTCTGAGCTGAGCACGTTGAAATCTGAGGGCGCCGCGCAGGATGCGAGGTCCCAGTCAGACCCGGCCGAGCCAGGCTGGTTGTCCACCGCTTCATCCGATCCCGGGGGCTCGGGAGGGTCGACCACGATCGAGCAGGATGCCCCCGCCGCTGCAGGATCGCACAGTTCGTGGCTGTGCGGCTGGTCCGGACCGTCATCTTGCTGGTACGCCGGGTGGGTTTCACTGACCGGAGGACCGGCCAGAAGACGACCGATGAGCGCCTGGTCGGCGGTAACCAGCGCGTGCAGAAGTGCCGAGTAGTCCAGGTGTCTGACGGGCCGAGACACGCCCTTAGCCGGACCGGAGGCAGTCGGACAGTCAGCCGCAGTTAGACTGTCAGCCGGACCGTCAGCCGAACAGTCAGCCGGACCGTCAGAGGCAGCCGGACCGTCAGCCGCGGCCGGACGGTTAGCCAGGCCGTCAGCAGCAGCCGGACGGTCAGCGGAGCCTTCAGAGGCAGCCGGACCGTCAGCCGAACTGTCTGCCGGGCCTTCAGTCTCAGACGGCTGCCGGCCGAACGCAACCCAACAGGTGTTAGATGTGAGCGAGCACAGTAGGCGTGGGAAGTTAGAATACGAGCATAAACACGGAGTAGACGCACTAATTAATTCGTGAATTACGGCCGCGAGAAACGCAATAAGAAATGTACATACAATGTGCATGCATGTTCCGTACCTTTGCACCGATCCGGTCCTCGTGGTAGTTTGGCCTTGTCGCGTCTCTCCATATTTCTAATTCTACAGTTCCCTTGATATCCCTGAAAAGGAACACAAAAACACGGTATTAGTTTATCTCAATGCAACTACCTACAAAACTCTTTTCTGTCGATGTGGAGTCGAGGTGACATGCATCATCACAAGAATTCCTTCAGAAAAAAAATATCCATGGGTGTTTGCATTTTCACGAGCATGCCAGTGCACTGATTTCGTTGTTGAGGCGCAGTTTCCTATTCACTTACTGGCACGTAGACGCTTCTTTTGTGTACGTACACATAAATAGTTATCTTACTGCAATTTAACTGATAGTAAACATCTTGTTGACTTCCGACCATTATCAAATTCGCCAGCTGGTTGGTTGGACTGCCTTCAGAGGTAGACTGTTCCGCAGGACACAGCGGTCCTGCGGAACAGTCTACCTGGCAGACGCGGCGCCTGCGCGACGGTCGGCGCTCGCAGATCAAGCGAGGCCGTTTTGTCCGGAAGTGGATGAGCGGTACAGCCTTTGAGTGACGTGAGATGAGTGGCAGAAACTTCAAAACTTGTTCTGATGCCTACAAATACGTCAACTTAAAACTTCATAAGCATTTTGGCTGAAAAAAAGACGATCTGCTGGCAACATTTTGGCTTCGGAGGACGCTTATTTTTTACACAAGTGAAACGTTACCACACGTTATCTTTCACGCTTGGTTCCTGCAAGTTTTCCTTAATTTAAAAAAAAGTTACTCCAAATCGCTAAGCAGGTAGTGAAAGGTGCACAGCATAGGCCGATAAAAGCCTTAGCTACATTTACAATGCCAAGCCAATCCAAGATAAACCTTAGCCTTAGCTACAAAAGCCTTGTATGAGCTCAAGTAGCTATGCACTTACACCATTCCGGTATTTGTCACGACCTCCAGAGGAGCCCTCTCACCTCAGCAGCTGAATGGACTCGTCCTCAGTTAGATCGCTGAATCTGACACCAGCTGCCGAAAGGAGACGGTCCCCGGGCAGAATTCCAGCCTGGAATGCTGGGGTACCCTCGTGGACGGCCTCCACTCTGGCGGACGGGCGAGAGGGAGAGATAGAGAGAGAGAGAGAGAGAGAGAGAGAGAGGAGAGAGAGAGAGAGAGAGAGAGAGATAGAGTCGACAGTGAGATAAAAGAGAGGCAGAGAGTCGACAAAGATTAAAGCTTTTTAGATAAATCAAATAAAGCCTTTTCATTAGGGTAACTGTGGGGAAAACGCACCCCTGGGTTAAGCGCCTCCCCTAAAAATCGTATCTCTTATCGACGGATAGGTGTTTTATCCTGTCTTTCAGAACAGTCAGCTGCTTGTTTACGTAGATCTCTATTTCCGGTTATGCGTCTTGAGGAGCAGCGTGGGTAGGTGCTGATGTTGGTTTTGGGTGTTGTTTTTGTTGTTTTTACAGAATATTCCTAATATTTTGAAGCCCTCTTTATATAAAAAAAACTTGCTATTATGCACATCACTCAAAACTGCGTTTTATTGTCATTCTGGTGGTGCGGTGTGGGCGTATTACCCAGGGTATGGGGCAAAACGCCCTTTTGTAAGGGTATGCTAAAACCTTTTTGGGGGGTTAAATACCACACGCAGGTGTCTTTTTTTGTCTCAAAGCGCAGTAAAAAGAATGAGCTACATGATGGTGCCCAAAGGTTTAAGTAATCTGTGTTGGGTTGAGTGTCAGAAGGTTTCGCGCTTAAGGGGGCGTTTTTGACCTATTCACCCTACCTATGCTTGCAAAAGAACTTTGACTACTGGTGTAGTAAGAGTGCTTACGAGAATACGGATGATTTCAGAGACCAACTTGTTTTGATAAGCAAATGTGTAAAAAGCATAATTATTTTTCAGTCATTAAATTAATGGGAAAATGTGCTGCACGACTTTTCATCCAATATGCGAATGTCACGTCGAATATATTTCACAAAAGCTTTCAGTCGAAATTATCAAATACACATGAGCACCCATCTCTATAGATCAAACGTCCGCCTTACAATAGCGACACAATACAAGGCGCAAGAACGTTATTTAATACGACTTAGTTACAGTCAGCACTCAGCAGTTAGCACCATTGACCTCGTTGGTTACTATAGAGGTCAATGGTTAGCACCCACCTGGGCGGAAGACACCAGGCTACGCGGAACCCGAACGGGGCGCCATCCCTCCTGGGTAGCTGGACCCTGATGATACCGGTGCCCGCAGAGGGCGGATTGCTGGGGCCCGGGGCCGAGCTGTCCTGAGCCGACGGAAGGCAGTCCGCCGTCCCAACGGGAGGCTGGTGAATGGTGGTCATGGTGTCTGAGATTGACGCTGTGAAAGAGGCGCTTGGTAACTGAACGAACAGGACCAAAAGCGAAAAGCTAGTTGGTAATTTTATGGATAACAGCGTTGCGTCAAGATTTTAATTAGCAACTATTAAGCTAAAGGTGTGGGCCGTCGGTATCTAATTATGTAGGTATGTTTGTGTGAGTGTCTTTTTCTGTGTTTGTGTGTTGGCGTCTATTTGTGTGTCTGTTTGTATGTCCGCCCTGTGTCTGTCTGTGGAGGCCTGCCTGTCTGTCTGTGTGTCTGTCTGCGTGTGGGTGTCTGTTTGTGTGCGTCAGCTCAGTGTCGCCGGGGACGCAGTGTCCAGCCCGGCCGGACTGGGAGGTCGCCCTGCCTCATCAGCGGACCGCCATTCGGTCGGCGGATCAATCAGGAGTCGCGCGTGACACGCAATAACAGCATCAGAGCCGGCCCGGCCCGGGAGCAGGGCGCCGCCGGACCGCTCTGGAATAAGATGCAACGTGCTTTAAGCAAACTCATCGATCGAATAAGCTTAGTATCGCATTCCACGCAGGCTACATAATGCGGTTAAGGACCTGGGTCATGTTATATGCACATTAGTATCAACTCTGTCTATGTATTGAAGTGTAAATCTCCCAACAAAAAGGGTGTCATTGCAACGAAGCCATAGACATGCCAGCGTCGACAAATCAGTACCGATGATATGAGGATCAGCGGAGATGTTCCGCCATAGCAGGACGACTAATTGACTGCACGGGGATAAACCATGGCATTAAAACTATTGATAGGGATACATACGTAGATTATGACAAACATTATCTGCATATGATAGACGTCCTTTTGTTCTCAAAGGGCAACTTTTAAAGTTTGATCCTGACTGGCTTGCCCTTAAGCTGACCTCGACCTCAACTTTATCCGACTTTGGTTACAGGACGTGTCATGATGCCTCGTTCTTGTCTTTTTACCGTCTAGACTGTGTAACACAATGCTCGATCAAAATAATGCAGCAATAGTACATCAAAAAAGCAATGAATCTACCGAGGTGATCAGTTCATCAGTCAGCCTGTCTCACTACAACAAACGTCGGCTGTAACGCGTCTCACAGCTTCGCTATAATGTTACATACAGCCGGGCGCGACCAGTAATAGTGTCATGCGGTACAGTATACTTTTCAGGCGCTTACGCTGCTGCCATCTAGCGACGAAATGTGAAGTTACTCTACATCTGGTTCTTTTGTGGGTGTTGTCGCCAGATGAAGGGTATAAGCTGATTCGGAATTTCGGACATGTGCTATCTTTTTCAGTTTTCCTTATCATGAATGTCAACACGCATATACCTATCTTGACCACGCTATTTGAAAGAAGAAAAAAACGCAAATACGATAACATATCGATTTATTATGAACGAGGAGCTCCCGTGGAAGTTATTTACGAGAACATTTACGAGAAAAAATAATCCTGTGATATTCACTTAACAACGCACAATCAAGACTCAAAACAACACCCACTTCACGATAAAGACTGCAGAGCGCTACTTACCGACATTCCCGGAACGCGCGCTGCTCCTCAGACACCTCTCCTCACGATCAGACCCCACCAGTCAGCTGACAAGGCGCGGCAGATGCCCCGTCCACGTCCGTCCCGAGTTAGGCCCGGTCCGTGACGGGACCGGCGCGGTCGATCCGGGACATTCGCAGTGCGGCCCGCCGTCTGACCGGCGTCCTTAGCTCGCGGCGCAGGGGAGGAAGCCCCACGTGTACTGCAGACTGGGGGGCGGGGGAGGGGGGGGGGCGCATATAGGGACAGACCGTCTGCCCCACAGCCGACGAAACGTTGAAACTACAGCGCGCGATGCTTTTGTAGATATAGCTTAGCGACGTGCATTGTGCATGGCTGGCTTTCAACTATCAAGACGCCGATGATCGATTGCTAGCTCCACAAATGTGGAGGCCAAGTTAATCGATCGGACCGTGGCCTTCAGGCTGGTTAAAAGCGATGACCGGTAAAGGTGCATTAAGTCTTGGCTGCAGACACGTCTTTAATTAATCGCACTACTGTTCATGCCGCGTTCCTTTGGGAAGTTACTGTCGTGCGTCATACTGGACTGGATACTATAGACCATTCACAAAACATTACAATGCAACAGACGCAGGTAGCAAGATCAGCATAATATATTGTCCAGAATACCACTGTCAGCCAAAATCCCAGCCATCACTGTCCAAATGCAAAATGCTTTAGAAGCTAACGAACACTCCGGCATCTGACGCCGCATACAGGCCCGACCAGAGCCCTGTTCAGACTGACTTCAACGACTGAGATATCGCATTGTCCGTACAAAACAATTCATTATCGAGCGCTGTCACCAACCACAAACATTAACCAAAAATAGCGACGACTACCGGCGCACAACCACGACACAACTCGGCAGGGTAGCGCCATCTACCATTATACAAGACAGGTGCTGTCATTTACTTCTGGGCAGCAGACAGCCGACCGGCCACGTCCTTCCAGTTGGCAACCTTGTAGATTGCGTTGACGTAGTCGGGTCGCACGTTCTTGTACTGCAGGTAGTAGGCGTGCTCCCAGACATCAATGCCGAACAGAGGAACCAGACCTGTCGCGAAAGAGAGCATCAGACATCTGACATGAGACCCAAATTCGTTAAGGGCGGAACACCACACGCTACACTATCAAGTCGCCTCCTAATCTAACCATCCACTCTACCCGCCGGCCGACTCACCGGTGGTAGCCTGCAGCGGGTCCTGGTTGGCGCACGTGGCCACGCGCAGGCGTCCGGCCTCCTTGTCGTAGCCGAGCCAGCCCCATCCGGAGCCCTGGACAGCCACGGTGGCCGCCGACAGGCGCTGCTTCAGCGCCTCGAAACTGCCGAAATCACGCTGGATCGCCGCCAACAGTTCGCCTGAAGCAGTAGTGACACATAGCGGTGGTCAGGGATCCTCCGCGAGGGGAGGTGTTGGTGCAATATGTGACGTTTATGTAGCACGCAATACACGACACATTCTTTAAGACGGGACAGGCCGCTAATACCACTGCATGCAGCAAACCTATGCCGTACTGTACAACATGCACGGGCCAACATAACACAGGCACGACTTTATAAAATATGATCGACATTAGCTACGTCCTCCCCAATTCACAGTCGGATTAGCGGGCCTACCCCTCGGGGCGAGCCCGCCACTGGACCAACTCTCGAGCCCGACAGTCACTGGACTTACCCTCCGGCTCGCCGCTGCCGCCCGGGCAGAGGTTTTGCCAGAAGATCGAGTGATTTATGTGTCCGCCACCGTTGAACTTCAGAGCTCCTTGCAGGGAAATGATGGTGCTCGTGTCGTCTGCAGGCATTCATAAATGTGATTACATGTGACTGCACCATGCCAATTCACACTTAAGTCGTACCTCAGACTCTTTAGTGCCCTGACTCGTACACAGCAGTCAAAAAAAGTGAAGGGCGACAGCGCCTAATGCTATCGCGTAGCGCGCCAAGATATTCAGTCCTTGGTCCTACGAACGGACATCGAATGTCTTGAAATTAATCTATCTGATTTCACAAAAAAAACATGATATTGTCATCAGCGTGTAACATCGGTACCCTAATAAGAACAAAAAGTTTGGCCACATCACCGCACGATTTCGCCCACCAGCTCCCTCCACCCCCCGTTCACCAACTTTTGGCGACGGCCTCGGCCAGTTTCTCCTCTGCCACGTTGAGGTTGTTGACGTAGGTCTGGTGGTGTTTGGAGTGGTGCAGCTGCATAATCTCGGCGCTGATGACAGGCTCCAGGGCGCCGTAGTCGTACGGCAGGTCGGGCAGCGTGTGCGCCAGCCGCGTCGCCGGCCACGAGCTGGCCGCACAGCGCGCGGCGCCCAGCCTGGCGGGGCAGAGAGGGGTCGGGTCAGGGCGCTGGACAGCTCAGGGTGCCAGTCAGGTCACGATGCCAAACAGGTCAGGGCGCTTTGGACAGATCAGGGTGCTGGGCCAGTCAGCTGTCAGGTCAAGCAGGGTGCTGAATGTTTTGAGTCAGGGTGCTGGAGAGGTCAGGGTGCTAAACTGGACTGGCCCGGCCAGAGCACTGGACATCTCAGAGCACTGGACTAGACCAGTCAGGGCAGTGGGCCAGTCAAGTCACTGAGCAGGTTAAAGCTCTGTATAGGTAAGACATTGGGCGACTGTTAGGTACCCCAACTGACATGGATGATGGGACCAGTGTAGTCTGCTAATGCTGCAAGTACACAGCTCAGGGCATGGGTGCTGTGCAGTTGTTTATCTCCATTTTGTCTTCATTGGATGTCATTGTATACCTACTGAAATCACACAATAATGATGTTAATGCACATAATGACCTAAGGGACCTGTCCTGTGTTACACTCAGGACCTATAAATAAACCTAGAAATTAGCATTACACTTGCAGCAGGTAGCAGGTAGGTACATTTGAGGGTATTTCAACAAAGAAAGAGCATTAACCAGTCCAGTTATGATTCAATTTGTGGACAGAACAGTAAGCTAAAAATATCATGTTTCACTGCATTCTTATTGAATGGAGAAATAATTATCTAAGTATCAAATTATTTTCAAATTTTGGTGTTATATTATTGAGATTCTAGCAAGTAGCATGGTAGGTGTAGTAAATATAAAGTGGGTATCAAATTGGGTTAGGTAAAGTTTGATAGTATTTGTTATGTGAGACATTTTAAAAATAGAGCTGAGTAGTCAAACTGATTATGCAGCAAAGATCTGACATCGCAATAAGGAAAAGATCTGTAATCACCTGCAATCAGCAATGTCATTGGTTCTGAAATGGTGGCCAGTCAGTGTCACATGTTAAGTGACTCTTCTCTCAATGGTATTTCATTTCTTGTATTGTAGGGGGTTTAAGTGGTTTGTATGGGGTATTGTATGGGGTCTCCTCTTGTCAATTTTGATTTATAGTCAATGAACATACGCCTTAGTGTTTATCATCCAGACATGTGCATGGATCCATGAAAATTAATCTGGGATCTGATCCCACAGATCCTGATCTCAGATCTGAAGGGATCATATATCAACTCCTTAATTTATCCAGAGATCTATAGGGATCATAGTTCTGAGTCTTCTTTTTTTTTTGCTTGAGATCCAGTGACATCAAAGAACCTTACTTATTTTTGTCAAAACAGAAATAAAAAATACTCAAATGTAACTCACAGATGACATTCTGTTTTAGTGATTTTATGTGATTGCGAGAAATAATAAATGGTTTTGTGGCACTCATTCACATAAAACACTTGGAAACCTGGTTTTCAATGTTGAATTTGGTGGAATCCCGTAAGACCATAGATCCAAGATGAATTTTTCATGCCAGATCTGGTGGGATCATAGATCCTAACCTGCACTTACCCACTTTGCTTCAAGATCCATTGAGATCATTGATTCACTCGGATCCATGCAAATGTCTGCTATCATCCTTCAATTCCTGAATACAAAGAGTATTAAATCTTTGGCATGGTGAAGTGAAAATTATTACATTATTGACAATACAATATTCAACTTACAACAATGAGTTACGCTCCGAGATGTCAACACAAACATACAACAATTCATATAACCTCATATGACCTACCTAGTGACTGAGGAAAGAGCTCGGTGCATGGCCATGACTTGCTGGCTTGTGCGTCCCCAACTTATGAGGAATGGTCCACCCAAATTTAACTTCTAGAGTTCAAATGAAATCAAGCGAAGACGAAAATGAAGAATAGAATGGTTTTTCAACGCCAGCCGGGTGCAAGGTATATGCCGGGTGATGCGCAGTCGCCCCTTGTAGCTTTGCGTAATCGGCTCAAACAGTCTTGAGGATGTGTTCAATTCAATCGTTGGTAGGCATAAGTCCTGCTCAAGGTCGATGAAGCTGAGGCGTTTCGGCCTGAGTCTTCATCATTAAAACGTCACAAAAGTATTTTGATTTGACAAGAAAAGATTTTCGAAAAAGACGTTTACCTACATAGAACGATTGCACTTTTACCTCAGTCTCGATGACTTTGAAAAAAAAGTTTTTTCATTATTTTTTTAGTTGACTTTACTTTCGAACAAATGAGTATGTCTTATCTGCGCAGTATATGCAACAGAATAAATCAGCTGACTTTTCAGTCGTTGGTGTGGTCAGCTACTAAATTGTTGCTTGGCATCAAAACAATACATAGCCTGTGTGGCTTCAGTTTTTGCATACCATTTGTAGCACAAGTACGAAGCATACTGTTACCACCGCTACCGCTACTGCTACTGCTGCTAGCAGTGGTAGTGACCGGGTTGTATCGGGCCAGATTGAGCCGCTTGTTTTTGTTGTGCACAAATTAACTCGCTTGCTCGCTTCGCTCGCTCATCAAATACCGTGCGTTTTATACACACTTCTTAGGCAAAAACGTTATTTTGCCCAAGACTCTTCAAGATTTTGCCTACCAATTTTCTACATTTTCGCAGGTCCAAGACCGTCACAGAGAGGCTCGTCTGCAGGGGGACAGACCCACCGCACACTGGGCCAGGGGTCCGGAAAAGCGCTAGAAATTATTTGTGATTGAGTTGTTGATCTCAGTGACAAGCAAACATGCTAAAAACGAAGTGGGGCTGCTTAACCCTCGCCGGACCTATTGTCGGACCCCCCACCCCCTCGGCCGGCCGAGGGGGGAGGGTTGGTACGACCCCTTTTTGCCGTTTCGCCCCTAATGGAGCTAGAGCCTCGCGGAAAAAACAAGCGTGTGCGCCGTTTCAAGGCGGAACGATTGATACCCGATTTTAAGGTCCCAGGTCAACCGGTAACCTCTGAGGTGAAGTCAAAAAGCCCAAGTTAGGGTTTGGTTTTTGGCAAATAATTTCGCAAAAATGGCCGCAGAGCAGCGATTTTGGCACCATCGTGTTCGCCTGGCTCAGGCGCGTCGAATGGTATACTTTTTGTTCGGGTGAGGTCAACTTAAGGTATTGACCTCGAGTCAAGGTCAGTTCAGAGCCCATCAGGCCACGAACTTAATCGAAGGAGGTCGTATCGCATATCATTCGATTCGGGAGGTCTTCCCGAGTCCATTGGTGGCTTTCCCGAGTCGCTGGCTCAATTTGATCATGAGTTATAGACGAGAAACTCCTATGACCGGTGTGACGTCATAAATGACGTCACGGAAGGTCAAAAATGCAAAAGTAAAGCATCGCATCTTGCAAGGAGTGCACGAAATCACGATTCCGTGTGCTTGAGATAGTTTGAGATCATTCCATGCGCAAAAACAACAGTTTCCTTATTTCCCCATTCACTTTTAATGGTGAGGTCACGTGACCTCGAAGAGTAGCAGGCATTAGCAAAAATTGCGAGTAGGGCATGACAGAAAGATGATTGGTGGTTTGTATGGCATGGCCATTTTTAACGGCTCGAAATAACATTTCTCAAAAAGTCTAACTAAAGAGCAAGTTGTTGTTGATTATCACTGACTTGTGTTTAGGGGTTAATAATGACTGAATTTTTGAGTTTGGCCCAGAAATGTTGACAGCATTGTGTGCGTTGATCAATTCTGAGCTCAGGGACATATATTTCATTTAGATTATAAGCGTTTGTTTTTCACAACTTCCAGCGCCGGGCCTTCAGTAGAGCGGCGAGGTGATAATTGCCCCTACATCACGTGGTTTACTGGCGCATATCTCGAAAAGTAGCAGGGAAAAGCAGCAAAGCACCTATATGGAACAAAAGATGAGTAATCAGAGGCTAGTATGAAATGTTCATTTTTAGCCGCTCGAAATAACGTTTTTATAAAAGTCTATTTAAAAAATTGGATATGATTTCAAATTACGTCTTGCAGCTGCTTGCAAACAGCTAGCTTATCCTTGCAGAAAAGCGATGCAATATGTCAGAATGATGTTGGCACAGTGAACAACAGTGCCCTGAACTAGTCTGACAGGAAATTTCGTTCAAAACGACGATTGGTCAACTAATAAATTACGACTAAAGTTCATCATTAAAATCGGTAAATGTGGTGGCCTATAGAGAGTCTAAATTGTCTTGTGTTTGGTGACAACTGACGACCTCAATTTTGACCTTAGGGCAAAACTAGCATCGGAATCGTATTCTTCGATCAATTTGGGATTAAATGATACCTATTTTGTTCATATTGCGGACAGTCAGTTTGGGGGAATTTCTAGCGCTTTTTCAGGCTGCCGGCCTACAGTGCACCGTGCCCAACCCCCGCTCCCTCGAAAGATTCTGGATTCGTCCCTGCCTGGGCTGACCCCGGGCCTCGGGTGGCCCGGGGGCCCCTGTGAGACCAGGTGGCCCCCTCCTGGGCGAAATCCTAGGTACGAGCTGGAGTCTGACCTACTGTTAGTTGTTACTATAGAGGCCAGTGGCGTTGACGCGGCTCCTTAAGGAGCCGCAAGGCAATTGCCTTGGACCGGAGCTGGAGCCGGCTTATTCGTAACGAATGAAACGGAGATAAATAAAAGTGAAGAGCACTTTTTTATTCGTCAATGTTGCAAAAATAATAGATAGGCTCAAATACCCAAAAAAAAAATCAAATAGGCCACGGATCATGATCGTGGATTCGGATAATGTTGTCTTGAATGGACCTACGGCCTACGCTACTTACATAGGTTCAAGGTCCTACATCTACATTCACGTGAGGACTGTGGTCTTACCTATTTGTGTACCGTCGAACTGACCAGCTTCAAAATTCTTTTGTAGGTCTGTTTCTGTTTACATGGCTTCCTTATTGCGAATGACCGCTGCAAATAGTCATTTCTTAAATAATATCCTTGGATGTTTATTTTGTACCTACACCCAAGGACTCCTCGACTGGGAGGACGCGTCCCCCCGCCCCCCCCCCCCCCCCCGCTTTCGACGCCCATGACTATTATGTATGTAACTGTTGATGTTTTTGGCAATGCCGAAATGTAGGTATAGGTTAGGTGATGCGTGCATCCTTCAGAAAAAACGTGTCTTTATCAGTGTGAATAAAAGGTGTTTTTATCACACTGGAACCCATCACAGGGCCAGGCCGCTTCAAGCCTGACAACTGAGTGACAGTTGTTCTGTCACGGATAAATCTCTCCTTTCAGTCTCTGTGCCGCCAAAGCATGAAATCAGATGTTATTTTCTGTTCTAGAGGGCAGCCGACAGATCGGTTTCAGAATGACAATGGATTCGGAGCCGTGACCATGTGAATAACGTCGACAGACCCATCCAATTGTGGAAACGCCACCCGGAGAATGTCAGCCGGCATTGTATGCGGGGGCGTCAGCATTGTCCGACGACTGGTGCTTCTCGGCTGACCAAGCGCAGCTCGATCGTTCAGCGCTCACTGAACAAGAACAGGCGGCCGGCGGGGTTTTCACCAGGGGCGTCCTCTTTGAATACAGCGCTGACACAACGTGTCGCGCGCCACTCAAATTGGTGGTTACGGGACACTGTGCGCATTGGCGAGCAGAAAGGAAAAGTGGCCGTGGTAGGCGCATGCGTGCCGCCCGCCGCTCGGGTGTCTGAGAGCGTGCCGCCGGCCTGTCGCGATCACTGTCTAGCGCGAGCTGGTGCGCTGCAGGCACGGAGAGGAGCCCGGAGGTAACCGGTCGCGGAGCCTGGTGTTTAGGGACGATACCGCGGACTCAGACAGTGCTGGTGATAGACGCAGTGACGGGGATGTGATTGTGTGACCGGGCGAACACAGGACATCGTATAGTTATCAGTGTCGGAGACATGAGGCCGGCACAAGTAATTGTGCTCGCTGCTGCCCTGGCGGTGATGGCGACCGCAGAGTCAAAGGTACGATGTTCAATGACGTTTCATTACCTCGCATTATTACTCAAATGATTCATTAACATTTAATAGCTAAGTGTCCGTCGCTTTTGTGGAGATCTTGATAATGGAAGGCTGATTGCCGTCTCTACACAAAACAACCACTTCATATGAACAACATGACAATACGTGTGGTGGCTGGTGAAAACCACTGAGGTCAGCGAACAATTCGTTCAAGTTAACCTTGAACGACCCGGGTCCTAAATTTTCCAATGTGCAGAAACGATGCATCAATAACTGTGCCAAAACATATATAGTGTGCAAAACGTAGGTATGTTTTGGATTTTCGATGTCGGTGACCGAATGTCAGGTGAATCGTGAATTTTGTAACTTCATCATTATAATGGCAAACTGAGCGAAAGTTTTGTGGTGGAAATCCCTTATAAACACTCTAAAACTGCAACAGTTTATTATTGAATGCATATTGCATGTTGAGCCGGAAAATTGCACCCATGACACCATCTTAGACACCGGTGAGGTCACCGTAGGCCGTGAGAGCTAAATATAAAATTGTTTTCAATTACTTTTGACATATAGGTATATTCTGGAGCGATTTAACTTTGTTCAGAGTGACGATATGGATCGAACGGTACACTTACGACCCTTTCTGGTCATGTCATGAGTCATGACCTTGGGCCAAATTTTCAAATTGAGTTTTTTAGATCAAGTGATGGTTCATTCGACGCGTCTCGACAAAATGCGCGGATGCGGGTTAAATCAACTTAGAACATGCACATGGTGTTGAAAGCTATTGCAGGAAATCAAACTTTTTACGAGACATCGTCAGTTTTGAAAGTCTTTGCCCTCTTGAGGCTAAACCTTAGGTGAGCTCTGGGTACATTAATCAGTAATAGTATTAATGGGGCTATCGAATCCACTTTTCCGCGGCGCTGTAGCTCGATTCGTTCCCGACAGATATGCGCCGCATTTTCAAAAGTATCGACATTGGCGCAATTTGATCTTTAATGACCTCTGGTGGTCAGGCCCTTAACCACACCTATAAAAATTGTCTGAATTTCTGGTTAATTATTTTTGGCGCTCTCGCCAAGCCTGTTAACGTGTGTCGCTACGTGGTCCAAGAGCCGAGTTAAACAGGGGGTGTTCAATCCTCCTCACGACCCGGCGAGGGCTAAAATCAGCGTCGGCTTCCTCTTGTCATGTGCAGCGCGCTCGTTTTTTTACGAAGCTCTAGCTCTATGAGGGACCGATGGATTGAGGGTCAGGTCGATCTTCCTCTCTGTTCTTGACCGTTGGGGCCTGTAAAAACGCCAATGCTGGCAAGGATCAAAATGCAATTCCATAGTAAGTTACGATTTAAATAAAGGTACCGATTAGTGCCCTAAGAGTTTAGGTGAGCTGAAATTACTGCTGTGTTTTAGTACGGAGCAGCCGAGAGCACTTCCGGCACCGGCGTGGTTCATCTCTCACGGTCGGTTAGTTCTTAGTTGGTTCTCAGCGGTTACGGCCAGACTGCCCAACGCTATACAATGAATCTGCTATATGGCCCGTGACAGCTGACGAGCCTCAGCTGTTGATAACACTTTTTCTATGTTGTCAAATCATTCATAACAATAATTCCTTAGGCTTTTTCCCGTGTAGACAACTGAATTATTCTGTAGCAGTGTAAGTCTTCATTCGGAAGCGTGATCCGCTCATGACTGGAGTTAGGAGTATATACCTATATTTGATAAAGCGAGCGACTGACGGGAGGGGTTTTACAGAGCCCTCCGCGTTCCTATACCCAAAGCCTCCGCTCGTCCTATTTCCAAACTTCAAACGACGTGTAGTGATAACCACAGAAAAATTGTCATGCGAAACCTATCACCTAATTTTGTGAACCTCGAAGATACTGATGATGCCAAAAGTTAGGTCAAAGTAAAAGTTATCAAATTAAGGCATGTTCGCATTTCGGTCTCCGGCCGTATCGCCGTAATCGCCACGCCATATGCGGAAGGCTTTTTTTTTTGGTGTCAATACATACAATACATACATACATATCTGAGATCTCGTCTTGCTGCATGTGGCTGTGCCAACAGTTGCGTTCCTTAGAAGTGGTAAATAACTTGTTTTCCGAACACTCCAGGCGTGGTGGCTGTGTGGTTTTGTTTCTGACAAGTTACTGGTGAGCGACAAGAACACCTGAAGTCCCTCACCCATGACGATAACGAACCCCTTCGCTACTTCCGGGTAATCTCCGTCGAGCAAGATGACTGCAGTAGTGCTCACCCTCACTGGTTATTTAGCCTGCATTGTTAACCCGGCACCGCCTGGGCTATTTCCGTACCCACGACAGCCTGGGGGGGGGGGGGGGGGTCGGATCCGACCACCCCCCCCCGTTATCTCGAGAACCAATGGTCGCACCGAGCCCCGCAAGGCGGCGTTCGAAAGGCCTTCCCAAAGCACTCTTAAGATTTTAAGATTGAGGTCAACTTTCGGGTCAAGGTCAGGTCAAAGGTCAAATTCTGGGGTTTTGCATGATTAGGCTTACGGACAGCGGAATCGATAGCTGCTGCTCGAAACTCACCAAAAATGACCTCAAAGACCTAGTGAAGGTACCATGTGCGTATAGGGGTCATACTAAGTACGGGTCAAGGTCAGGTCATGTCACGAAAGGTCACGGTTTTCATTTTCTGCTACATGGGCGTGCGACACATGTTTTATGGCTTATTTTTCACGCCGAATCCGATAGTAATGGTTATATGTGACCCCAGCTGGTGATAAATGTGCATTGAAAGCATACATAACTAAACGAGGGCTAAGAAAAAAGGTCAATTTTTCAACTTTTTATTTTTGACATAAAAATGCACTTTTCTAGACGAGCTTTGTCCCCGGAATCTAGTGGTGCCATTTGTTTTCACATGCGATGTTCAGAAGTGCCCCTAATTCACGAAAATGCTTATGACGTCACCATGCCCTATGCATGTTGGAGCTATTTTTACATTTTGGGGGTCAAAAATGAAGATAGAAAGTTGAAATTTGGGACATATAATGTTCTAATAGAGCTCTATAACATATATTCCGTTTTTTTTTTGGAAATTCTCAAAATTTTGGATTTTATTAGTTGTTTTTCAAAAAAATATAGTTTTTTGAATTTTTAGGGGTTAAAAACGCATTTTATGGAAAATCCGAGATAGCCATTTTAAAGAACTCGTTGAGCTGCGTCTATTCTTGTCCTTAATTTGCAATTTGCTTCAAAGTTCAAACCCTGATTTTTGGCGATTTTTAAACATTTACCACTTTTTGACTGAAAACGCCATGTAGTTACATCACTAAAATCGATATCTCAAAATTTTTTGGAAAATGTTTCTTAAAAATCACACAGGAGACGTCAAATTGATGGGGGAGAAGGTATGCCAGGTTTCAAGTTGATAGCGTAAGCGGTTCATGAGTTATTCAAGAAAAACGGAGGGGGGGTCGGATCCGACCCCCCCCCCCAGGCGGTCGCGGGTTAACCGCAGGTTGTTTGAGATAGACAAACACTATTCCAGAGGTATACAGAGGTGTATGACTATTCGTTAGAATTGTGTTTTTCTATTGAAAAACAATCGGAGCAGTTCTCGTAGTCTGCAGTATTCCCGAGCCTTTATCAAATGCCTAGGTATTATCAGCTCAAGTGTTCAGTTATGTAAAAGTGGATAAAGCCCGACATCCTGTTCAGTGATTGCATATTGCCACATTAATATTACGTTACAGCACATTAGCCAAAACATCATTGCAACAAACCACGGATTTATACAGTTATACATTTGTATAAAATTTAACAATGCCGCTGAAAGGAGGCGTCTCTCCTGCGATCTCTGTAGGGCGGGACAGGCAGTTGAGTGACAGGTTCGGTTTGAATCGGTTTGGGAAGGGCCCGGTCTTGTTTCCCACCCGGTATACTCTGACGACACCCTGCACACTGCCGAGCCACTGCAATGCTGCAGCGCGCCCGCAGACACGCGCCAGGCACTTCCGTGAGAAATTGGAGGCTCTGTTTTGTCACTGCGAGCCGAACGTAACTGTCAGTTTCAGATAACTATAAGGTGTTTCTGCAACTTAACGTAATCGATGCCGTTTAGAATGTCGACAGAATACCTTTCTCGGTGTAAACGTAACAAGCGGTTCATTTGTCTTTACGAGAATAGTGTGGGAAACGTCGATGATTAGATATATGTTCATGCCTGTATGGTTTAGTCGTTGGCAACTATTGCACAGTGTACGGCTAAAGTTAGTCTGAATGATGCCACAACTGTCTGAAGCAATTCGAGACTGAATCAGCTCACCGTCTTGTCCGCTCCGCTTCCAGGTTGTATCGGGAAAGAAGGATGACTCCAGCGGCCAGACTCTGCCTGGAACTCGCCCGTCTGACTCCGGGTCGGACGGGAACCCTCCGGCTGCGGACACAGGTCCCTCCGGCGAGGTTCGAGCGGCCACCGCCCTTCAGCCACAGTTTGTTGTCCCTGACAACGGCGAACCGGTAGGTCTGCTGGTGAACTCTGGCGTGCCCAGAAGGGATGTCAGTGGCGATGGGGACACGGAACCTACAGTGGCGAGTCGCGGTGACGGTTCCGCGTTCCCCGGTCGCCATGGGCCGTCGGCCGCTGCCCGAACGGACCTGTACGGCCTCCTTAGCGGTCCAGAGGTGACCGCCAGAGACGCCGAGCAGTCTGCGGGCTCACTGGCCGCACAGAGGCGCAGCGGAGACGCGTCAGCTCGCCGCTCTCTGGCCGAATCCGGTCCCCGCAGCCGAGGCCGTCTGCTGTCGCTCATTGATGGCGTGTATCAGGAGAGTCTGGACCGGGACGGCAACACCACCTACATCACACCGCTGGACCGGGTGAGTGAGGAGCCGTTCGAGCTGTCCGTCAGACGCTACAGCAGGTTCGTGGAGAGCCGGGCACAGCGGGGCGGTCGGATGCACGCGGAAGAGGACCTGGAGGACCTGCTTCAGAGACTGAGGGGCAGACTGAACCTACAGGAGTCGAACGGAAATTCAGCTGGAGAATCAGAGGATCAGCAGGGAGATAATCGTGAACGCAGCCACACTAACCTGGAAACTTCTGATGCTTTGGTAAAAACAGAGCTCGGTGAAGGGAATAGAGTGGATGAGTCATTTGACCTTGCCCCTTTGATTTTGTTCAATTCCAAGAGTGATACAGGTTCGCCTCCATCAATCGAACAAACTGAGCAGATTAATGATATTAAATATGAAAGTGATCCCGACAGTTCTGATGAATATTACGAGGACATAAATGCTGATCATGAGTATGAGGACTACCAGTATGACACTTATACAGAATACGACCACGGACAAGAACTAAGTAATAATGATGTTGCGGAAAACAGCAGAGCTCTGGAGGGACTGGAAAATAAAGTCTCATTAGACACCGACTACTCAAATGCCAAAGCGGAACAGGACGCCGGCTTTGTTGTGCTACCTCCCGCAGAAAAGAACGAAAGACCAACGGAAGGTCACGACGAACCCACTATCATCGAATCTCCTTTCGGTGATGACACACATTCTAAGGAAAGTAAAAGTAATATTGAATCGCCAGCGTCGACAGCCAAACGCACGTTATTTGACGAAGATGAGGAGCGTGAAAACCATGTCGACACAAACGAAAAGATTACCTCTAGAAGACATTTAAATGACCTCACCGAACTACCCGATACGCTACAGCCACCTCTAGATGATGCATTGGAATCTTATCTGCATTTTGATCCGGAGGCACAAACAGTCCAAGAATCTGTACCTTCTCTACATGAGCACACAGATAACGTCTTAGTCACGGCTGAGTCAGTAGACGTTTCGGACACCGAGAAACATTCTGATGATGACCGATATTCAGGAGGAACAGACGAAACGCCTAGACGTCTTCCGGAGTATGAAACACATGCGGAGATCAGTCTTAGAGGAGGCATCGAATCCTCGGATCCAGAGGCGGAAGGCTACGGTCCCGCCAAGCCGTCAAGCATTTACAAACCAGGCGATGACACTGAGCTGAATAATGTGACCAAGTTAGAAGATAGCGATTCTGAACAAGTACTGCAACGTGCGGTCACTCCGCGTAGTCTTGACCAGGACATCTCTCTCTACGACTCTCCGCCTAACTCTGTTACCGAAAAAAGCAGCGAACAGGCCGAGCCTCGGCTGATCGAGCCGTGGGAGCCGCCAAAACAGCAGCCCAGAATCCGAATCCACCTCCCGTTTGTGCAGGAGGAGACCATCATCCAGTTCCATCCACCCGACCGACACAATTATGGTCCACCGAAGGGAGTCGCCTCGACCAGCTCCAAGCCGGCGACTCACAGCAGCCATCCTTCGAGGACTCGCGGCAGTGCTCCGAAGACCAAGAACTCGCCACCGCCCGCCCTCCGGAATCCTGGCCGTTCTCCCTCCGACGGACACATCGCGAAGGGCTCTCCCGTACCGAGTCAACTGCTGCCGAAGGAGCACAGAGTAGTGCCTCAGCGCCCTCAGCAAGTCAAGCGTCCACGACCCAGCGCGTCAGTGCACAAGCTGCCCAAACCCTCTGTTCCTGCCAGCACCCATCGGCCTCTTGCTCACACGACTCCTCGCCGGCCTGTGCACAAGACTCACCACAGACCGACCACCAGCCATTCCAAGCCGTCCCTGCGCCCGGCATGGCTTGACGTCCCACGAGAAGTTCTTCCGCTAGCAGGTCCTTCCGACACTTACGCTGACCTACCGTACGACCCAGCCACTGAGCTGTCCTTTGACCCAGTCCAGCTCACCACGACTTCTCCGGAGTACTTACCGGTCTACCCACCCACGCATCCGCACAGTGCCGCTCATGAAGACGAAGAGAAGTCGAGCTATTCACAGGTGGAGCCCATACCAACTCCTCACGAACCTACTCACACCGTGACGAGCTATGTATCTCCGATTCCGGTAAAGTTGAAGCCAACTGAACCCTCTTCATACGTGTCGCTGCAACCGAACCCCTTGTACGTTTCAAATAATCCTTCAGCATCACCGTCTTATGTCCCACCAACGCCTTCTTACCCTTCGACTACGCCAACCCCTTCATATTCGTCACCCACTCCATTCACGTCACCAAAACCAGTCACAGTACAAACATCACCGAACCCTATTTCATCGTATGCTTCGCCAACCCCCAGTCCTTCGTACGTCCCACCAACTCCCACCCCAGAATACATTCGACCACATTTCCCTTCAGCGCACGCTTCCCCCGTGCACCCCATCCCAAAACCTCTCATCGTAAATGTCCCTCACAATGACATAGTTCATCCTCTTTGGGGACATCAAGATCCACATCCTCTGCCTGGTCATCCGGAGTCGCATCCACCAGTCGTTCTACCCCCACCTGCCATCCGGAACTATGCCGTTCCGTCTGTGGACAAGCTCTCCCAACGTCCTCTGCCTCGAGTGCCAGCTTTCTCACACATTCAGGGTTATGAAGAGCCTCCAGGCTTTGCTCACCCCGCGATCGTTCCAGATGTTCCGCCTCCACATCCTGGACACGTTGAACAGCCCGTTCGCAACTACGTGCGTGCGCCCAGCGATAAACTAGTGCAGAAGCCGGCACCCCCAGTGGCTCATACGCCCAGCCCCGACCAGCCTAGCCACTCTGTTCGAAACTACGTGACCCCACCGAGCCACGAGCTTGCGCAGAAGAAGCCGACCGCAGTGTCAGCGCCCCATCCACCGGAGGTCCACACAGCCGACCCGCCGGTCCGTAACTACGCTGTCACAGCCAAAGGCCACCAGGAGAAGAGGCCCCACCTGGTGTTGGCTCAACCGTCCCACCAGGCTGCTATAGGGCACACCACCAGGAACAACCAACCACGGGGAGATGAAGCCGATCGTCGGACCGCCAAGCAGGACGCCGTGGAGCCGCACATCGTAGTCGGAACTCTGGAGCGTCCTGCTGATGGTACTGAAGATGCCAGTGATAATCAGCTGGAATCGTCCTATTCTTCATTGGAGTCTGAGCCACGGCAGACTGTGGGGGACGATCACGAGCTTCCGCAGCTGCAACAACATCATCAAGAGCTAGAACAAAATCGTCAGCAGCATCAGCATGATAAACTTCAAGAGGCGCAACAGGAAGGGGACGACGAAACCTCTCCCCATCAGCTTCCCGAGGCTTCATTCTCGGACAGCCACCGTCCTCAACCGCAGCGACGGGGGACGACCATCATCGACGTGCTCGAGGCAGCCGACTCCCGCCTCCTGCTGAAACTGATGGACCTCTCTGGGATGCGGGAGCTGCTGGAGGATACAGGTAGGTCGGGATCAGGGGACACAAGGGACGATTGTTATAGTTCAATTCAGGAAATGGGCATGATTTTGTTTTTAATAAGCTTCTCTTTAACCAATTTATTTCATACGCTCCTATAGGCAATGCTATACCGCAATACCAATAACTGTTTTATTTGTGTTTCATTTCAAGCAATTCTTTACATTTTTTGCTATTTTATAGGGAGTGAATGAAGTCCGGCATGTGTAGGTACGGGGACCCGCAGTTGCTACTGTACACGAACCCCAAGTCTAACCGTCTGTCCTATCCAGTAACAACCGACAACATTGATATCGACTGCTGGTCCCTGTACAAGAGCAGCTGAGGTTTTCTGTGCGTGCCCTCTGGCAGCTTACCGTTGTTCACTGTGAGGGTGCTGGGACAATTTGCTCAGGGTCGCTGTACAGTAGCAACTGCGGGTCCCCGTACGGTGTAGTGTGAACTACTACTCTGTAATGCACCACTTTAATAGGTTAGCGTGTTGTGCTGCGTTAGAGTTTCCCGTTTCTCCTCGTGTGCCTGTCACCCCGACACGCTGTTTGAGAAGTTGCCGTGGTAGACACCAATAACATACGAACACTTTCCCAGATAAACAGAGCAATGTTTACTGTCAGCGATCCGCCATTGTCAACCAGATGTTTTTCCTATTCCCATTGATAAACCTGTTTTGTTCGACATTGGAGTTAATTCAGTCGAGCTGTTTTAAATAATAGATCCAAATAAAACCTTTCTTCATCATTTGTTCTTACGGATTGTTCCTAACGCCACAGTATATAGTCCTAGTTACCTGCTTTCCTACCCATCTCCAGGCGTGTTTTCTGTTCCTCAATATGATTATCTTATAGCTTCTGATGATCTCGTTATACCTTCCGTCTCGGTCTGACAAATATGCATGCGTCACGAGTCGGGGGTAACCAGCGGGAGGGGGAGGGGCGGCGGTGTGAGCTCGGGTGCAGTCAGCGGCGCGCCCAGCTTTCCCATGCCGCCGTCGGGCGTGGCGGGTGACGTGTGACGAGTGACGAGGAGCGCTGTTACGCTCTTTGACGGGGTGTAACGACAGAAGGACGGAGCCCGTATCGGCGCCCTGACACGGAAATGCGCAGGCCGTACCTCCATCCCGACGGCAATGCAGAAAAAATGCACTTGACGTCTCGAAGCCTGTTAGTAACTGAAACGCTCTTTGCACCCGACGTTCATTACGGAGCGAGCGAAGCGAGTGGAGTCTTACGTAGAATAACGGAAATTTCTGAGTATGAGCGGCCGGCCGTGGTCACGCTTTTGCGAGGCTTATATCTCAGCAACCCCTTGACCGATTTACATGCGGTAATTTTTGTGGGGTAGCTTCATTCCTTCTACCAAGTATTGGACTATTCCCGATGCATGTGGGTGACCCCTTATGCACGTGCCACGTGCAAAACGAAGAGGTGTCACTTTTTACGGAGCGAGCGAAGCGAGCGTAGTCTTTCCTTAGATTAACGGAAATTTCTGAGTATGAGCGGCCGGCCGGCCGGCCGGCCGGCCGTGGTCACGCTTTTGCGACGCTTATATCTCAGCAACCACTTGACCGATTTACACGCGGTAATTTTTGTAGGGTAGCTTCATTCCTTCTACCAAGTATTGGACTATTCCCGATGCATGTGGGCGACCCCTTATGCACGTGCCACGCGCAAAACGAAGAGGTGTCAGTTTTGTAATTGTTGCAATATCTCGGTAACTACTTGGCCGATTGCGCTGAAAGTTGGCATGTAGGTAGGCACCCACTAGTCACTGCATATCTATGTGCCAGAGTTGGGGTGCTGCTGCACGTGCGCACGTGCAGGGGTCGTTTCCAGATCTCGAGAACGGCTGGACCGATGGCGCTCAAATTTGGTACACGGTTAGGGACCAGTTAGTAGGGTGCCGTGCACAAGTCAGTTGGGACCCATTCTGCACGTACGCACGTGCAGGGTGCCGCTTCCAGATCTCGAGAACGGCTGGGCCGATTGTGCTCAAATTTGGCTCATCGCTAGAGACCGGTTAGTAGGGTGCCGTGCACAAGTCAGTTGGAGGTACCCCCTCGAAATTTCGCACGTGCAAGGCTCACCCTCTCGCTCGCTCCGTTAGTCGCCCCAAAAGGCGCTATACTGGTGTAATTGTTGCAATATCTCGGTAACTACTTGGCCGATGCGCAGATAGTTGGCATGTAGGTAGGCACCCACTAGGCACTGCATATCCATGTGCCAGAGTTGGGGTGCTGCTGCACGTGCGCACGTGCAGGGGTCGTTTCCAGATCTCGAGAACGGCTGGACCGATGGCGCTCAAATTTGGTACATGGTTAGGGACCGGTTAGTAGGCTGCCGTGCAAAAGTCAGTTGGGACCCATTTTGCACGTGCGCACGTGCAGGGTGCCGCTTCCAGATCTCGAGAACGGCTGGACCGATTGTGCTCAAATTTGGCACATCGCTAGAGACCGGTTAGTAGGGTGCCGTGCACAAGTCAGCTGGAGGTACCCCCTCGAAATTTCGCACGTGCAAGGCTCACCCTCTCGCTCGCTCCGTTAGTCGCCCCAAAAGGCGCTATACTGGTCTGTTATCGCAATTACATTGGTTTTGACGATAAAGTTGTAAATTGTCTTGGCGAACTTGAACTGGCTTGCCAAACTCAATGTGTGATATTGATTATTGACTGACTTAAATTGATTTGGCAGTTAATGTTGAGCCAGATTTAGTTGCGTTAATTGTTCATGCACGAAGCGTTCGCAATTGTTCAAATTCGGTAATAGGTATCTATTACATTCCTATTTCCAGATTTCGCAAGATCGAACTCTAAACGAAAAACATTGAATTGCTAATAGATCCAAGATGGCGTGTTACATTCCCCTGATAAGCCTATCCAAACATATCCATATCCATTCAGGTATCTCAGCTTAGTGTCTTTTCGCGAGAGGTCAAAACTCGAAGAATGCAATTAACAATGTGCCACTAGCACAATAGGTCCGGAGGCTGCGATCACTTTGATTGGTGACGTCCATTCAGCTGCTTATAGCTTCCAGACGCAGCAGCGACCGCAAGGCGCGGATAGGGGGAGGGGCATGCAAATTGTTGCAACAGTTATGTTATGACGACGCATCGGAAGAAGCAAACTTCCAAACATCGATTTTGGCATCTGCTCCCCCGTTTCTTCATCACCCAGTAACACGCCCAGTAACATTGTTCACGGCGGAGCACCTATTTGTTTGAGTTTGAAAGAAAAACAACAACAAAGCAACCGACATGTCATTCGAAAGGTAGCTTCTTTTACTAGTAAACAACTGCTAAAGTTCATTAGATTCCAAACGGTTTAAACGGATCAAATAGGTGCCCAATGTTCCGTCGTGAGCACAGTGACTAGAATCAACCAGCCGGCAAACTAAATTGAAACTCCCCGTAACGTCGAGAGCGCCGCGCTGCCGGACGTCACGGCTGTCTGCGTGACGCCGTGACGTCACGGTCGATTGTGACGAGCGTCACGGTGACGGAGCCAGCCGTGACGCTCATGGATCGTGGGGGGATGTGGGGAGAGCGTCCCCAAAATTACCCGTAAGGTGAGCACGGGCGGCGAGGGGCAGGTGACGTCCTGTTGCCCAACACTGTCACAGCGTGACGGTCGGGCCCGTGTGACGCGTGTTGTGCGTGACGGGAGCGGAGAATGGAAGGGCCTGTCGAAGTGCGCCGCTCGATGCGCGCGCACTGAACTGGTGAAAAGCGGACAGCCGCGATGGTGGGTAATTGCTAACTAATGGGTGCAGTTCGGAGTGTTACGAAAGGCCGTATCGCCTCACACCTGTGCTTCTCAATGGCTCGGTCAATGTGGGCTCGACGTCTGTTGTTGGCAGTCTGGTGGCTCATCTGAACTTTTTTGATCGATTACAAAACGCAGCACACCACGCATGGGTGAAAATTGATATAATTACAGCCCATCAACCTACCAACATCTGCCTAGCATGACGTGCTGCTGCATGGCAGTTCATACCGAGAACAACGCGGACAGTAAAGGCGAGGACACTGATTACGCAAAAGATGTGAGGCATGACCGTATATATAAACGTGGATTGAAATCAGGCAACATTGGCAAACAAAAAACCTAATGTATCTACTCGTGTTACCAACCTACACACTATCAAGTCATGTGCTGAACCATGCTATGCCGTGGTCCGTCCGCCCCAGGTCCGTACACGCTGTTTGCGCCCAGCGAGCGGGCCCTGGGGGAGCTGCTGCACCGTCTCGGCGGAGTGGACACCATCCTCGACACCATGGGCAAGGACAGTCTGCTCAAGGTAGGCGGCAGCTCAGCCTCTCGGGCAGGGTGGTGGTAGGTCTGCTGATGTTAGAGCTGCTGTAGATAGGCGTTATTTTGTTTTATTTGATTTACCCACGTATGTCACAGACGGTGGGTTAAGTAAGCGGTATTAGGATTTTTACTTTATTATTATAGCCTCATTACATCATTATAATTGACAATACCTAGGGCTGCCCATGGTAATGCTGTTAAAAGGACCTTGAATATATAACGATATCGGCTCTATGTTGATTAGTTTGCCGTTCCCGGCCACCTCGCCCCACCCCGTCTCATGTCACCCAGCTGCTGCAGTATACTGCACGTCTTCGGTCTTACCCCATCCCCTCTCCTGCCACAGCTGCTGCAGTACCACGTGCTACGCGGCTACGCCCTCCTCGAGGACATGGAGCACGAGCTGCTGGCCAGGACGCTCGAGGGCTCGCACCTGCGCATCAACCGCTACGACACCTACGACAACGTGTACGGCAGCGCCAACGTCACGACGGTCAACGGCGAGCGGCTGGTGCGCGCCGAGCTGGCCGCTGACAACGGCCTGGTGCACTTCATCGAGGGCGTGCTAGCGCCGCCGCCAGCCGACCTGGTGCGCACCCTGAGCAGGGACCCGCGCGGCAGGTTCAGCGTACTCATAGAGGCCGTCAAGCTGGCCGGCCTGCAGGAGGTGCTGGCGGACACCACAGGTCGGTGGCTGCCGGGGGGAGGGAGGAGGAATACGGCTATAGAAGTGTAAAATAGATTGAGGCGGTGGTACGTTACCCATGATGATATAGGTAATGAAACACGATAATATATAAAATGAATAATTGGATTGCATAACAAAGTAGATGCCTACCCAAAACGTGGCATGCGGAGGGTAGGGACTGAGGATGGCGAGAAACGAACTGGTGAAAGGCGCAAGGTGTCGGCCGAAGGGCCGTTTGTTGCGTTTGCGTGACCCACGGTTGGTGTGCCTTGTCAAGTTTACCTTCACCCATCAGCCACATGCTTGCTAATTTTCCCCGCTCTGGCGTCTTTAATATTTCATTATCAAATCTTCACCGGCGTGATTAAGACGATGGGGTGCTCGATGGAACGTTTATGCAATAAACAAGCACTGAGTTTTATTCCACAGTAACTACCGCCCGAAACAGACTTAAAAGTGACCCCCCCCCTTCCCCCGGCAGCCGGTCCGCTGACGCTGCTGGCTCCCACAAACGTGGCGTTCACGCAGCTGCCGGCTGAGCAGCTGCGCCGGCTGCTGCGCGACCGTCGCCGGCTGCGGCAGCTGCTGCTAGGGCACGTGCTGGTCGGCAGTGTGTACTCGTCCGGCCTGCAGCCGTTCCAGGAACTGGAGACGCTGTCCGGATCCACCGTGCGCGTCTTCAGCGACACAGGTTAGCTGCAGAGGCCCTCAGCACGGAGTGTGCACTAGAAACGTACTGCAAATCAGTCTCTTCCTCCTCCTCCTCCAATTCATCCCACCTTTCTTTCTCTTCATATTCTCTCTTTCCATCTTCCTCTCTTTTGCCATCTTGCACACTCAATTGCACCCTGGCCTGTGATGATCACAGAAGGTTTAGGTAACACATAATAGATTGCCTTTCGATTTCGATGAATTGAGTCTCAGTACAACGCTTAATCTGTACAATTTTGGCTAGATAGGGATGAGGGAGCATCAGGTAGGGGAGAGTGGGGAAAGATGCCCAGGGTTTTGCCATGTCATATATTATTCGAAAATGACGATGGGAAAGCAAAAACTTGGAGTTTCAACGGAAGCCGCCATCATTTTTCTCCAAAAATATCACACTTTCGTGCCTGAAATATTATAACCTTTTTTGCTATTAAGCATTTTCCTGATGAAGTGAAAGGGGGCATCTTACCGCACAGGGTGGGAAAGACGCCCCCTGACGTTGGGAAAGATGCCCCCTGCACTATAAGTGACATAAATGGGCACGTGAATCGCCTGAACGAATCAGTAGTCCCTTCGAGCCTGCAGTAGACACCAAACGTCATCATAAGGGCCCTCAAAAGTAGTCGTAAGGGGCTTCAGAGGTCATCGTTAGGGCCATCATCGTCCAGCACGGCCAAACAAGCCTCTGTGGTGGCGTTCGGAGACCACTGTGGGGCTCTTATAGGTCTTCATGATGCTTGAGGGCCCTCGAGCCCATCGTGGGGACCTCCGATGCCAGCGCGGCCCGTGGGCCCAACGTGGGAACCCTCAAAGGATGTCGTGAGGGGCCCTGGAGCCAATAATGGGGCCCACAGAGGCCGTCGTGAGGGCTCTCAGAGTCAGATGCCGCCCAAAAAGTCGCTATGTGGGCCGAGAGACCGGCATGGGGAGCACCCGACCGTACTGGACTCTCAATAGTCCAAGATCGGCTTTTGTCTACATCACAAGTATGTAATAAATGATTTGACGGGCTGTTTGAAGGACAGCCTACGGATTTATGGGGGGCGTCTTTCCCCATCAGGACAGGGGGCATCTTACCCCAAGGTACCGAAGTAACATTAAATCAGTACAATTTGTTAGCCATAATACTACACCCTGAAACAAACTTTTTGGGACACAGTATATACACGCATGCTAATGTATCACGACTATAGTAAGGGACGCAAAAATTATTTACCTTCTTTGATATTTACAATGTTCTGACACCAAAATATTTTTTGAAAGCAGCAAATAAAAAACATGCAATCATCAGCCAGCCGTTGCTCAACTGAGCTTCGCATTTTTTTTTTGTGCAGTTAACAAGGCAGGCTTCCGCTTTACGCTAAGAACATTAATTTCCAGGTCCGATTCTTTGTTTCGCCGCTAGAGGGGTGGGGCGTCTTTCCCACCCTGGGCATCTTACCCCACTCTCCCCTACTGGACAATGGATTTTTTATTTGCGAGCAAAACAAAACGAGCTTGACCTTGCTCCTTATGCAGCATACCACCTATTGTAGTGAGTGTGACCCTTTCCATCTTAGATTAATAAAAAATATATTTAATGTCCATCGGTAATGTCACCTGTTTCCTGCCACCTGTCTTTTCTTTTGCCTCGGCCAACCGCCGTCCCCTGTTGTTGGCACATCTGATCACATTCGTTGGTCATCCGGCAGTGTCGATGAAGGTGGACAACGCGCTGGTGATCGTGCCTGACGTCACGGCCGGGAACGGTGTGGTGCACGCCATCGACGCAGTGCTCGGCCTCCCCGAGGAGCGGTGAGAAGTGTGACGTCATTGTGACGTCATCTGGCCGACAAGGTTCGCCGAGTGTTTCTTGTACTGCTATGATTATGATCACGGAGCTGACCCAAGGCCTGACGTTATTGGGATTCAAGACATGGGTGCATTTTCTACGAGAAAAAGTTGACGTTGAAATGCACGTGTATTTGTATAGAAGCGATCATAGTATGATAGCCTTATCTCGGTATTTACATTATGCTTATGAGCGAATGACATTACTTAGTGAGTGAAATCATAAGAGCGAAACAATTAAGAAGGAGATGAAGTGAAAATGTTCTAGGATGTTGTGTTAATTGTTAGCCGTGTCTTTCATCTATTATGGTAGAATGTGTGCATGCTTGTGGTTTAGTGCATCCGTACAAATTGGAACCCTACAATTAGAAAGGGACGTTTCTCTAGCTAAGTATTGATTCATGAATAACTCGCGATGTTAATACTCACGTGCGTTACTTGATAACGGAAAGGCAAGTAGTCATTTCGCAGCCACCGTTAAATTTCGCGTCCTTCTACACCGTTCCAATGAAAAGCGCCTCAGTAAGTACCTATGTATTTTGCATGTCTGCAATAGCTACCTCCATTATTCTCATGTCGAAATGTACACAATTTGAGGTCAAAGACCGTTGGCGATATCCGTGTCCAAAGAATATTTCAGATAAGCCGGTTGCAAAGTGCGATCTTGATTGGTGCGCACTGGTAATGCAATTATCATGTATATATTTACTTTTACTGCTGCATATATTCAGCATGTTCTTCGAGTTACGAGCTGCAGACTGTTGACGTCATCGTATGTAGTGTTTTTACTTATGTATTCTTAACTATTTGCTTTGTTGTTTCGTAAATATAGAATTGCCTATACAATCGCTGTTATGCCGGCATCTGGGTACTCGTCATTAGGTGAAATCGTCAGTCGTCACGCATCGAGCAAGGGTCTGAATGACGGGACAATATTGTCACTAGAAATCATTAAATTACCCGTGACAGTGACACCCGGGATCGGTAAAATTTAATTGCATCATTTCTGAGGATGAGAGTTTGGTGAACGTCATTTCAGTCATCTTTCCCTTCATCATATTCAGTCACCTGTTAATTTCATTGGTCTCATCCCAGTGCATAACTACGAGTGCTGAACTGCCTTTAAGGTTGCAAATAAACGATACTACATCAGACAATGTCACTATGAATGGGGAACGTCTAACAACAATAGGGAAGTTCCTCGACCGGAACGGATTACGCAGGCAGGCGATGCCCAGCCTTCGGAACCTCGTTTGTCAGGCGAGTTATTGCGAGCAGCTTTGAAAATGGATGCACAATATTGTACGGACTCGTCACTCGTAAGCATATCATTTCAACAGTCAAGGTCAATTATGCTTTTGAGCTGTTTGGCTGATAAATGTTTCTTGTATTTTGTTCCTCGTAATATGTCGATACTATTTACATGACATTTACTATTACTATTTACGATACTATTTACGATACTATTTACATTTCTGCTGTACATGACAATATTATTGAAGCAAATAAGTGGCAATTGTGCTATTCCACAGCCAAGCTGCGTACGGTGTATAATGTATATAGGTGAAGTTAATTACTGCATTGAACTGAAACCTTAGAAGTAGCCACTACTCACCATTAATAGCCGTATCAGTTTTTTTTTTTCAAATAGGAAATGAGCAATGAACAATGAGAACTTATATGGTACGTTTATATATGCACAAGCCCGCAGCATGTCATTAAACACATCGCATGCAAGCTTGCACGCAATGAGTTCTCACCTCACGTGTATCGCACGTAGCCTACAATCCGCTACGGACTGTTCTATCACCTTAACAGTTTTAGTCACAGAGTGGGTCAATGGCACAGAGCTAGTGACTCAGTACCTATAATGTCTACAATACAACATGAACATTTGTATGTCCGGCAACGACCGCACCTATACGGGTCAAAGTCACAGGTCGTTGAGTCAAATGGTGCCTGGAGTCGGACGCCCTGCACACCGCACAGTTCACTCCCGACTGTTTCGTGGACACATCAAAGTCCCATAACGGAAAATACTCCATGTCTACCGACTATGTCCTGAATGATGCTTAGGAATGAGAAAGTGGTTAATCAGCGAGACAATGAACCAATACTACATAGCCATCCCCATTGTTTAATCAGTTGTGATTAGCCGCTTTTGGTTGTCAGATAAAGCTCAAACGTCACACATTGTTATCATACATATATCGTGTAGGCCTAAAAGCAGGTACACTCGGGGGCAGATTGATGTTCCACCACTCCTTGCCCATCGGGCTCCCATGGCTCAGCACTGGCTGCTGCCAGTGTTGCCTGCCCTCAGCACTGCTCAGCACTGCCTGCCAGTGCCAGTGCTGCCACTGGCAGCAGCCAGTGCTGAGTCATGGGAGCCCGATGGGTAGGGAGTGGTGGAACATCAATCTGCCCCCGAGTGCACTACCTAATTCGCAATACCTTCAACATTCAACAAAGCTCTATGCATGGCTCTATGCACACAATACGCATTACACTGTCACTCAAATGGCACATGCTCCTCCACTGCACCCTCCTCTCAGAAGTCACTACCGTCCACGACATTGGCGGCCCTCTGTTCGTGCGCGGCCGACGCCAAACCGTACACCGCCACCGTCATACAGGCGACTAGCGCCACCTCGGCCACGTAGTGCTCGAACACCACCGTCTCCGGGCGCGTGTGCAGCGCGTACGTGGCGCTCACCAGCAGGTAGATGGCGGCGGCCGCCTTCAGAGCGTCCCACACGGTCACTGTGATGGCCCCGGCCGGCCACGAGCCGCGCAGACTGCCCAGCAACAGCAGGTGCAGGGCGATGTCCAGCGTGCCGGCCGCGACCGCAGCGACACCTATGTAGAGCTCGGTGGAGCAGGTGGCGCTGCAGTCGCCGTAGTGCAGGTAGACCAGGCGAATGCCGCAGGCCAGCACGGCGGCGCCACATACCTGTCGGGGAGATGAGCGATAAGCTGTGCTTTTGAATCAAGTCAGCATCAAAAGCTGGGAGCTTTTATTATGTTCGAGCAGAAATAGTGACGAGAAACCCTCCTAAGAAAGGTACCTACCTAAACAAATTCGAGCTTGAGTGACATGACCGGTGACCTAAGACCCGAGCCAGTCAGACACCAAACCAGACAGAGGGGCTCTTTTTTACAGGCGGATGATTGATACTTTTGCAAGAGCACCTGCGAGGGAGCTTGATGACTGGGTCTAACTGACAGGTACACAACTACCACACTTCCCAATACAACCCCTAAAAACGAAAATTCGGCTAAAATACCTAATTGATCACAAATTCGATAAAAACCCAGTCGGTAAGTGTGTAGACAGAATTTATAAAACGAAGATCGAAAAAGAGCGTTTCGACCATATGTATGTGTGTGTATGTATAGTAAGTGTGGTTATACTACAGGATCTTACGTTATCGGTTATCACATGTCATGACACGAAAATGGCAGTAAAGTGTCGGGAATTACCGGCATTTCCCTGTATGTACAGCTGAAACCGTTTACGATACACCGATATAAGCTTGATTTCCTGCAGCAAGTATGTAGAACGGAAAATGAGGACAAGACGTTTGATATACGCTTGATAAAGCCGGGCACCTATAGTCAAAGCTACAGCTGCACCAGTCTGTGCAGTGTGCAGTACGGTGCTGATTCTTTTCCAATGCTATAACTTCAGATGTGGTACAGCTCAAAACAGACAAAGGGTTAGACAAGACCCGTGCAGCTTCGCTGGTTGCAAATCGCCAACAATTGCACACACACATAGAGGCTTTAGATAACCACTAAATGATTCATTTGGACATCTGATAGGCCAAGGAATTGTCATGCCACTCAAAGTATCAGTTGAGCTCTTATCTACTCGTAACTGAGTCATCAAATATTCCCTCTCTGTTCTCTACTCTCGACAGGAGGCAAGCAGCGCTCCCTCCCATATTGACTCATTAAACATAACTACTGCGCTGCGGCAGAGCACCATCCGAGCTGGTCGAGCTAGTCGAGCTGGTGGTTCAACAGATCCCAAAGCGGGCGGTGGGCTCTGTATATGCGCTGTTCGGAAGCTGAAGCTTAGCTGCAGAGTTTTTCACTCCTCCTCCCCCCCTCACCCCCCACTCTTCGATGGCCAATCAATCAACAACCCGATCGATAAATGGTGATTCAGTCTGCAGTGCATGACCAAATCAGGCTGTGCTGCACTGCAGGCATGAATAAACCGACAGATGATTGGGGAGCACCAGCTTGGCAGACAGCAGTGGTGATGGGGCTGGCCCAGGCCATTCGCAGCACAATCGCAGACACACGCTGGGCTTCGAGCTCTACGGGTAATACATAAGCGGGATGTGTATAAGACGTGTGGTATAAATTTGGCTCGGGTAGTAGATGTGCTCAACATTTCATCGTCTTCTCCGTTGTAGGTATGCAATGTTTATGTGTGCATTCATTGATTGAGTGAGCGAGTGAGTAAGTGAGCGAGCGAGTGAGTGAATGAATGAATGAATGAGTGAAATAATGAATGAATGAATGAATGAATGAATGAATGAATGAATGGATGAATGCGTGAGTGAGTGCATATCCTATGGTTTCAACTCAATTGCTGTTTATCCGTAACCCGACCTTTTACACCAATGTTGGCGAGTTTTGACCAGGAAAATAAAGACACTGCACTCACACACATATATGGCACAATGCACACAGAGCCATGTCCGAGCTCCCAAACGATAATGATGTCTACATATGATGCACCGCAATAAAGCATACAAGTCCCGCATTCTACATCATCTCCCAAGTGAGCAGTGAGCACCCCTCGGCCTAATCACATCATTCCACTGCGCTGGCGCCCAGGTGCGCAGCGCCCCCCCCCCCCCCAGTTCACTCACCAGTAGCAGCGCCGCGATACACTGGCCGGCCCGTTTCCACGTGTAGGGCACCTGGAAGCACTCCACCGTCCGGAAGCCCGTGTAGCCCGTGGAGCTCATGGTGGTGGTCCTGTGCTCCCGCATGACGCCCCTCTGCCGGTCCGACCTCGGCGCACTGACCAGCTCGGGGCAGTGCAGGGTCCGCAGCCGTCCGCCCGCGCAGAGGCGAGCCCTCCGCCGCTGCACCGCGGGCCCGCGCCATAATCAGCTACGAACACAATTCTACGCAGCGGACGGTGTTGGGCCGACGGTAATTATGGCGATGAAGACAGACCTGTATGAGATTATATGTGAGATAATACACCATTGTATTTCACCATGCAATTAGCTTCATGACCGAACTTGAGCAGACGTCTTTTCTGTGTATAGCACAGCCCCCACACTGCAGTGTGCTGCACGACGGCAGTGTCACGGCTCCCCAAACGGCGGCGTTTCTGCGGACGGACGGAGGAGGGGCCGGCTCCGGCTCCGTGCCGGTCCGAGTGACGTCATCAGAAGTCAGGTGGGTGTGTTTGAGAGACGTGACCGTGTTTGACTGTTGGTCAGGTGTAACGAACCATCTTGGGCAACACTCACGGCGCCCCGCCCACATGGTAGGTAGGTACTGGTATTAACACAGAGGAGAGGCCCCGACCACACGGTTATACACTGGGGTGACGCTTCGCCTAACATTATAAACCGGGGGCCTAACATTATAATTTATAAAAGCTATTCGTTCGAAAACGAATAGCTGAGGCACACCTCTTCAGCTGCCTCTTGAACACTGATACACTAATATTGAATTAACAGGCGGTCAGTCCCAGCGGCATGTGGGTATGCTATATGCATTTGCGTGTATGGTAAACTTTCCATTCATTTCGTGCAGTGCCTGCCCGCAGCCCTCCCAGACCGCACTCTGAACACTGAACAAGTATCGGCGGCGAGACGCTGTGAATTCACTTGAGATTGGTTTTCTGCCCAAGCTTCCTTATGGGTAGGGTAGACCGGGGCAAGTCGCCCCGCCGGGGTAAAACGCCTCACCGATGTTTCTCGGAACTGGCAGAGTTCTGGGGAAACATCCTCTCTTCTATAAAACGTGCACTATATGATCATTATATGAGCAGACTGGAAAGAAATTGTGATGACTCTTTCGAGAGATATAGCCAAAAATGTGTTTTTTGAGTGATTTTTATGTTTTGTTGTCAGATTATGTATCATGGCGTTCTTTTATGGTCCACATCAGGTTAACGACTTTTATGTATTTTGAACAACTATTGTCTAACGCTTATCATGCCGGGTTGGTTCGTGTTAAATTATGTTTTGCTGGAGTGCAAGGCGTTGCTCTCTGACCGAACTACGTGATGGGGTAAAACGCCCCAGTAGGTCGCGGGGCAAAAAGCCCCTGGGGCGTTTTACCTCATGTGTTGTTCGGGCTACCCACTTTCTAATGTTCGGTAGCTGGCGAACAGTAAGTTTCTATGCCTTTATGTGTATTTTTCTCGGCAACTGGATGGCAAAGGAAGTATTTTGTTAACATTTGCATTGCAATAATTTATTATTTGGTCTTATGAGGTAGGTGAAAAACCTGCTCATGCAATAGTGTCATAGCTGAACACCTGACAAGATGGAATGTGCTAACTTCAGTGCCGTGCCTCCAGAGGTCTAACGGACCTCTCACATAAGATTTAGCCAACTACCATGTTAAATCTTTAATCTAAAGTATGGGGCTACTTGCCCCAGGCCGTGGGGCGTTTTGCCCTGGGGTTGGGGCAAAATGCCCCATTTGCAGTTGCTTCACAAATCACTTCCTAGCTTGGAGTCCGATCATAAGTGAATGAATTTGAGGGATGCAATTTAAAGTAAAATGTCCAAAGAACGCATTGAGCACAAATTTGGCCTTCCAGGTGATGTGGGACAAAATTTATGTAGCAAAATAAATTATCTGGGGCGTCTTGCCCCAGGCTACCCTACTCTTTTAACCCGCGCCCTGGTGTGTGTGTGGGGGGGTATTTTTTGCCCCCCCTCCCTTCAGCCCTTTCGATATATCTCCAGAACCGCTGTACCGATCGTCAAACTCGTATCTCGGATTTTTCCTAAAGGTCATATGAGGTCAGGTCATTATAGTGACCTCACCATTATAAGTCAATGGGGAAAAATAAAAACTGCTATTCTGGCGCCGGGAACGATCTCCAACTATCTCAAGCACACAGAATCGTGTTTTGATGCACTCCTTGCAAGATTAGATGCGTTACTTATGCAATGTTGACCTTGCGTGACGTCATTTATGACGTCATCAGGATCATATTAGTTTTTCGTCAATAACTCCCGAGCAAATTGAGCTAGCGAGTCGGGAAAGCCACCAATGGACTCAGGAAGACCTGCCGAATCGAATGACATGCGACATGACCTCCTTCGACCAACTTCATGACTTGGGGGTGATGACCTGACCGTGACCTGAAGTCAACACCATTAGTTGACCTGACCCAAACAAAAGTATATCATTCGACACGCCTGAGCGAGGCGAACACGATACTACCAAAATCGCGGCTCTGCGATCGTTTTTTTGCGAAGTTATTCACCAAAAACTGAACCTTACCTTGGGGCACTTGACCTGACCTCAGAGGTCACCGGTTGACCTAGGACCTTAAAATCGGGTACCAATCTCTGCGTCTCGTAACGGCGCACACGCTCATTTTTCCGCGACGCGCTAGCTCCACCAGGGCGAAACGGCGAGGGGGTCGTACCCCCCCCCCCCCGCACCCACCCCACCCCCCTCGGCCGGCTCGTATGTAGAAAATCAATAGGTCCGGCGAGGGTTAAAGCGACGGGGCGCGTCAAAAGGACCTATAGGCTTCGTCTGATCGCCAAAATAACGGTCACAATCGATTCCTCAGTCGAAGGTTCCAGACCTGTGGCTAAAACCGACGGGAGACGATCCGAGACAGGAGCTGACGGCGACTCTCATTCACCAGTTCAGCAGCACTCGCCTGGTATTTTGATTGAAAGCAATCCGTTTCCCGAAACGGCCTCTTTATTCAAGCAAAACCAATTACAACAATTACAGCGATCAATGCCTAGAACAGTTTTATTTTTGCAATTACAACAATGCACCTTTTCATCACCAAGCTGGATAAGTGAGGGGAAACGGCGAGAATCGGCATATTTTCGTTTCAATGTGCATTTGACGTGTGGGTCTGATCCTCCACCGATCACACCGAACCCAGTGCCACCCAATGCCCCTATAGTCCACCTATGACTTAGACAATGCCTACCCATGTGAAATCGCACGGTCCCTGTGTCCCTCAGACGGTCAGCCGCTGACGGTCAGCCTCAGTTGGCGGCCGGGTCGCTGCAGTACTCGCCGTCGGCGGCGTTGGCCGAAATCCAGGAGAGCGCATCGGTGACCCTGGCGTAGACGCCCGGGTAGTTGGGATCGGCGCAGCCGATGCCCCACGAGACGACGCCGATCAGCGAGTAGCGGTTGTTCTCGAGGCTGACCAGCGGGCCGCCGCTGTCGCCCTGACACGAGTCCTTGCCGCCGGTGCCCAGCAGGCCGGCGCAGAGCATGTTGGAGGTGATGGAGTAGTCCGAGTAGGCCGACTGACACGCCGAGTTGCTGATGACGGGGACGGTGACCTCACGCAGCGTGGTAGCCTGCGGGCCGTCCGGCGAGGTGGTGCCGAAACCGGTGACGATGGCGTCGGCGCCGACAAAGTCGTTGGAGGCAGTCGGCAGGCAGGCGGGCGCGATTTTATTGTCGGCGGGGAAGATGATGGCCGTGGCCAGCTTCAGCAGCGAGAAGTCGTTGGCGTTTGTGCCAGAGTTGTAGTTGGGATGATTCTTGATCTGGGCGATGTTGAAGCGGATCTCTCCGTCGTCCTGGTTGATGAGGTGCTCGCGCAGCAGGACCTGGATGCTGCCGGCCGACGTCCCGGCCGTGCAGTGGGCCGCCGTCAGCACGTAGCGGCTGTTGATGACGGTACCGCCGCACCAGGTGCGATTGTCGCCCGTGCTAACCAGACCTGCCTGCCACGGGTACTCGTTGGCCTCGGTCTCCACGCCGCCGACGATGCGCGAGGCGCGGTTGACGTTGCCGCAGGCGCAGTTGTCGGCGGGCGGCGGCGGCGCGGCCGTGGTGGTCGGAGGCGACGCCTCGCCGACCGTGACAGCGCACACGAACCCGGAGCGCACCACCGAGTAGTCGGTGTGCCAGTGGATCGCCATCTGGTCGATGGCGGCCACGCTGCTGGGCCCATTGGAGCCGCAAAACTTGTTGCCGTTCAGAGACAGCCAGTCGTACGCGCAGCTCGAGTGGGACTCGACGTCGAACTGCGAGCACGTCACCGACAGCTGGTCGCCGGCCTGGTCGGCGTACAGCTGGTAGTAGCAGTCGACGTCGTTGCTGTAGTCGCCGTCGCCGTCGGTGATAGTGTGCTGGCCGAGCGCCAGCCGACTGCGACCGCAGCTGAGCTGCGAGCCGGCCGGCACCACGGTCGGCTCCACCACCGTCACCGTGCACCGGTAGCCCGACCGGACGACGCTGTAGTCGCTGTGGAAGTCGATGTCGAGCTGAGGCGCGGCCACGGTCGACGGCCCGCTCGACCCGCAATACTTGATGCCGTTGACTCGGAGCCAGTCGTACCGGCACTGGGAGTGAGACTCGAGGTCGAACGCCTCGCAGCTCAGCTCGAGGTCCTTGCCGGTGTCGGTGGTGAGTGTGTAGACGCAGTCCTCGTCGTTGGGATAGTTGGACGGGTAGTTGGGCGACTCGATAACTGCCGTCGAGCCCTCGGCGACCACATGAGAGCCACAGGACAGGGCGTCAGAGCGCGGACTCGGAACGCCGGTGTCGCCCTTAGGAGCTGGCTTCCTTTTTTCGGGAGGCGGCTTCTTACCCTCAGGCCCCCGATTGTTCTCTTCAGGTTCCGGCTTCTTCTCTTCAGGAGGCGGCTTCTTGTCCTCAGGGGGCGGTTTCCTGGGATCCTTGCTCTGGAGCGTGCTGGGCAGCGCCAGAGCGCCGGCCAGCAGGCAGCCGAGCAACAGCAGCTGACACGTCTTCATCCTGTGACCTCCGGAGAGCAGAGAGCTGACTGGGACGCCGACACCACGGGATATGCTCTATTTATACCGCCGGGGGTGCCGCTCTCAGCTGCAGCAGATGCGCAGAAAATCAGCTGAATCAGCTCAGGCTTGACAAGCGATTACAGATGGCATGAAAACGAGCACATCCACAGCGGTTGATGCAAAGACTTCGGGCCGTCGGACACCTTCACACAGGTGTTCTGCGCGATCGAGATAAATGTGGTTGGCTGTTCAGGATGATACTGCAATAAAGCTGCAAGAGGACCGCAAATGTGGCGACGTGGGCCTCTGCCCTCTGAACTTTGTGCAATATGTGATTGTGGACTAGGTGGCGCTGAGCTCACGTCCATGAAGTTAGCGTCAGCAACAGCAACGAGTACAGCGTCGGATTCAGAATCGCATTAAAAACTCGTATCAGGTCAATTGGGGAACTGGGAGCACGAATCTGACATTTATTTTGACCTAGCTCCCTCCTTCATCCCTTAATCGTTCCTTAACCCGCGACCTGGTGGGGGGGGGCTATTTTTTGCCCCCCCCCTCCAGACTTTTCGATATATCTCCAGAACCGCTGCGCCGATCATCACCAAACTTTCAGTACCCTCCCGGACATCAATTTTACATATGGTGACCAAAATTTTTCCAAAGGCTATGATAGGTTGGCCGGAAATGACGTCAGAGTGACGTCATGTTCTGCCGTTTTCGACCCAAAAAAGGGTTTCGCGGGAAGAGCTGTCAGGCCTATAGCTTTGCAAATACAGAAAAATTATGATGACATAAAAGCTGTAGAATTGACAGGGCTACAAAACTGCTATCTCGAATTTTTAAAATTTTTGGATTTTGACCCCCCAAAATCAAAAAATAACTTTTTTTGGATATAACGATCAAAAAATCCAAAAAGTTTTTTGAATTTCGCAAAAACCGGTATACATGTGATAGTCCTTACCGCCTTCCATCCACATACCAAATTTGAGATTGATACCTCTTTTTTTGGCGAGGTTATAGCGAAAAAACTGTTCAAAATTGATGACGTCAAATTTTCAAACTCAATTTTTAGCAATTCTAGACCCTGTAGCGCAAAACAAAGACCACCATTAGACTCCCCGTGACGAGCTGCATCGAATCAATACCCATTTTATGCAAAACTATCAACTTTAAAATTTGACCTTTTTTGGCCTGACCTTGACCTGACCTTGACCTGAATTTCACCAGAAAGTGACCTAAGCCGTACCTGATAGTCTTATAACCAACACCATTGAGTTGGAAATGAAAAATTGGCCCTAAAACATGCATCACACAACCTTAGTAAAGTTGGGCTCATGTGACCTGACCTGTGACCCTTGGTGACCTGACCTGTGACGTGACCTGGTATTGTCAGTGACCTCTAATAGCAACATATCTACTAGGCAACTGACGCCCTATCGCTGATTCTCGACAAAATGCGTTTTCCTCGGTGTTATAGCGCATTCCCTAGAAGACCCGTGAACGGTGAAACATTTCATTTTTGACCTGACCTGTGACGTCATCGGTGACCCCAAGGTCAATGAAATTTGGTTTCCTTAGACAAATTTGACAGGCCTTTCGAACGCCGTTTGAATTTTGCGGATCCGTCCAGTAGTTTCGGAGATACGAGGGGGGGGGGCAAAAAATAGCCCCCCCCCCCCACCAGGTCGCGTTATAAACAGACCCCACCGGCGCGGGTTAACCCGCGCCCTGCTGGGGAGGGGTGTTTGAACACTCCCCCCCTTGTGGTTTTTCGCGAATATCACAAAAACGGCGGCGCTCCGCGCCGCCGTTTTTGGTACACCTTATCATACATCAATTCTACACATGTTGTGAAAGTTTCAGACCAAGGTCATTCAAGGTCAGGTCACCAGGTCACTTGAAGTGACCTCACCTCATAAAAAGTTTCAATGTCTGTCAAAGCTACACCGAGTGACCGATCGCTTTGAAACTTTCAGCGATTGCTAAGAGCAATAGCATGTACAAAATGTATATCTCAGAATTTTGATATCGATGACCTAAGGTCAGGTCAATTTTGCGACCTCCCCATTATAAGTCAATGGGAGAAAATTGAAATGCGCCTCTTTTGGACGAAAGACATTATAAACACTCCCAAACACTGAATTACAAGTGGTTTAGACACACTGAACATGAAAATGGTGTCCGTGACCCCTGTTTATGCCCTGAGGTCATCTTAGGTCACGAATGGTATTTAACAGTTTTTCGCAAATAACTTTTGATAGAGGCATGCTAGAGCGATGACAACGCCTTAGATGTGTTCAGCTCGACGATACGGATCGACTGATATGCAACATGACCCTTTCCGGTCAGGTCATGACCTTGACCTGAGGTCAAATTTTCAAGTTGACCTTTCAAGGTCAAGTTATAGTTCATTCGATGCGTCTTGACGAGAGGAACACGATGCCGGTAAAAGTAAGCTCGTACAAGACTTGGGTCAAAAGTTATTGCAGAAAAACTGTTTCCGAAAAAAATCGGCTATTTTTGCAGTTTTTGCCCCCTGCAGGCAAAGCCGTTGACGTTAGGTCAAATCTGAGAAAATTACTCAGAAAGGGCGTTAATAGGGCTATCGAATGCGCTTTTCCGCGGCGCTGTAGCTCTATTGGTTCCCGAGTTATGCGTTGGCTTCTTGGAAATTGTTGACATTCGACCTGGAAATCGGCGAAATTTTGCCTTCAATGACCTCTGGTGACTTGACCTTTGACCTGACCAAAAAATTGACCGAAGTGATTTCGTCATTATTTTTGACGCTCTTTCGAACGCCGCCTTCCGCGTATCGCTACGTGGCCCAGGAGCCGAGTTAGAAGGGGGGGGGTGTTCAAACACCCCACCCCCCAGCAGGGCGTGGAAATCCAGGACCCCCAGCCGGGCGCGGGTTAAAGGACGGGGTGCGTAGAAAGTGCCTCAAGGCTTCGTCTGATCGCCAAAATAATGGTCGCAATCGATTCCTTTGGTCAATATCTAACCTCAGTCGAAGGTTTCATTCAGACCTGTGCCTCATATCCCTCATCCCTTAATCGATCGTAAGCCCTCGCCCGCAGTGCGGGCCCCGCACATGCCATTTTCCCACCCTAGAACGCACATGGGAGGGGGGGGGGGGCACCCCGCACCATTTCGTTCCTGCTGGAGATACAGCTTCGCGGCAAAGACCAACAGATTCTTGGGGAAGAGACGAATCCAATGGTATCCAATTTTACCTCATTAGGTGGTCAGCTCAAACTAAAAAATGTTGCTGTTTGGGTCCCCCGTTGGAATGTCACGTGCGGTGCCCATCATACGAGTACACCGATGGCTCTGCCGTTTGTGGTGCCAAGCAAGCTAGAACAGCTCTTTGTCACACATCCGACTAGGTTTTTACTGGCTGTGGTCATTTCAGGTCAAGCTAGGTCAAGGTCAATGATATGTGTTTGCATGTCTGTGTGTGTCTGTGTGTATACTGATGTGTGCACGGATTGTTTTTGTATTACATGAGATTATGATCTGAGAAGCTTCTATCAAAAATGCAGTAAAAAAAAAACTTCACGAAAAGACGATGCGGCATAGCCCGGTAAGCATTCCATAAGCACAATCTGCATTCCTGGTTAGGAAGCACACGAGTAAGCAAAATATGGCAAAACACCAAATGCACGTTAATGGGACCGTATTAGAGCCGGCGATGATCACGGAACATTAGTGTCGGGGCAGACTGCGGCGGGGCAGACTGCGGCGACCCCTAGGAGGAACAATTGGGGAGAGCAACGTTCGACGGGTGGCAGCGCTGGACGAGATAATCGGGCAATACTTTGATAGTGATGGGAGAGAAATAATGTCAGTGTTTGCCCTCACCAGGCATGTTGCCACGACAATGGCAGAATGTAGTGTAGTACCCCTCCCCGGGCCCGCCGCGGGCTGGCAGCGGCGGCCGGAGCCGGTCCGACCTTTAGCCGGCCGGGTCAGGGAACCGGGACGGCCGCGCCGCGGCGCCGCGCCCGGGCGGCCGGGAGACGGAGTCGGGTGCCCGCCGGCGAGCCGTCGGCAAGGGCGCGGGGCACATTAGTCGAGTTGAATGTTCACTGTTCAGTCTTGAGTGGCGAGTGATGTATGTGTGAATCGATATGTGAGCAGCAAAATCCAACAAGAAAGCAGAATCCGTGAAGGAGGGGCGGCGCTGGCAAGCATCACCACCATAGTCTTCCTACGCCGAACGGGTTCCACACCAACGTGCATCAGCGAGAGTAAAACTAGGATCCTAACAGACCCGCCCACCGCCCCACCGTCACCCCATTCCTTCCCACGTCTCCTTCCCCTCCGCTCGGGGCGTCTTTCAGCTACGCAAGAAGGAATCGGCAGACACAGGCACCTGGGCGAGCGAGGAGGGGAAGTTGAGACCGTGTTTCCGCCAAAAGAGAAAACAACCAAGGTAGGTGGTAGGTAACTACACCTGCGCTATCTACATCAGCTGCCCCGCATGACACTAATAGTATATTATCTATTCAGCTACGATACATTGGTCATCACAGACTCAGTATCGGCGATGTAAGCATATAAAACGCTCGTCGACATAATACGAAATGACGAAGTCCCTTATCGCTCACCGCCCGTCGCGATCTACTGGGACCGGCATGGACGGATTATTCTATTGCAAACCAAACATTCATCACTCAGTGGATCCCACGTAAGCTCATCAAACCACACAGAGATACTGCATCGCAAGCCTTTCCAAAGGGCACAGCTAAATATTCGCTTACACAGACAGAATGAGGATGCCATACCTTTGAACAATGAACCGTTGAGAATCATTAGATAGGAGTTAACTCAAAGTGAGATGTGGTTTAAAATTGATTGGATTACATATGTAAGACACGTTACGATGAGAATGCACCGCAACAGGTAAATGTTTTTTACACCATTAGAGTAGCAATAGTGTCAATGTTAACATATCGCCATATGTCAACTGGTAGGTACTCATAAAACAGTTGCAGCAGGACTCGTCAATCACGTTCCGTAGATTTACCGACGACTTATATATCACAACACCGTTGAAACATCCATCGTCCGTTGAAAAAAAACTTAAGTAAGGGCAATCAATAAGACAATTTTATAGACGATACGGTGAGCATAAGGAGATGTCTGAGGATTAGAATGGGCGAACAAAACATGCTTATGCATGGACCTGAAATGCTTAAAAACGTCGCAATGAAAATCAGCAAAGCAGAATTCAACTGCAGGTCCAAGTTGCCCCTAAATCTTACACATTTAAAAAAGCAAATGACGATTAACACCTAGTAGTGTGTCGAAATGAGAAAGAGAAAAACGGATTCAGCAATCGATTATCATGATACCATCATAACATTGTAAGTCACATAAGAAGGCACTGATCCACTCAGCGTCTCACCACTGGACCGTTGGTGCTATGCTCCCCACCACTACGTTCGTTTCCACGCGGGTTTCGCACTCGATCTCTTTCTCATCATCTTTGGCTCACACTGGGCGTAGCCCTCCCCAGATCCTTTCTTGCATATAATCGCGGTCCTGGGCTTCCTCTACGTCACTGAACTTAGCACCGCTCCGCCGACCCGAGACCCTCTCACTGGCGGCGTCCTAGCTCTGCCGATCTGAAGTCAACGTTCTGCACAGCACGGGACGAACAGACTGCCCTGCCATGACCTACCTACCGCGACCTGCTGTGACCTGACATGGCCTATCGTCCGGTGGCCGATCAGACCGCCACCTCCGGCGCCTCTTCCTCCCTCTCAATGTTGGTGTACTGCCGCGACCGCTTCACGTTCTCGATGGCGGTCTGCAGCTGCGGCTGCAGGTTCTTGGCGCCACGCGCCAGCCGCCGCCGCTGCACGAAGATGACGCCCACCAGCACCACGCAGGCGGCCAGCGTCAGCATGCCCAGGATGACGGAGGCGGCCGAGGCGCGCGCCGGCGCCTGCTGGCACTCCATCTCGCGCAACTGCATGATGGGCCGGCCGGCATTGGTGAGCGGCCGGCCCGCGTAGCAGCGGTACTTTTCGTGCTCGAGCGCGCGCGTCTGCGTGGTCATGAGCCAGTGGTAGAGCGGCTGGATGTTGCAGTCGCAGATGAAGGGGTTGCCGGTCAGCCGGACGGTGAACATGTCGTCCCGCGCGGCCAGCTCGTCCAGCATGGCCGTCGTGTTGGCGTCCAGCCGGCGCAGCATGTTGTACTCGAGGCCCAGGTGCTTCAGCTTCGGCAGACACTTGGCGGCCAGGTTAACATCCGTGAGTCGGTTGTTGCTGAGGTAGAGCTGCTCCAGCGACGGCAGGTGAGCGAATACGCACGGGTCGCGCAGCACCCAGATCTCATTCTGCTCCAAGTGGAGCTTCTTCAGCTTGGTGAGCTTGCTGCCCTGAAAGATGACCTCCAGGCTGGCCATGTACCAGCGCGCGTCCACCTTTTCGGTGAAGGAGTTGGTGAGGTGCAGCGCCTCCAGGTTGACAAAGTTGCTGAAGACGCGCGGGTGGCGCTGCTTGTCGACGATGGAGAGGTTGTTGTGGTTCAGGATCAGCGTCTTCACGCTGGAGACCCGGTGGAACGCCTGGCCGTCGATGTCCGTGATGCCGTTGTTCTGCATGTCGATCGTCTCCAGGTCGTCAAAGTTGAACTCTGTTCCGAACAGGTTGGGCGGCAGGCGCTCCAGGAAGTTGCCGGTGAAGATGAGCACCTCGGTGTTGTCCGGCAGCGCGCTGAGCGCGAACGGGTCCGTGAAGCGCGTGTTGGTACAGTTGACCACAAACTTCTCGCCCTGGTTCGCGTACATGGCCATGGCGCAGACGCAGCGACCCTGGAACGCCTTGGGACAGCCGGTGTGGTCCGTCCCGTACAGGTCATCATCGTCCAGCGTCCCTCCGAGGCCGGACGTGGGCGCCGCGGTCGTCTCGGAGGTCAGCACCTTGGACGAGTCGTGCACGATGCTGTTGACGCCCTTGGACGGTAGCACGTGGTCCTTGGAGAAGGTGCCGGTCCGAGGTTCGGCCAGCGAGCCCAGCGTCAGACTCAGCAGCAGCAGCCATCGAGCCATGGTGTGCCAGTCCCTGCAAAAAGAGGAGTATTCAAAATATGTTGGTCTATTTAACCATGTTGGACAAAATTGAAACGATTTCACGAATGCAAGAAGCTTAACACCCTTGGAGTGCCCTGTCTTGCAGTCGAATTTCATAAATGAATAAAAGTGTTCGCCAGCAAAAGCATCGTTAAGATATTAAACATTGGAACGCTGTAAAGGCATGCGTTGAACTAGGTTTTTTTTTAACCTTCCATTTATTGACTTTAAAGACAGCAAACGCTTCCATTTCACTGGACCCACCAGCTAAGTGCACTTATCTAAGACAAGTTACACGACGGCTCATACACCTCTATGCATTGCAAAATATAAAACGAGTGAGTACATAAATATGTTAATCTGAGACGTTAGCTGCCAAAACGTGCGTAGCCCGTCCCGAAACCATGATTAGGGTGAGTATTCAGAGAAAGCACGACACAACGGGACACAAGTAAATGAGTAACTCAGCGGGGAGCAGAGGACTAGCGTGAGTGGATTACAGAGATTGCACGTGGGTCAGTGACGAGTCGCGGCGCAGTGCACGCCGTCTTTGGTGTCAGTGAGCGCCCGGCACGGCTGTACCGAGCCGGGGAGGTTAATACAGGCACATGACGATTGCACAACGGACAGCAGTGGACGGCGGAGGTGACAGCGGTGGCAGTGACGGTATCCGCTTCGGCGCCTCTCGTCAGCGGTTAATACTGGTGGGTGGCCGGCAGGGCGGCAGGGCCGAGCGCGGAATACGTCATCACTGGTCCGGTCCGGTCCGATTCCGTCCAGCGAACCAATTGTTCGCAGCGGCCTACACTAGTCCAGTAAGTTAACTCTCTAACAGCCATTATAACATTAAGTAGACGGGTATATAATAATCTCCAGTTTCCATCAGTCTGTCTTCCTAACGAGGCGCACGGCTTACGAATCTTCAGTAGCTGCTTTCCGGCCAGCGAGCGAGTGAGGAGCGATTGGGACGGATTGTTTGTGCTTGACGCGGTGTCTTCGAGGGGGGGGGGGCAGACAGAGCCCGGCGCGCAGACACCACTCCGCCCAGCCTCACGGTAGCGACTGCTGTGTTTGTTCCCATATAAAGCTGCCAGTTTTAGCTACCACCCGTCTGCAACACAGGGCGTGTCTATACATGAGGCAATATACAATACAGTGACATCTGCCCTGCCCTGTTAACACGCAGGCAACCTACATCCTCCCCACACGACTGTGTTCGTGTTGCTCTTACTGAACGTCGTACGTCCGTCGGCGGTTCCTCGCTCACCGCCGCGTCCGACGCCCGTCGATCTCCCGTCCGTCCGATCACCGACTATCAGCTACCAGAGCTGGTGGTGGTCGTGCAGGTTACGGACCTCACGGCTGGCCGGCCGGCACGGACTCGCCGACGAGCCGTGGCTGTGACGACTGAACGAGGGCGACCCGTTGATTCCGACCATCGAAGTGACTTCATACCCATTCTTCATCGGTGATCGCCTCTTGTTGGGATAGAACAGCTCATCCTCTTCGCGGTCTGAGAAGAATCCCGGGTAGACGACAAAGTTGTTCGTCTGCGGGCAGGGCTGTCGCAGTCCGCAGTGTTTGGCCAAGAACGATGTGAGCTTATCCGAGGGCCGGTCAATGGCCAGATGCACAGGCTCCACTCGCTCCGTCTGCAGCATCGCGTCGAACAGCTGTCGTCCGTAGCCGTGCCTCTGCAGCGACTCGTGCACGTAAAAGTCCAGCACGCTGACAGGCATCACCTCGTTCTGGCCACCGGAGGAGTCCAGGATGAACAGACGCTTCCGGCCTACCTTCAGAAAGCCCACGCAGATGTCGGCGCCGTCCACCGACCTGTCAGGGTGCTTCCTGGTGATAATGTACACAATGTGATTCTCTGAAGTCCTCAGCTTCTCCATGGTTGTGATGACCTGTGAGAGACCCTGAGCACGTGCTGATGCAGCTCCCATTCTGTCCAACACTTCACCCAGTGCCATCTTGCTGGATGGGTCAAGTCTGCAGAAGTGTTTGTAGTAATACTCTGAAGGAGTTGATGAATTCAGGGATCCATCAACCACTTTTGGAGTGAGATCTCGTCCGATGATCATCAAATCTTCAGGGAAAATAGAATCCAACGAAAATTGAAAGTTCATGACTAATTTTCCGGTTGATTCTGCCAATAAACACACAGGCTGCCACCAAAGTTTCAATACACTGATAATTTTAGTCCTCAAGCTCACACCTGCCGCGCCAAACCTGCGAGCGTGCCGCCCCGACGTGGCGTTGAACTAGGTAGGTACGCAACATTATTAGGCTGTATTTAAACGAAACTCACGCAATTTCCAATCAATTGCACGATTCACATGAAATTCAGAATGTCAGAAGCAATTCAGAAGAATCATTTACGTTTGTGCGGAAAGACTAAAGAAACGAATAGGTACCGCATTTAAAATTCAGTTATTCAGCGTCCTGCGGAGAGACGATCGGCTCATGCATCCGTCAGAGGAGTGGTGTCCTTGACTGGAGCGAGGACGGGCTATCACGACCATCAGTCGCCCGAGACGGGAGCGGGCGCCGGGTCACGCGCAGACAGAGTCGCTGCACCGAACGGGCTACCGGCGATCGGAGAGCGGTACAGCGGTGTGCGTGGGTGCGCTGCGCGCGTGTCACTTTCACCAGCTGATCGGGTGGAGTGCGGCGGCGCAGGCCAGGACGACAGGCTATAGAAGGTCGAGCGGCGACCGGTCACCCCACCGTTCCGTGCTTCTATCCATGGGTGTAACTTTGTATACTTTCGAGGTCCCATGTGGGACCCCAATGCGAACATTTGGGACCCCAATTGTCATTTTGGGACCCCAATAGTGGAGGCCCCCGAGACGCACCAGCTACTTTACAAATGGAGGTCCGATATTCATATAGAAGGTTCTCTGTATAAATAGGAGGCCCCTTGGATAAATAAGAGGCCCTGTTGGACAGATGGGAGGCCCCCTGGACAAATAGGAGGCCCCCTGAACAAGTAGGAGGCCCCCTGAACAAGTAGGAGGCCCCCTGAACAAGTAGGAGGCCCCCTGAACAAGTAGGAGGCCCCCCGGAAAACAGGAGGCCCCCTGGAGAAATAGGAGGCTCTCTGGACAAGCAGGAGGCCTCCTGGACAAATAGGAGGCCCTAGACAAATAAGAGGCCCCTAGACAAATAGGAGGCCCCATGGACAAATAGGAGGCCCTCTGTACAAATAAGAAGCCCTCTGTACAAATAAGAAGCCCCCTGAACAAATAGGAGGCCCCCTGGACAAGTAAGAGGCCCTCTGTACAAATAGGAGGCCCCTGCAAAAATAGGAGGCCCACTGGACAAATAGGAGGCCCTAGACCTAGACAAACAGGAGGCCCCTTTCACAAAAGGAGCCCTGGACAAACCTTTTACAAAAGGAGGCCCCCTGGATAATTAAGAGGCCCCCTGGACAAATAGGAGGCCCCATGGACGAATAGAAGGCCCCTGGATAAATAGGAGGCCCCCTGAACAAGAAGGAGGCCCCCTGGATAAAGAGGAGGCCCCCTAAAAATAGGAGCCCTCTGGATAATAGGAGGCCGCTTGGAGAATAAGAGGCTTCTTTAACCAAAAGGAGGCCCCCTGGGCAAATAGGAGGCCCCTGAACAAGTAGGAGACCCGCTGGACAAATAGGACAAATAGGAGGCCCGCTGGACAAATAAGAGGCCTCTTGGACAAATAGGAGGCCCCCTAGAAAAATAGCAGGCCCCTTGAACAAATAGGAGGCCCCCTGGACAAATAGGAGGCCCCCTGTACAAATAGGGGACCTCTTGAACAAAAAGGAGGCCCCATGGACAAGTAGGAGCTAGAGGCCCTCTGTACGAATAGGAGGCCCCCTGGACAAATAGAAGGCTCCCTAAACAAAAAGGAGGCCCTTCAAAAAGGAGACCCCTGGACAAGTAGGAGACCCCTGGACAAATAGGAGGCCCCTGCACAAATATGAGACCCCTGGTCGAATAAAAAAACCCTGGATAAATAAGAGGCTTCTGGACAAATAGGAGGCCCTGAACACGTAGGAGGCCCCCTGGATAAAGAGGAAGCCCCTGGAAAATAGAAGCCCCCTGGATAAATAGGGGACCTTCTGGAGAAACAGGAGGCCTCCTGGACAAATAGGAGGCCCCCTAGACGAATAGGAGGCCGCTTGGACAAATAGGAGGCGCCATTAACCAATAGGAGGCCCCCTAGACAAATAGCAGGCCCTCTGTAACAGTAGGAGGTTCTCTGTACGTACAAATAGGAGACCGGCGCTCGACCTGTAGAAGCTTAGCTGTATGTACAAAAAGGAGGCTCTCTGTGCAGGTAGTCGAAGTAGGAGGCTCTCTGTACTGTACCTACAAATAAGAGGCCCCCTGGGCAACTTAGATGCTACACAAATCGGAAGTCACCTATAAAAAAGCGGGACTCTGTTGGAGTACCTGTTTGAATAGATTATTTTCCTGATATTCAAATTATTTAATCCTCGCCCGCACATGGGGGGGGGGGGCAGTGGTTGCCACCCCCCCCCCCCCCCCCCAAGGTAGTTTTTTTCTGCTCTGCACTCAACATTTTGATTGCTAGAAGCCGGATGTTTCGTACAGCTGCTTCTCTATCCTTTCTTAGCGTCCACTGAAATTTTCAAGTTTCTGTGGTTTTTGGTTTCGGAGATATTGATATGACCTTATTCTTCAGGTGATGTCATAGCCCAATTGACAAGTACCCAATATCTTGCGTTGGCTATGGGTCTTGTGAGCTTTTGACACTTTAATTTCGGCCTTTTTTGCCAGTCTTACCTCCCACCTATCATGGAACATGATGTTCGATGATGTAGAGATGCCAGGGTTAGGGTCAAGGTCAACCTAGGTCGTCTAAAAATATTGCGTTTTAGGCAAGCTGAATGTATTTTTGGTAAAAGCTTCTCAGTTCATGATCTCATGTAATATGGACACATTCACAATCGGTGCACACATCAGTATACACACAGACACGCACAGACATACAAACACATCATTGACCTTGACCTAACCTTGACCTAACAGAAATGACCAAAGCCAGCAAAAACCTAGTCGGATAATGTGACAAAGAGGTTCTAGCTGGCTTGGCACCACAATACGGCAGCGTCATCGGTATATGATGAGCAGCACACGTGATATTCCAACGGGCAACGGTGACCCCAAAGAGCAACATTCTTTAGCAACATTTTGACCTGACCTGGAAGGTCAATGACTGACCTGATGAGATAAAATTTGGTATCATTGGATTCGTCTCTTCCCAAAGAATCTGTTGCTCTTGACCGCGAAGCTTAAAATATTGTAAGAAAAAATTGTGGTGATGTTGAATAAAATACCTACACAAGCAGCGGGCCAACCCATCATATACCGATGACGCTGCCGTATTAGTGCCAAGCCAGCTAGAACAGCTCTTTGTCACACTATCCGACTAATTTGCTGGCTGTGGTCATTTCATGTCAAGTTAGGTCAAGGTCAATGATATGTGTTTGTATGTCTGTGTATGTCTGTGTATGTACTGATGTGTGCACAGATTGGTTTGTGTGTCCCTATTACATGAGATCATGAACTGAGAAGCTTTTACTAAACATGCAGTCAAAGAAACTTCACGAAAAGTAAATTCAGCTTGCCTAAAACGCAATAATTTTAGATGACCTAGGTTGACCTTGACCCTGACCCTGACATCTGTACATCGTAAAACAACATGTTCAATGATAGGTGGGAGGTAAGACTGGCAAAAAAAGCCGAAATCAGGGTGTCAAAACTCAAAAGCTCCCATGAGGCCCATAGCCAACGCAAGATATTGGGTATTCGTTATTTAGGGCATGACATGACCTGAAGAACAAGGTCATATCTCCAAACCCAAAAGCCACAGAAACTTGAAATTTTCAATGGACGCTGAGAAAAGATAGAAAAGCAGCTTTACCAAAAAAAAAAACAGGTTTCTACCTTTCAAAATGTTCAGTGTAGAGCAGAAAAACTAACTTGGGGGTGACAACCCTCCCCCCAGGTGCGGGCGAGGGTTAACCCTCACACTTCCTGGGGTCGACTAGATTCCTTGCGCAATGCTGTGCCGTTAAATTATTATTTTTCTATAATAAAGACATTTTGTTTTATTGTCGAAATTGAAAAAGGCAGAAATTTTCGTCCATTTCGGACGCCACGGGGATTATTTACATACAATGTCACCCTGCTGGCCTGGATCCAACAGTAGGGTCAGGTGACCTACGATTTCTTTATTAATATTCAAAAAAAAAATAGATCATGGCATCCGAGCTGTGACAAAAAATAAGTGACCTAAATCCGATGAGAAAACTGGATTTGGGGGTACCCTAGGTTTGGCTTCTGAGCCTCTGGCCCCCCAGTGAAAATTTCTCAGAGGAGGCCCTGGCGTGGTTCGTAAATTACCGCTTCCGCAATTGGAGGCCCCTAATTGCTTGGAGGCCCCCACTAAATGGAGGCCCCCTTGGACGTTTGGGACCCCAATGGTGATGTCAAAGTTTCACCCATGCTTCTATCCTCAGGATACAGAAATCCTTCTCCTCCACGCCGCAAACCCCTCCGGGCTGGACAGGCAACTTTATCTCATGCGGGCTGCTCCCTTGGAGCGGCACCGCTGCTCCCGAGGGAGCGCACCCCGTAGCCGGGTGCAGTGAGTGCCTTAGGGCTGGGTGGCCTGTCCTCTGGACGGGCTCAGCCCCGGCGACTCACTAGGGTGCCTGCCCAGACCAATGTCTCCCCCTATATCCTATCATCCTCCCGGCTCTGAAATGGTCTCATTGGACCGAAAGGGCCTAACCCAACAAAACAAACAAACAACAACAACAAAAACCGGTCACCCAGCCCGCTCCCTAACGTTTCATCTCTGCCGCTGCCTCCTCCAAATTAGCACTCAGTAGGATGTCTCCTGTCCGCAGGATGGACAGAAAGAAGAGCTGGACAGAGTCCGAATTGGAGGCAGTATGGTAGGCAGACAGCCCCGAGGTCGACACAGCTACGGGCAACGGAATGTCATTTAATCTTTCGTAGAAAAACTCTTCACTTTACTCTTCACTTGAGAGCGTCATTCAGCGCATGGAATAGCACGCCTGGGATGCTATGAACTTATGAAGGTAGCGCCATGCCACTGCGATGCAGCTCGATGGCTGCTGGCCGCCTGGAGTCGCCGCTGCATGGGCCCGGTGCATTTCCGGCCGGCTGACTCGCACGTGATTCCGGCGCCGTCACGTCCACTGCAGCTGCAGACAGAGACTGCAAACGGTGACATACTGCAGACTGAAACTGCAAATAGCCAGAGTGAAAATGCAGACTACAGACTGACACTGAAAACAGACTGTCCACTGAAACTGCAGACTGAAACTGGAAACGGCTACATACCGCAGACTGAGACTGTAAATTGAGACTGCAAACAGATACTGCTGACTGAGGCTGCAAGCAGAGACTGCAGACTGTGGCAGACTGCAGACTGAGACTGCAAGCGGTGACAGACTGCAGACGGTGACCTGTGACAGACTTCAGAATGAGACTATAGACGGTGACAGACTTTAGACCGAGACTTCCGGTCCTGAAACTGCAGACGACGACAGACCGCAAAAACAATATCCGGAGCCGTTAGTTTTTAATTGAGGACCCTTTTTGAAGTACCTACGTCCCCACCCCGACTGCCACCAACCTTCCACGACTGGCTGCAGACGACATTTCGCTTCTTTATGCGATATTCATTACTGAGCGATATTCATACAAAGCAAACTTTTTGAATAAAATAGGTTTTCTTTGTTAGAATAAAGCAAGTGATCGTAAATCGTGACCGCCGCGGGAAGCCCATTTCTCTAATGCCCCGGATCCGTTAGGACGTCAGAGATAGCCTGAAGACAGAGGTATGGAGTGGACAGAAGACGTTATTTAGCATTAAAAACTGTTGATAAAATGAATGAATGAATGAATGAGACGTCGCTTCATTCTATTACAATATAGCTGAATAAGTTAACCGAACAACGAAGGTTTACGGTAGCAACTTTTTATGGTTGCCTATAGACATGACACTTCCTAGGATTTCCGTTTTTGCCGAAGTAGGTAATCTTTATTCGCGACCAATGACAAGCAACGTCAGTTATCCCAGTTATCATAACCAAACTTACCTATGAGTTTCAAAGTTCCAGGTCCACTAAAGGAATATCTTCGCTAGCCAGCACGCTCGGTGCCAGCACGCTCGGTGTGCCACCGCCCGGCCGTACCTGCCTCCCCACCCGTCCCTCCCGGCCGTCACAGCCCACCGGTCCCAGCGGCACACCTGCGCACTGGCGCTGCGCAGTGCACCGCGCCGCGGCCAGCGGTCTGCACAGGATCCCGGAAAGATGATGAGATGAAAGACACTTTCAACATTTGGTGATTCGCTTTAGATGAAGACAGAAAGACTGAACAGGCAAGGGACACGCATTTGCGTCTTTCTTTTAGACCACACTGACGGTATGGAAAAAATATAATCTGTCCAGACCCCTGGCGGACAGGTGCCGGCAAAGTGGCGCCTGGAAGCCAGCGGCGCCGCCAGGTAGTTAGCAGGGGATGCGGGCAGCGGTGATGAGCGGACCAAATGCACACGATAACCCGGTAATGGGATGAACAGGTCTATCCACCCTTCAGTAAACAGGGATGACTGCCGGGAATGTCTGCGGCCGTCCAGACAATGCAACGATCTCCCAGAACGGAGAGGGACGCCGGACGAGCCCCTGCGATGATTTAACCCTCGCCGGACCTATTGGTTTTCTACATACATACGCGCCGGCCGAGGGGGGGGGGGGGGCGGCGGGTACGACCTCCCCTCGCCGTTTCGCCCCTGGTAGAGCTAGCGCGTCGCGAAAAAAAACGAGCGTGTGCACCGTTACGAGACGCAGAGATTGATACCCGATTTTAAGGCCCTAGGTCAACCGGTGACCTCTGAGGTCAGGTCAAGTGCCCCAAGGTACGGATCCGTTTTTGGCAAATAACTTCGGGAAAACGGCCGCAGAGCCGCGATTTTGGAAGCATCGTGTTCGCCTCGCTCAGGCGCGTCGAATGATATACTCTTTGTTTGGTTGAGGTCAAATTTGGGTGTTGACCTCAGCTACGGTCAGGTCAGCGCCCCCTAGGTCACGAACTTGGTCGAAGGAGGTCATGTCGCATATCATTCGATTCGGCAGGTCTTCTTGAGTCAATTGGTGGCTTTCCCGCCTCGCTAGCTCAATTTGATCGGGAGTTATTGACGAAAAACTAATATGACCCTAATGACGTCACACAAGGTCGACATTGCAAAAGTGACGCATCGAACCTTGCAAGGAGTGCACCAAATCACGATTTTGTGTGCTTGAGATAGTTGGAGATCGTTCCCGGCGCCAGAATAGCAGTTTTCATTTTTCCCTATTGACTTATAGGTAATGGTGAGGTCACGAAAATGACCTGACCTCATATGACGTTTAGGGAAAATCCGAGATATACAAGTTGTGGGACTCGTAATGGATACTAGATCCTGCAAGTTTCATTTCTCTGTGACACCTCCTCTGGCAGTGAGGGCGTTGCGAAGTTGCGACATCTGAAGACCCTGCAGAGGTTCACTTATGACGTCATAGGTCAGTGACTTGACCTGACTTGAAAACGCGGTTGGTGTCAAAACATCCGGCTTGAATGAAAGGTCAGGTATGCCAAGTTTCAGCTCTCTATTGCCAGCGTGTTCGGAGCTATCGCGAAAAAAACTTATGGGTGAGGGGCGGCACCCGCCATCCCCCCCCCATCGGCCGGCGAGGGTTAAAGATCCCAAAAGTGACCTCAATTAGCAACTTTTTTTAGTTTCATCTGACCTGGAAGGCTGGAAGGTCAATGACTGACCTGATGACGTAAAATTGGGTACTATTGGATTCATCTCTTCCCAAAGAATTTGTTGGTCTTTGCTGCGAAGCTCTATCTCAATCAGGAACGAAATGGCGCGGGTGGCAGTTGGCACCCCCCCCCCCCCCATGTGCGTAATGCGTTATAGGATAAGAAAATGGCATGAGCGGGCGAGGGTTAACCTGACCTGGAAGGTGGTCAAACAATAATCTAGGACCTTAAAATTGGGTATTATCGACTTCCTCGCATCACGGGCAACACGCGCTTTTTTCTCCGAATCTCAAGCTTGATTAGGGACCGAGAACGCCGAACGGCAGGGGTCCACGGACCCGGTGGCCGGTACGCTGTAAAAAGACCAATACGGGCGAGGGTTGAAATCAAGCCGATTATGTCGAACTGGACTTCCGTGAGACAAAGTAAGTAGGGTAGGGTATCATTAGGGGAAAGTGGGGTAAGACGGTCAGGGTAGGTAAGACGGGCACCCCTTCTGCAGACCAAACCAATAGCGCTACGAGCGAGAAAAATTAGGACCAGAACTGCCTTTCCCACTACACACCACCATTGAAGTCTGGTAAATTTGTGTTTAGTCGATAATCTTTTATTTTGATTTCTTTAAAACACTCATTTCATTGAAAACATCCATAATGTATTGTGCAAGCTTTTGTGTGCAGCACTATAGAGTTAAAAACTCGCAATCACTGGTGGTACACTCATATGCCACCAGTGTTCATTTACCGCGGAGTTGCTTTGTCTGCATCAAATTGCCCACAGAGGAAAATCGTTCTGAAATTCTGACATTGAGTTTGGGGTAAGACGGAACTTTGAATCCCATGGGTCTGTAATGGTGAAAATATTTTTGTTGCTGTAGGAAAAAAGAAGCATTTCTAATAAGAATATGTTCGATTCCGATACTCACAGACATGCTAGCGATATTCCTTCGGCACAGTTTATTCTCGAATAATGAATGTGAAAAACGGTTCTACATGGCTTCTGAACTAGGGCCTATGTACGAGCATACGCCTTCTGCACGAATTTCGTATACTGCCATTTCCGAATGTTGATCAAGACAGCCCATATTCAGCCCAGATTCAGCCCGGATTCAGTCCAGATTCGGGACACCTCCGACCAAGCTGAAACTCGCACACAATGTAGGCCATGACATGCCCAATCCACAGTCCAAGTCATTCGGCGGCACTCCCAGCCGTTTGACCTACAGAGGTCAGCAAAGGTTACGTGGCCCAAATTTGCACAGCAGATTGTGGCCCACCCAGTAGAGCTAGAGCGCTAAAAATGGCACCAATCGACTCGCCAGCATCTAATCTTACTTTCCCAACACTCATTTGACCTCTCAAGGTCATGCGATGACCTAAGGTCATTTGTGGGCTATGTCGAAAATACACTTGCACAGCAGTTTTCGAGTAGAGGGATTGACCGAATTCCAAATCAAAGCACATAATCGGGTAGCCCATAGGCCGTAGTAACTTTCCTGAAAAACCGCTTTTCGATATGTGACCCCGTTTGACCTCGGCAGGTCAAAATGTGCAAATAAACGACACTCCATACGTCGCAGCCCGGATTCAGCCCAGATTCGGGACATCTTCTATCAAGCTGAAAATCGCACACAATGTAGGCCATGACATGCCCAATCCACAGTCCAAGTCATTCGGCGGCACTCCTAGCCGTTTAACCTACAGAGGTCAGCAAAGGTCACGTGGCCCAAATTTGCACAGCAGATTGTGGCCCACCCAGTAGAGCTAGAGCGCTAAAAATGGCACCAATCGACTCGCGAGCATCTAATCTTACTTTCTAAACACTTATTTGACCTCTCAAGGTCATGCGATGACCTAAGGTCATTTTTGGGCTATGTCGAAAATACATTTGCACAGCAGTTTTCGAGTAGAGGGATTGACCGAATTCCAAATCAAAGCACATCATCGGATAGCCCATAGGCCTTAGTAACTTTTCTCAAAAACTGCTTCTCGATATGTGACCCCGTTTGACCTCGGCAGGTCAAAATGTGTAAATAAACGACACTCAATACGTCACAGCCCGGATTCAGCCCAGAATCGGGACACCACCGATCAAGCTGAAACTCGCACACAATGTAGGCCATGACATGCCCAATCCACAGACCAAGTCATTCGGCGGCACTCCCAGCCGTTTGACCTAGAGAGGTCAGCAAAGGTCACGTGGCCCAAATTTGCACAGCAGATTGTGGCCCGCCCAGTAGAGCTAGAGCGCTAAAAATGGCACCAATCGACTCGCCAGCATCTAATCTTACTTTCCCAGCACTCATTTGACCTCTCAAGGTCATGCGATGAACTAAGGTCATTTGTGGGCTATGTCGAAAATACAATTGCACAGCAGTTTTCGAGTAGAGGGATTGACCAAATTCCAAATCAAAGCACATCATCGGGTAGCCCGTAGGCCGTAGTAGCTTTCCTAAAAAAACGCTTTTCGATATGTGACCCCGTTTGACCTCGGCAGGTCAAAATGTGCAAATAAACGACACTCCATACGTCGCAGCCCGGATTCAGCCCAGATTCGGGAGATCTCCGATCAAGCTGAAAATCGCACACAATGTAGGTGCTAACATGCCCAATCCACAGTCAGAGTCATTCGGTGGCACTCTCAGCGGTTTGACCTACAGAGGTCAGCAAAGGTCACGTGGCCCAAATTTGCACAGCAGATTGTGGCCCACCCAGTAGAGCTAGAGCGCTAAAAATGGCACCAATCGACTCGCCAGCATCTAATCTTACTTTCCCAAAACTCATTTGACCTCTCAAGGTCATGCGATGACCTAAGGTCATTTGTGGGCTATGTCGAAAATACACTTGCACAGCAGTTTTCGAGAGGGATTGACCGAATTCCAAATCAAAGCACCTACGGCCCATAGGCCGTAGTAACTTTCCTTGAAAACTGCTTCTCGATATGTGATCCCGTTTGACCTCGGCAGGTCAAAATGTGCAAATAAACGACACTCCATATGTCACAGCCCGGATTCAGCCCAGATTCGGGACACCTCCGATCAAATTGAAACTCGCATACAATGTAGGCCATGACATGTCCAATCTACAGTCCAACTCATTCGGTGGCACTCCCAGCCGTTTGACCTACAGAGGTCAGCAAAGGTCACGTGGCCCAAATTTGCACAGCAGATTGTGGCCCACCCAGTAGAGCTAGAGCGCTAAAAATGGCACCAATCGACTCGCCAGCATCTAATCTTACTTTCCCAAGACTCATTTGACCTCTCAAGGTCATGCGATGACCTAAGGTCATTTGTGGGCTATGTCGAAAATACACTTGCAAATTTGGGCCACTTGACCTTTGCCGACCTCTGTAGGTCAAACGGCTAGGAGTGCCGCCGAATTACTTGGACCGTGGATTGGACATGTCATGGCCTACCTACATTGTGGGCGAGTTTCAGCTTGCTCGAAGGTGTCCCGATTCTGGGCTGAATCCGGGCTGCGACGTATTGAGTGTCGTTTATTTGCACATTTTGACCTGCCGAGGTCAAACGAGGTCACATATCGAGAAGCGGTTTTTGAGGAAAGTTACTACGGCCTATGGGCTACCCGATGATGTGCTTTGATTTGGAATTCGGTCAATCCCTCTACTCGAAAACTGCTGTGCAAGTGTATTTTCGACATAGCCCACAAATGACCTTAGGTCATCGCATGACCTTGAGAGGTCAAGTGAGTGTTGGGAAAGTAAGATTAGATGCTGACGAGTAGATTGGTTCCATGTTTAGCGCTCTAGCTCTACTGGGTGGGCCACAATCTGCTGTGCAAATTTGTGCCACGTGACTTTTGCTGACCTCTGTAGGTCAAACGGCTGAGAGTGCCACCGAATGACTCGAACTGTGGATTGGGCATGTCAAGACCTACATTGGTTGCGATTTTCAGCTTGATCGGAGATGTCCCGAATCTGGGCTGAATCCGGGCTGCGACGTATGGAGTGTCGTTTATTTTCACATTTTGACCTGCCGAGGTCAAACGGGGTCACATATCGAAAAGCGGTTTGTTAAGAAAGTTACTACGGCCCAAGGGCTACCCGATGATGTGCTTTGATTTGGAATTCGGTCAATCCCTCTACTCGAAAACTGCTGTGCAAGTGTATTTTCGACATAGCCCACAAATGACCTTAGGCCATCGCATGACCTTGAGAGGTCAAATGAGTGTTGGGAAAGTAAGATTAGATGCTGGCGAGTCGATTGGTGCCATTTTTAGCGCTCTAGCTCTACTGGGTGGGCCACAATCTGCTGTGCAAATTTGGGTCACGTGACCTTTGCTGACCTCTGTAGGTCAAACGGCTGGGAGTGCCACCGAATGACTCGGACTGTGGATTGGGCATGTCAGGACCTACATTGTGTGCCATTTTCAGCTTGATCGGAGATGTCCCGAATCTGGGCTGAATCCGGGCTGCGACGTATTGGAGTGTCGTTTATTTGCACACTTTGACCTGCCGAGGTCAAACGGGGTCACATATCGAGAAGCGGTTTTTAAGAAAAGTTATTACGGCCCATGGGCTACCCGATGATGTGCTTTGATTTGGAATTCGATCAATCCCTCTACTCGAAAACTGCTGTGCAAGTGTATTTTCGACATAGCCCACAAATGACCTTAGGTCATCGCATGACCTTGAGAGGTCAAATGAGTGTTAGGAAAGTAAGATTAGATGCTGGGGAGTCGATTGGTGCCATTTTAGCGCTCTAGCTCTACTGGGTGGGCCACAATCTGCTGTGCAAATTTGGGCCACGTGACCTTTGCTGACCTCTGTAGGTCAAACGGCTGGGAGTGCCACCGAATGACTTGGACTGTGGATTGGGCATATCAGGACCTACATTGTGTGCGATTTTCAGCTTGATCGGAGATGTCCCGAATCTGGGCTGAATCCAGGCTGCCACGTATGGAGTGTCGTATATTTGCACATTTTGACCTGCCGAGGTCAAACAGGGTCACATATCGAAAAGCAGTTTTTAAGGAAAGTTACTACGGCCTATGGGCTACCCGATGATGTGCTTTGATTTGGAATTCGGTCAATTTCTCTACTCGAAAACTGCTGTGCAAGTGTATTTTCGATATAGCCCACAAATGACCTTAGGTCATCGCATGACCTTGAGAGGTCAAATGAGTGTTGGGAAAGTAAGATTAGATGCTGGCGAGTCGATTGGTGCCATTTTTAGCGCTCTAGCTCTACTGGGTGGGCCACAATCTGCTGTGCAAATTTGGGCCACGTGACCTTTGCTGACCTCTGTAGGTCAAACGGCTGGGAGTGCCACCGAATGACTTTGACTGTGGATTCGGCATGTCATGGCCTACATTGTGTGCGAGTTTCAGCTTGATTGGAGGTGTCCCGAATCTGGGCTGAATCCGGGCTGAATCTGGGCTGAATATGGGCTGTCTTGACGGACATCATTTCCGAAGCACTTGAGACCAACGAGCGACTGTATCAGTGCGACTAATCTCGGGCATTTGTTGCGAGCTGTGCTGGTCGGTGAAAGAAGCTGGCCGTCTTGCCCTACCCATGTGACCGTCTTACCCCATGGGGTGGGGTAAGATGGGTTTTTGCAAGGTTTTGAAAAAATAGCTGCAGTTTATTTGTTGAATCAGTTCTAAGTCTCATCTTGTAGCAAATGGAAGTAAAATGTCTAAAAAAGGTTTTCACTCAGTTTCTTGTTTCTATGATGTTCCTAACTGGCCGAAAAATGGCTCCATGCCCGTCTTACCCCACTTTCCCCTACTTCCCACGCCCTGCTAGCTCCGGAAACGACAGGTTTTGGAGAGTTGAGAAAAAACGACAATAAATCAATCGGCCTCATTGAGATGACACTAATAAGACGAAAGGTCAGGTCAAATGTAGAAACTTGCCTTTCACCCTCATTAGCTACCCTGGATTACCAGCTCAGAAGAGCAGTCAGATCAGCAATCCGTGCTCTGCGGAAGTAATAGTTCACCCACCGACAGACAGGTGGCGGGGCAGCCCGTTCCACTCCGCGCCCGACGGACCGCATGCACTCGGCCAGGACCCGAGTCATTCCGCAGAGGCGGATCGAACACTCAATGTAGACCAACTGTTACACCATTGACCATACCCTAAGTTTACGGGCGAACATTCCATGCATGAATGCCTCTTTCGCACAAAACAAGATGGCTCTTGAAACTTTGTCGAGGCATTACAGCAGCGCGACGACGAACATCCTCTCGGCTTCACTGGCCCTCCAGCACTGCCATGGCAACTGAATCGACCAGCTAGGGCTTTTCAAGGTCGACAGTGGGAGGGGTGGGACCGGGGACGGTAAAGTAGGCGTAGTCTGGCGCTCAAGGCCAGTACCGGGGCGCGCCGCGACAACTGGGGACAGACGAGCGCCGAAGGTCGATAAGTCGGGAGCTCATGATCGTGCGGGAGTGACATAACCAGTAACTGACCAAGGACCGCGAGATAGGGGTTCTGCCTCTCAGTGCTGATAGGGTGACGGTGTTCACGTGCATTTCGCTTGAGAACACGAGGAGAAAACGGATACCGTCGCATCTAAACAGGTTTGTAGCTGAGCTGAATGTTCACTTATCCTGTTGTCGTTGTGTCACGTGTAGGTACTGTATTCAGTGTGCAGTGAACCATACATCGGTCGTATATGTGAGACCTTTGACCTAACCTAAGACATAATGAAAGTGTCTTTCTTGACTTTTGGTGGCCTCGAATGCCACTTCTATAGTTCGCAGGAGCCCAGAGCCAAATAAGAAGGTGCACAAAACCGTCCTAGCTCCCCTGCCTCTATAGATCCTATACAATCGTACCACTACCCTGGCGCGGAGGCGGTTTAACTAGACTGGAACAGGAATTGAGGGATCTGCAAACCTGGGCCCAATCTTGCCAATGCCGGAATAGGATTTGGCAGCACGCGCCGGAGTTTATGGCACTGATATCAATGATATCCCTTTTATTTACACTCAGCTAATCTTGTCCAATGATTTTGGTGCCGAGAATGATTATGAATGTTGCCCGAACGAATGAATAAATGAATGTTGAATAGTTTTGAATGTTACCTGACCAAATGAAATGCCGTGAATGCGCATTCACGGCATTTGGTAAGATTGGGCCCTGGATACGGTTTTCGGTTTATTCAAACGTTCTACTATAGTTCGTTTTTTTTCAAAAGGACGCTGGCTCCAAGTATGTTTTTCGAACAAGCACGTGTTTTAGCGAGCAAAACGAGCAAAAACTGAACCTGAGAAAATCGAGCGTCGACTAATTTTAACATGTGATTTCTTCCCGATCAATTCCATATGTGCGTTTTGGAACCAGATATGAGAACAGTGGTGACGTTTTGCTGTCGAACATGTATTGCAATGTAACTTATAACTATCATGGACGGAACCGCTTACTCGATTATAAGCTCGGCAACATTTAAAATCTAAGTTTCACCTAAATTCGTTGACACTTGTCCCATTGCACGGACATTTGGGTGCCTGCTGCCACCAGTGACGTCATCAAAGTATGTTCATTTTTAGGAAACAATTTCCATCTACTTACCGTGCACAATCTGAAATCGATTATTTTTTCGGTAAGAAATTCTTGGCCAGACGCTGAAGCTGCCAAAACTCACGTGAGAGCTTCGATATTGAACTTTGAGCCAGCGTCCTTTTGAAAAAAAACGAACTTTTTTTTTATAGTTCAGAATCACTCGCTGAGGATAGTCATTCTCTGCTAGAGGCCAGGGATGGAGGTTCTCCGTGCTGAAAGTCACGGGCGTAGAATAGCGAGAGCTGTGTGCGCGAGTGGACAATCGCGGCAGTGTCCGGCCCTCGGCTGTCGGTTCTAAAGCCTATGGTATATTGTTGTAGCGGGCCAGCGGCACAGTGCGGTAACGGTTGCTGATATCCATGTCCACTGACCACCGACTTATGTAAGTGTTGACTCATCGCTTCTCTCTGCCGGATGTATCAGTCAATCCTCACGTCTTCAAATGTCCATGTTGCAGCCTGTAAGAGACTGGTTTCCCCAGCATGCTAACGAGAATCCTGTCGTATTGATTTGTCATGTGGACCTCAAACTCAGGTATCTCATTTCCTCCCACTCCAGTTCCGGCGCGGCGTGCCGTAGGATGACGGAGGTTATATGGTGCGTGACGTTCGGAAATTCTGCTCTCGGCCGGGGCAGCTCTGTTCTTTGAGAGCACGTCGCAGCGCCGCTGATCTCACGGCGCAGGAACTCGGTGAATTCCCAACTTTCCACCGAGACCGGCACGACGGCAAGCCTCTTACCAACCACTCGTTAATCAATAAACATCCTCATCACGCCTATGGTCCGGACAGCCAATCGTGATTTCTCCTTGCATCAGTTGCACAAAGCAATGTGCTAATGCATACTGGATAGCAGGCTCCTTAAAAAGGCTCGCCTTTGTCAATACGATTGATGTTATTTAGCCAAGCATCTAAAAGAGAAACTTAGGTGCATGCGAGCAACTCATAAATACCTACAATCTGGACAATCTTGTTTGGCCTTCTCCTTGAATACCTTGGTTTCAATAACGAGCCAAAAGCTAATCAAGTCATTGCGTGACGTTGTGATTTGTAAATGAACGCAAGGAAGCTCTTTTCACAAAACATCTACGTATCATTCTGATTCACCCGTGTGAATATAACCCAATTTAATAAATGAAGCACGATGATGTTGCATATGCAGTATGATGACACTGAAGTTATCAGTCGTGTATCCAAAACCTTTCTCCGCTTTTGAAGTGGACAGACTTCAGACAAGAAAACTGAATGCTACTTATCAAGAAAGGGTTTAGATTTATCTTGCACTACGAATGTTATACATCATCCATTTATCGGTTTGACAAGCTTGTCACACACTGATCTTCATTGGACCCAGCTCCGCTCACGGCGCTTCATTCATTAACAGGCGAGATTAGTGAGTTGACTGCTCATATGCTTAGTGATATCACTGCTCCATTCTGAGCTGAAGTCGAGTGAAAAAACACATCCAACGTCCAACCGCTCCTAGTTTGGCCTAGCTGACTAGTTCAGCGGACAGTTGACCCTCAGTTAGCACAGTCTACCCCGGCGCCGCCTCTCGCTGTCGCGGCTCTCAGCGGTCACCGCCGCCAGTTCCGCCCACCTGACACACGCCGCTCGCACAGGTCATGCTGGTCGGACAGTCGGTGTGGCGGCGGCACTGGACGCAGTACCCGCTGGCCCCGCACATGCTGCTGCGGCACTCCTCGTTGTGGTAACACAGGTCGAGGAGGTTGCCCTGTGCCTGGCACACACCCTCGGTGGAGCAGAACTCTGTCGTCGCGCAGTCGGCCTTCGTCTCGCAGAGTACGCAGCGGTTGAGCCGGCTGCAGCGGTTCGACAGACAGTGGTCGTCTGCCCGGCACGACTCGTCGAACAGCCCCAGCGGGCGGCACCGGAAAAAGTCGCAGAAGAAGCCGGCCGGGCAGTCGCCGGAGCCGTTGCAGTCGACGCAGCGTTCGCCGCGCTGGCAGATATTGGACCAGCACTGGCCGTCCTCCGAGCAGGGCGACAGCGTCGGCCGCTTCTTCTCGCACTTCTCCTTCTCACAGAAGCGTCCGGCGGGGCAGTCGGCGGCGGTGAGACACTCGGCGCTGCGCTGACACTGCTGCTGCCGGCAGGCGTGGCCGCGCGGGCAGTCGCGGTCGCCGCGGCAGCGCACGCACTGCTGCCGCTCGCAGACGGCGGCTCCAGCACAGTGCTCGTCGCGTGCACAGGGCACACACTGGTAGTGAGCGCACACCAGACCGGCGCCGCAGTGCGCGTCGTGCGCGCAGATCACACAGCGCCCGCCGTGGCAGTGGCCGGTGGCGCACGGCTGGTACGCCGAACACTGAGGCTTGATTGTTGAAGGCGTGTGCACAGAGGCTGCTACGTGGGGCTTGACTGCTGCGGCATGAGGCTGGATTTGTGGGGGCGTGTGCACCGAGGCTGCTACATGAGGCTTGATTGCTGGTACATAAGGCCTGATTACCGCTACATGAGGCCTGGGGGCCGGCTTCGCAGTGACGGGAGTCACAAACACAATGTTGCACAGTTGTCCCTGCGAAAAAAACAGGGTTGGGTGAGCTAACCAGGAAACGTCGCTCACAGGGCTAACAAGGTTAACCCGCGCCCCGTTGGGGTCTGCCGAGCAACGCGCCCTGTTGGGGGGGGGGGACCAATTTGCCCGCCCTGAGATCTCGAGAACCACGCAACATAGCGACAAGCGGCGAACAGTGTTGGATAGCCCCAGCAGGGGCTATCCAACCCCGTTGGGGTCTGCCGAGCAACGCAGTCTGATGGGGGGGGGATCCCCCCCTAAGATCTCGAGAACCACGCAACATAACAAGCGGCAAACGGCACTGGATAGCTCCAACGGGGAACTACCTTGTGACCCAATTTCATTGACCTTGGTCTAACCGATGACGTCACAGGTCAGGTCAAATGTCGAATTTTCACCGTTAACGGGCATCTCAAGAAATGCATTGTAAAATCGAGTAAAATGCATGTCATTGAAAATCATCGGTAGGTACTTGTCCATAAAACATATATTTTGCTATTTGAGGTCACTGATACCAGGTCAGGTCACAGAGGTCAGGTCACTGAGGGTCAAAATATGAAAATATCATGTGATGCATGTTTTATAATCCATTTTACATGACAAATGCGATTATGTGGGTCAGTCAGCCTTCGGGGCCTGTTTAGGTTATGTTCTGGTGAAGGTCAGGTCAAGGTCAGGTCAAATAAGGTCAAATTTTAAAGTTAATATTTTTGCATAAAATGGGTATCGATTGCAGCTTGTCACGGGGATTCTAATGGTAGTCTTTGTTTGGCGCTACGTGGTCTAGAATTGCTAAAAATGGAGTTAAAAAATTTGACGTCATCAATTTTGAGCAGTTTTTTCGCTATAACTTGACCAAAAAAGGAGGTATCGATCTAAAATTTGGCATGTAGATAAGAGAGCGCAGGGATATCATATATATTACGTTTTTCCAAATTCGAAAAAGTTTTGGGAATTTTGTGAGTTTCTTCTTTAAAAAAAAAATCGTTTTTTTATTTTTGGGATGAAATCCCATAATTTTGAAAATCCAAGATAGCAGTTTTGTAGCGCCTTCTTTTCTCTAAACAACCACATAAAGAACTTTGAAATTGCTTGTTAACTGTAGATTTTGTGAGCGTTTCAAGATGTCATGTTTTTTGCTCATTTTTTTCTCGAACATCGCCTCAGTTTGACCTCAATAACTCCTGACCTAAGGTGACCTGTAACTTGAAATGTTGTGTGTGAAGGTGTAAAATTGATACCCGGGAAGGTACTGAAAATTTGGCGGCGCTACGCGCCGCCGTTTTATCGCTATTAAAGAAAACCACAGGGGGTGGGGCCAAAATGCCCCCCATCAGGGCGCGGGTTAATGCTTATGATGCTTGTGTTTGCATTGTTGCCCTTGTGTGACGTCACATATGACGTCATTAAGGTTTTTGGAGCTTTTCATTAATAACTCCTGATAACATTGATCAAGCGAGTCGGGAAAAGTCAGTTAAGCCGGGAAGACTGGTGGTCCGTCGTGCCCCACCTTCCCTTACCACAATAAAGGCACATATGCGCTTTTCAGTATTCATGTATTCATTCATTTGCAATGTGCATGCGATTATTAGTTCATTGTTTTATTGGACAGATATAAATAGCATGCACATTGTACCGTCATTCTGTACCCAATCCAAATTATTGATTTATACTCGTATATGTACCAGATGTTCATTGGGTAGTCAAACGTTTCCAATAAGCATGACACTATTGGTTCATCGGATAATTGCCACGTAGCTTGGACACAAGTTCTGATCAACTTGGCTATTAGATGACCCAAAGAGAACAAAGTCATGCCATTAAACCAGAAGTCACAAGTGTTTGATTTTAGTAAGCTGACACACCGGTGAAAAAAACTTCACACCCTCGGAAGTCGGACAGAGGCTGCAGACTCACCTGACAGCGGTTCGGCTGTTTCGGCTGTGGGGTATTGAACAGTGAGCTAAATATGCCCCAGAAGCGGCCCCTTCGTGTCTGGTCATCCTGTGATATCTGGAAGCCAGAGTGTATGACGGCACAAACTACCTGCGGACAAATTAGGCAGCATTAGACGTCGTTGAATATTTGTTCTTGACCTTTCCCTCAAGGCATATTCAAAAGACGAAAGTGATATATTTCTTTATTCGAGAAAAAAGGTCATTAGCAAGTATTAAACAATATCATAACAATATGTTCCTCGCGAGAGCACTCAACAACATATATCTTCAGGCATGAGGCGTGTGCTGATCCGCTTATTTAATCAGAGGCCTCTTGCACCAAAATACCTTGCTAGGTAGCATCGAAAAACCAATTTCATAGTTAGCCATTCTACGGTGGTAAATTCTTTAGCACGTTCTCATAACGTAAACGTACAGGACAGGTGCTTGGCAGAATTTATAGGTAAATTGTCACAGAAGTTTTGGAGTGGGTGTCCAGCACAGCAGTATCTAAGAATTGGTGCAAAAGGTTTTTGGTGCAAGAGGCCTCAGAACTTTAAAACTTATCACATCGTCCAGGCTGATTCTTATCTTTCACTTTTGATTTGTAAACCCGCGCCGGGCCGGGGGGGGGGGGTGTTTGAACACCCCCCCTGCGGTTTTTCGCAGATATCTCAAAAACGGCGGCGCTCCGCGCCGCCGTTTTTGGCACACCTGTTTGGGCATCGTTTCCGCACATGTTGTAAAAATTCCAGACTCAGGTCGCCTTAGGTCAGGTCACCAGGTCACGCCAAGTGACCTAACCTCAGAAAAAATAAGAATGCTTGTCATAGCTACACCGATTGATTGATTGCCTTGAAACTTTCAGCGATTGATTAGAGCAACAGTATCTATAAAATTTATATCTCGGAATTTTGATATCGGTGACCTAAGGTCAGGTCAATTTTGCGGCCTCTCCATTATAAGTCAAAGGGAGAAAATTGAAAAGCGTCTGTTTTGCACGAACGCTATTCTAGACACTCTCAAACATCGAAATGTAGGTAAAATTGACACACTGAACCGGAAAATGGCAACTGTGACCCCTCGTTATGTCCCCGAGGTCATCTCAGGTCACGAACAGAATCTAACATTTTTTCGCTAATAACTTCTGATAGAGGTGTGCTAGACCGCTGAAAACGCCTTAGATGTGTTCGGCTCGACGTTGCGGATCGACTGATATGCAACATGACCTTTTCCGGTCAGGTCATGACCTTGACCTGAGGTCAAATTTTCAAATTGACCTTTCAAGGTCAAATGATAGTTCATTCGACGCGTCTCGACAAGAGGAACACGATGCTGGCAAAAGTAATGTCATGGCTCTTTTGAGTCAAAAGTTATTGCCGAAAAACGCTTTTCGAAAAAACGGCTATTTTTGGAGTATTTGCCCTCTGGAGGCTAAACCGTTGACCTGAGGTCAAATCTGAGAACATTACTCAGAAAGGTCTGTAAAAGGGCTATCGAATGCGCTTTTCCGCGGCGCTGTAGCTCTACCCGTTCCCGAGATAGCCGTTGGCAATTTCCAAAATGTTGAAATAGTCAACATTTTACCTTTGGTGACCTCTGGTGACCTGACCTTTGACCTGACCCAAAAAATGACCGAAGTGTTTTCGTCCTTATTTTGGACGTTCTTTCGATTGCCGCTTACCGCGTGTCGCTACGTGGCCCAGGAGCCGAGTTAGAAGGGGGGGGGGGGTGTTCAGACACCCCTCCCCCCGGCCCGGCGCGGAATCTCAGAGCACCGGCCCGGCGCGGGTTAATTATCTTTCCATTGTATCCTTCCGTCCAAATCTTAGGGAATGACGCATAGCGAAGGAAATGTAACAGTGAATGAAAGCTTACATGCATATTGCCATCATTTTTCTATTGCTTTATTCCTTGTTAAGCTTCTTCATGATCAATACAAATGTAAACACAAATGTGAAACCTTTTTCTGTGCTGTTTTTGTCGCAAGCTTTATCTCGTTTACCGCAGAAGTTTCTGTCACTGGTTACATCATGCTTAGGAGACAGGTCTCGAATCAGGATCATAAAATTTAAAAGGAAAATTAAAATTGCTCAAAACGAGGGTACCTAACATTCAAGTAGGGGAGACCCGGGAGGTATGGGCCGGTTTTATGAAAAGGCAATTTTCTTCCAGTGGGCAGTGGCTAGACCCGGTTTTTAACTCTGTGTACGTGAAATTGCCTTTCGCCTGCAAAGTGTGCGTGATATTAAGCATCTGGGATCAACTATTTTGTCTCGAAATAACTTTAAATAAATCATGCGCTTTTTCGATCCATCAAAATACACCGGGAGGTATGGGCCATGGCCCGGGAGGTATGGGCCGGTGCCATGTTTCATATTCTTTTCTCGACAATGAAAACAATACTCGCAGCTGATATATCTACATTGATCTCTCTTAGAGCCCAGGAACCGCATAAGCGGCCAACAGCTTACTTCATGGACGTCACTTGGGCACATATGTATTTTGGTAAACTCAATCATGTAAGTACCATGAAATAAAATAAATTAACATTTTTCTGTTCGAATGAAATTTGAAGTTAAATTTTCAACCTTGCGCGACAAAAATAAAAGTTATTGAAGATGACACTCCATGAAAGCATCTTTTTTTAGGATCAACGGGGGTGGGTGGCCCGAACCTCCCGGTTAGGACGCCAGACTTTGCGCAGCATTTCAGCTCATAATCTTGCAAGAAAGCTTCATATTGTCTATCCAGTCTTAATTTGCATGCTTTAAACTTTATGTTAGCATTGGTCTGACATCATAAAACGAGCCTGGTTCAAATTTATCACGAATTTTCTGTATGTACAGTATTTTACTCGAAGAGGGTAAAAATGCTTCATCACCGCTCATTGCCAAAGAAGACTGAGGAAGATTATGGAAATCACGTGGGTTGTATAACGGAATGGCTGCTACCAGCTTACGCGGTCAAATGTGTAAAAATACGCAACACTTCTTCAAAACTGCGATGGCCCATACCTCCAGGGGGACCATACCTCCCGGGTCTCCCCTATATAGATAGGACTCAGGGTCTCCATGCCATGATATAAGCGCACATTGTCCACCTTCGTACACTTCCTCCCATTTTCGTGCAACTAAAAATTGTCCATTAACAAGAAGTAGACCAAAGCATATTACAAATGATAATTCCCAGGTTAAAGAGTGTTCATAAAATCTTAAGGTCAAATTATTATAATAATAATAATTATTAATTAACTAGAGGGACAGCATTACGCGCAGCGTAAAGAGGGACAGCATTACGCGCAGATTACGCAAAATTGATTCATTCAAAAAAATGAATCAATTTTCATTAAAATCGGCCCAGTAGCGGCCGAGTTATTGCCAGAATAAATTTGGCGTCTCCTCCTGGCCGGCGGTGCCCTGTTCCGGTATTCATTGCCAAAGGTCAGTGACCTTCCGGCTCTGATTTCCCTCAGTTTTGAAAGCGAAGAAACTGAGCCTACGGCACGTGCTCTCTGCCCGGCGCCGGCCGCGGCCCAAAATGCTGCAAAGATGCGCCCGCCACGTGCACACTGCTGCACGCACCCCCTCGAAAAGTTGATACGACAAACAGATGCACGCGTCTGACTTGCGCCCAAAATTTCACCCCCGTAGCCCGCACCGATCCGGAGCAATAGCCCGCCAAGCGTGACTGACGCGTTACATACATACATACATACGGACATTTTGATTTTTATATATGTAAACTAGATGGACAGCATTACGCGCAGCGTAAAGAGGGACAGCATTACGCGCAGCGTATTTAATCAAGTTTCAATAAAATCGGCCCAGTAGCGGCCGAGTTATTGCCAGAATAAATTTGGCGTCTCCTCCTGGCCGGCGATGCTCTGTTCCGGTATTCATTGCCAAAGGTCAACGACCTGCCGGCTCTGATTTCCCTCATTTTCGCAGCGAAGAAACTGAGCCTAAGGCGCGTGCCGTCTGCTCGAAACCGGCCGCGGCCCAAAATGCGGCAAAGATGCGCCCGCCACGTGCAAACCGGCGAGCGCACCCCCACCAAAATTTAATACGACAAACAGATGCACGCGTCCGACTCGGCGCGAAAATTTCACCTCCGTAGCCCGCACCGTTCCCGAGCAATAGCCCGCCAAGCGTGACTGACGCGTTACATACATACATACATACGGACATTTTGATTTTTATATAAGTAACTAGAGGGACAGCATTACGCGCAGCGTAAAGAGGGACAGCATTACGCGCAGCGTAATGAATCAATTTTCATTAAAATCGGCCCAGTAGCGGCCGAGTTATTGCCAGAATAAATTTAGTTACTCCTCCTGGCCGGTGGTGCTCTGTTCCGGTATTCATTGCCAAAGGTCAACGACCTGCCGGCTCTGATTTCCCTCATTTTCGCAGCGAAGAAACTGAGCCTAAGGCGCGTGCCGTCTGCTCGAAACCGGCCGCGGCCCAAAATCCCACAAAGATGCGCCCGCCACGTGCAAACCGGCGAGCGCGCCCCCACCAAAATTTAATACAACAAACAGATGCACGCGTCCGACTTAAGTCCAAAATTTCACCCCCGTAGCCCGCACCGTTCCGGAGCAATAGCCCGCCAAGCGTGACTGACGCGTTACATACATACATACATACGGACATTTTGATTTTTATATATGTAAATTATTAAATATATATTGTTATAACTATAGGAATATTTACTATTAATTTTAAATAATATACTTATATACTTATAAAAAATAAACATTCAAACATGGGGATATGCAAGCATGTTGGGTACCTAAATGTCCGTATAGTCCACTGCCGCGCGGAGCACTCACCAGCACTCGCATCAGCCTGGCCGTCGTCATGACCGCGAGTCAGCGCCGCGTGCCGCCTTTGGCCAACTCGCGGACAAAATGACGCCGACAATACAACCATGGCGCAGGCAGCGCTTCTCCTTAAGACCGGTCGCAACAGGCAGGCATGGCTCAAACCAGTTCCAAACTTTCTCGAGAGTCGGAGTCTGTGCCAAACTGAGCCGACCCTCTATTGACCTGCACCCACCGCTCCATCTCTTCTGACACAAGCCCGAGTCCGGTTCAGAGGACGCAATCATAGCTGAGGTCACGTCGTTAGCAGACCTTATTAGCGTGAGACGTATGTATGTGCAGTTCTCTAAGACGTAAACTTAGTTCTCTAAAATTGGCAGTTTTCCTTGAAATGCTATTTTTAGCAGTATAAATCCTAAACCCCAAACCACAACTGAGTATTTTCGATGATGAGAACTTAGCAGCTCCTTATCGTAAAAATATGAAAAAATATGCTAGGCTATAAGCAATGAGCATGATTAAAGAAATCAACGAATTACCACATATTTAACCCTAGCCCGTATTGGTATATTGCTAGTCGTGAACGTATAAGGGAGGGGGGGGGGGGGTCGTTGGACATTCCTTGCCGTTTGGCCACTGATCGAGCTAGAGCTTCGCGCGCGGAGAAAAAACGAGCGTGTTGCGGCCGTAACGAGAGAGGAGAGAGAGAGAGAGAGAGAGAGAGAGAGAGAGAGAGAGAGAGAGAGAGCCGGTAATACCCAATTTTTAAGGTGTTTGGTCATTGGTTGACCTTCCAGGTCAGGTCAATGACCCGAAAGTCGGGAAAATCGGAACCTGTCAGAACGTCGTAAAGTGTGGCTGCTATGGGGTTTTCGGGGTGCTGATCACGGATGTCATCTTACTTTTGATCACAGATGATGTCTTCATGCATTTAGGCCAGGTCGGGTCGGGTCAGGTCAGGTCAGTAGGGGTCCTGTCGGGTATTCGATAATAGGTGCCAACCGCCGCTGACAGCTTCGTAACATGTTACGAGGGCACCAAAAATACTTCGTAATTGTGCAAATGGTTGCTAAATTCGAATTCAGCTAAAAACATATCCTAGAAACATGTAAAACTCGAAAACGTGAACCGAGGTCATCAAACATCAATGGGAATGGCAATGACCTGACCTGACATTCAGGTGACCTTGACAGTTGACACCGACCCTAATGCATGGGACCAATATCAAATTGACATGATTGAACGCTTGAAACTACGAAAAGACTGCAAACTCGCGGCTAATGCGAGCTGCCATACGCCAAATCGCAATTCCGGCCAAACATGGTCTCGAGAAAAAGGTCACAGATCAAAGGACATTTGGGTCAGGGTCATAAAATTTTAAGGGCATGTGTAAAATTGATTAACAGGAGGATAGTGAAAGTGCCGTCGTGATCGGCCACTTTTTGCGCGAGTTATTCGCGAAAACCGAGGGATGTCCGTTCGACCCCCCCCCCCCCCCATACGGACGAGGTTAACTTTACTTCACACATCATTTTACCGATTTACAATTCAAATTCCATTCATTTCATCCCTCGCACTTAGGGGGCCGGATGGACCATTCCCTGTTTTTGTTTTTATTATTATTATTACAAGCAAGCTTGTGTTAAAATGGCGAATCGAGATGAAACTTTTGAGCACCCTCGAGGGGGTAATCAATCTTACAGCTACCCCTATAAATTGCATGACCTTGATCCAAATGAACTTTGACTTGCAACCTCTTCTAAAGACCCATGTCAGGACAGAATTGCGATTCGAGGCATGCTGGTGCACATTACATTTCAGTAGAAGAGAATGTTTATGGCTTATTATAGCATAGTGTAAAACTGGTTGACGCCATGCGTAAGGGAAAGCATGCATTGGCTATACCTAATCGCCTTATCAGTCTAAAAGCCCGCGAAAGTAAATCATCATATCGCCGTTTGAAACGAGACGTTGCGTAACAGGCGGTTCTGTTTCCAAGCTAGAGGCTCCTGCGACTGTTCTGTCTAATTAAAAACCTGTTCAATTTCAGACGTTAAAATGCCACTTCAAATCCGAAACCTATGTGCCAGGGCTTCCGAATCGTGGTACTGAGTTAGTGACGTTCCGACTCTGACACCGATCATACGAGCTCCTGTCGGGTGCGACTCCGAGTTCGACTCCGGGTCAATGTTGGCAGTTCCGGGTCTAAGGATTTTAGCAGGATATCGCACCATTTGGCGGAACCCGCTGATATTTTTGGTGCCCTGTGAGACTTGGCTCGTCAGAATTTAGCTTCGCTTAGGGTAGTTAGCTTGAGGCTTGCTTAACCCTCGCCCTGGCAGGGGGGGGGGGTCGATGCGACCCCACCCCCTAAGGTTTTTCGAAGATAGCGTAAAAACGGCGGCGCGCAGCGCCGCCAAATTCTGCACAGCCTATGGGGCAACCTTTTTACATATGACCTGAAAATTTCAGGTCCGGGTGACCTTGGGTCAGGTCACCAGGTCAGAAAAACCGGTACAAGGTCATGGTCAAATTTTAATTTTCTTTTTGCACCTGTGCAGCTCACAGTTTTGGACTGATTTCCTTAAAACTTTCAGGGTGTGCTAAGTTCACCGAGTTGTATAACATATGGTGCGTTTTTTTTAGGTCACTGACGTGAGGTCAGTTAGAGGTCATTACGTCGTAGTGTTAAAGGGACCCTCCCACCTTCAAAAAAGTTAATGAATTGGCATGAAAGTGATGTCGCTCGGTTCAGAAAGAGCAAAAACGAATATCTACCAAATTTCATCGAAAAATATTCACCGGTTTTCAAGATATTAGACTTTTACTTTTGTTTACTTTTTGGGATCTCCGCTGTTCCTAGCGACTTTATTTGAAAGTGCGGCATTTGTTGCGCGCAAAGCAGCATATACCACCCCGTGCTACAAAACGTTTTAGTCAAACATTTAACGGACGTTCGAAAGCCTGATGACGTCATCAGATTCCCGTAATGGTTAAGAGATAGGGACCACGCTGGTCCCACCCTGCAAGTAAAGGGAAGAAATTTCTTGAACACCATAAAGCTTCGGGGGTTGCGACCAGGATAAATGGTGGTTTCTGAGCCTGGCCGCAAACTTGGCTATCTCAACTCAAAACTAATGTTAAGGTGGGAGGGTCCCTTTAAGTCTATGGGAAAATACTAAATTCGGAAAATACTGGAGATATCCGCTTCGTTCTATCACTTTTGTGCTTTGAAACCACAGTACTTAACAGCAGGTCACTTGGTGCTTCTTTGTTTGGTGTACTTATCCATGGGTCAGGTCAAATGAGGTCAACTGAGGTCAAATGACGTTTTTGCCAATAACTTGGCACATAATGACGCTAGAGCTTAAAAAATGGTATCATTGTGTTTCTGGTGATCAGCCGAATCGAATGATATGCGATATGATGCAATTTGGTTAACTTGAACTTAATTAATTAATTTAAGTTTACTTAAAATTTAAGAAAAAACTTTAAGTACACTTAAGCAAGCTAAAAGTAAATCATTCGACGCGCCTTGACGTGCTGAGTTCACTGGTGCTTTTCTTTTTGCTCTATCTTTATTAGATCAAAAGTTATAAGCGAAAAACTTTTGATCTGTTTTTAGCGAAATTTTTACATTTATACCCCCCAAAACCCCCTAAATATTGACCTAGAGCAACCAAATTTGCACAGGGGCGAGAACTCCAGGGGGCCCATCTACCTACCAAATTTGGTGTTTCTAGGTGCCATAGGAGCCAATCGCGAGGGGGGGGGTCGCATCGACCCCCCCCCCCCTGGCAGGTCGTGTTATGAAAAATGCCCTGCCAGGGCGAGGGTTAACCCGCGCCCCGCTGGGGGTCCTCGATTTCCACGCCCTGCTGGGGGGAAAGGGTAACACCCCCCTTCTAACTCGGCTCCTGGGCCACGTAGCGATACGGGAAAGGCGGCGTTCGAAAGAGCATCAAAAATAAGGAAGACATATCATCAGTCACTTTTTTGGTCAAGTCAAATGTCAGGTCACCAGGGGTCATTGAAGGCCAAAATTCGCCGATTTGTAGACGATATTTCGACAATTTTAAGCAACTCACCGCACAGCTCGGAAACTAATAAAGCTACAGCGCCGCAGAAAAGCGCATTTATTAGCCCTATTAACACTCTTTCTGAATAATTCTCTCAGATTTGACCTACCGTGTCCGTCAACAGTTTTGCCTGCAGGGGGCAAAAACTGCCAAAATAGCCGATTTTTTTCGGAAACAGTTTTTCAGCAATAACTTTTGACTCAAACCTTGCACGAACTTTCTTTTACCAGCATCGTGTTCCTCTCGTCAAGACGCGTCTAGTAAACTATTATTTGACCTTGTAAGGTCAACTTGAAAATTTTACCTCAGGTCAAGGCCATGACCTGACTGCTAAGGGTCACGTTGCATGCCAGTCGATCCGTATCGTCGAGCCAAACGCAACTGAGGTGTTTTCATCGCTCTAGCTATCAGAAGTTATTAGCGAAAAACTGTTCGATTCTGTTCGTGACCTGAGATGACCTCGGGGACATAACGAGGGGTCACAGTTGCCATTTTCCGGTTCGGTGTGTCAATTTTACCTACATCTCGATGTTTGAGAGTGTCTAGAATGGCGTTCGTGCAAAACAGACGCTTTTCAATTTTCTCCCATTGACTTATAATGGAGAGGCCGCAAAACTGACCTGACCTTAGGTCACCGATATCAAAATTCCGAGATATAAATTTTATAGAAACTGTTACTCTAACCCATTAGCGCTCGGCGGATCAAAAATGGACGGTGTCTTTGAAAGGTGCCACGGTTGACTGGTTTCGTCAGAGGTCTGTCAATCCCTGGTGATTGATGAGAAAGGTTATCTGTAGATGGTTATCTGAGAACTGAGGACCACAGTCCCTAGAACTTCATTTGGTGGGGTCCTAAAGTTAGCGATTTCTCGATATTACGACACGAATGCAGTGAAACGGCTGCATTTCGGTCATTGCTCTAAGTAATGAGACAGCCAGCTTATAATATACAGAGGAAGGTCCACTTTTGCTAAATCCGTTGACGATAACAGGCTAACTACGCCCAGGCGGTGCGTAGCGCGCGCGAAATTTTGAGCGACCAATTTGGACTCACCGGTCCTGTGGTCAGGCCCTCGCGCAGCTGGTGGCGGGTGCGGGGATTCCCGGATAGCGGCGGCTAATGACAGGGGAGGGTACGCCGGTCAGTTTGTCGCGAGAGGGCATAAAGTGCGATAGGTGGGC